CAGGGTTGTCATGGTAATACTAAAAAATTGTGAAAGTGTTATTTAAGAAGAATAAAGATTTCGTGTAAAGTTCACCTGAGGGTAATTTTTGTCTTTAAAAATTACCATAAAGAAATGTCGTGTGTGCAGGGTATAATAAACATTATTGGAATATTCCACGTAATAATCCTTGAAAATCATACCATAAGGGGGTCGATGTAAGACGGAAACAAACATTAGGGGAATTATTAATATAAACTATTTACGGCAAGAGCATTCGAGTGGGATTATTAAATAAGCTATCAAAACATTTAACCACTATTTTTATACTCTAAGATAGTAATTTTTAATTCTAATAGAGTTATGAATTGAGGTATTTTGACATTTCATCTTTCAAAATGTAAAAAATACATTATGCAATCATGCAGAATAAAATATCAAACATGAGTTATGAATTTAACCACCTCAGTGTCCATTTAGAAAATAACATGTCGCAATTAGATATATTTAATTAACAACTATTTAATACCTATGGTTGAAGAAAATACATTTAGATAAATATCAAAACAAAATATTAAATAGCACATAAATATTTGCGAACTCATTTTGATACTTTTGGGTTGGAGTTGGTGTAGATATTTACTTCATTATATTTATTAGAATTATAATAAAATGCTTATTAGTGGAATACAATATATAGTATATACAATCATTATACATTTTAAACAAAACAATTGATATTCTTAATGTTAGCCATTAAATAAAGTGGATAAACAAATTTAATTCCAAAGATTTAGAATTATTATATTTTGAAATATATAAAATCAATTCGTTTTTTTATGAATTGATTAAACTTAACTTAGGTTATTCAATTTATTAGTATAATCATAATAAAATTTGTATTTTAATTAGTATATAATTAAAAAGGTTAAATCAATCGTAAAGTTTATTGTCACTGGAATCAGTGAAGAAAAAATAATTATTTAAATAATAACATGAAATTTATGTATTATAATTTTCAATATGGTAAATAATTGGGAGTACATTACTCTACACATGGAATAACAAATAGTGTCAATTTTCGCAAGATAGTAAATTCAAACATGTATCTTTCTTTTTTACAAATAATATTAATATATAATATTAAATTAGTAAAAAAATACATATTCTCTGGTCATGTTCATGTAAAATGTATAATATCAAATAATTTATTCTGCAATATGTTTTTTGAATATAAATCCAATTTTATGAATTAAAATTTAAAAAAATTCGTAACACCGCCAATCATGCAATTATAATAAGGGAAGATTTTAAATCGAATTTAACTAAATTCAAATTAAATTAATTATAAAATTAAATTCAAAAATAAATTTATTTATGGTTTCCAAGAAAGTTGATATATTTAGAGCATTTTATAAATGGTAGGATATAAATAGATAAATAAAATAATTAAATATATTTAATTACCTTTAATTTTGGAAAATGATGACATGTTTTTTGATGATTTATTTCCACCAATCAATTCGCCACTTGGGATGAAATTGAGGACATGTCATCAATTAAAATTGCCAAATGTCAATCAATTAGCTATGCAATTCAACTTTTATATATTATATAGATTAGCAACGATTCCAATTATATTAATTAATCATGTCGAAGCTCAAATTAGTATCACATGCAAATTATTAAGTATTAACTAATAGGGGTTTTTGTGATAAAGTCTCCAACCATACACATTTATTATTCTAGGTTTAGGGGTTATATCTCTTTCACCAATAAGCCCATCCCTTTAATATTTATCATAAATAAAGGAAACATTCATGTATATCCCAATATTACCCTCAACCCTTTATACCCAATTTTTAATATGCTTAAATTTCATCCTTAACTTAATTTAACCTCAATTTGACCCCAAATTTCACAAATTATTCAATTTTGACCCCAAATTTTTTTTTCCAAAATTTTTTTTTTCGGCCAGATTCCGGCGTTGACTTTTTTTTTTTTTTTTACTTTTCTTTTTTCTTCTCTTTTCTTCCGGATTTTTTCGCCGGTTTCCGGCATTGACCGGCGGTCTCCGGCGTTGACTTTTTTTTAGAGTTTTTAAAGTTTTTTTTTTTTTTTTTTTTTTACCTCCGTCGCTAAACGTTGACCGTAATTGTGCTGTCACTGACAGTAAATTAACGTAATTATAATGTCAATGATAGTTAATTAACGTAATTATACTGCCGTTGACAATACATTTATGTAATTGTTCTGCCGTTGACAGTAAATTAACTTAATATTATTATTTTTTATTTTTTGTTATTTTTTTTATTTTGTTTGATTTGTTGACAAGTCAACGTAATTATATTACTGTCGTTGACAGTAAAATAACTATAAACACAATAATATTACTGTCAACAACATCAATATTATTATTTTTTTGGGGTTTTTGCTTTGTTTGAATTATTCACGGAGTAACGTAATAATATTACTGTCTATTATTGTAATATTACTATAAACACAATAATATTACTGTGGTTGACGGTAATATTACTGTTGTTATAGTAATATTGCTGTCAACCACATCAATATTATTATTTTGTTTGTATTTTTTTGTTTGTTTGAGTTATTCACGGAGTAACGTAATAATATTACTGTGGTTGACGGTAATATTACTGTTGTTATAGTAATATTACTGTCACTCACAGTAATATTAATTTTTTTGGCTTTTTATTATGTTTACATTTGTTGAATGGTCAACATAGGAATATTACTCTATTACACAATAATAATGAGTTTTGTTGTGTTAATATTACTGTGCTAGAGATTAATATAGCAATATTATTGTGTTAAACTGTAGTTTAGTTAATTTTACTGTGTTTAACAGTAAGATAGTTAATATTACTGTCAATCACAGCAATATTGTTGTGTAAACGAAAAAAAAAAGTTACAGAAAGAAAGAAAAGAAGAGAAAAAAAAAACCAAAAAAAAAATCGAAAAAGTCAACGCCGGAAACCGGCGAAAAAATCCGGAAGAATTTTTTTTTTTGAAAAGTCAACGCCGGAATCCGGCGGGAAAAAAAAGTTTTTGAAAAAATATTTTTTTTATAAAAAATAAAAGTTTTGGGTCAAAATTGAATAATTTGTGAAATTTGGGGTCAAATTGAGATTAAATAAAGTTAAGGATGAAATTAGAACATATTAAATTATGAGTGGTTATTTTAGTCATTTACAAAAACCTGAACCATGTGTGGACTTATTGGTAAGGATGTTTTTTATCTTGATCTCTTTACAAATTTGTAAATACCCCTAACTAATATTTCTTGTGTGATATTTGTACTCTTTAATATATATTAGAAATAATTATTGTACTAGCTTAGAGTCAAAGTAAAAAAAAAAAATTTAAAATCAAAACCGACATGTTACGTACTAATCAAATAAAAATTATTTTGTTCAAATTTGGGGTTAATTCACCCTTATATATAGACAATATATTTATATACTCCAAACATATTTTATATTATTTATTTCGTGAATTAATTGAATATAAAAAATTATATTTTAGATTGATATTTGATATCAAATAAATGATCAACTTGAGTTTAAATCGTGCTTTAGATTTTATATTGAATAAAGAAATGAATTGAGCTTAGGGCATCTCCAATGGAGTATGTAAAACATGTCTCTAAATTTGATTTTAGAGATCGGGTTCTCTAAATAAGAAGTTCATCTCCAATGAGGAGTTCTAAATAATTATTTTAATGTATTCATTTATAATTTATTTCTTATTACAACTAGATTATAGCTTAGTTTTGTACATTAAATTTTCGATAGTTAGTTTTTATTTACATTATCTTAATTTTTCAATATATATCTCACCTAGGATTTTTTTTTTGTTTTTGTTTTTGTGTTTTCAACAATAAAAATAAATATTTCAACCACAAAGATAAAAGTTTAATTTTCTTAATTTTTTTTATTAATTTACCGTGGGACAATTTATATGCAATCCAGATATAAGAAAATATTTAGAAATTTTAGGAATAGTCTTTATTTTAGAGACTCTTTAGGACCTACATTGGTGTTAGGTTTTTTTTTTTTTTTTTTATCAAAGTTCTTAAATATGGAGACTCGTGAGTTTTAGGCACTCCATTGAAGATGCCCTTAAAGACGACATCATCAAAGATCAACATTTTCTTGTTTTTCTATTATTTTTTTATATTATTAATTATTTTATCTTGTTTCCTGTGATTTACTTCGGCTTAATTTCACTTTGCATCCTTAAAATATAACATTTTAGCACTTTGCACCCTTAAAACATTTTAATACCGTTTTGCATCCTCAAAACACAATAAATCATTAATAACGCACCTGAACTTGAATCGAATATTTAAATCTTAATGAAGATAATTTCATTTTTTACTATTTTTTTTTTATTTCCAGGGTGCAAAATACAAATTAAATTATTATTTTCTTTTACCTCCAACGTAATTTTAAGCGTACAAATGTGAAAAAATAAAAATCACAAAGAATCACTGAAATTTTTTATATATTCTTACTAAAAAAAAATTCTCACTAAATTTGGTATACAATTTTGTTAACTTTAACGGAATCTTTTATTTATTAGGATGGAACCTATACAATCGAATTAGTTATATTCTTGGTTGTAAATATTATTTTTATATTATTTATTAAAAAAACTCTTAAATAAGTAAAACCCTTTTTTCCCATTGAATCAAACAAAAGAAGAAAACAAAAAAGAAAAAGAAAAACAATTGGGGGGTATTGGGAGAGGTGCGCGTGGGATTGGGAGAAAATAGGGGCGCGTGTGAAGGGGAAGAGAGAGAATCGGTATTTACCTCCGGAATAAACGGAACATATATTATAAACCCTAAAAATCAATCTTGTGCCCCAAACCCTAATCCTAGTCCCTCTCCCTCTCCGTAGTAAATCTCTGCCTATATATATATATATATATATATATCAGATATAGGTACAAAAACTCTCGAAAACAAAAGGGTTAAATTAACACGCAATGGAAAACTCGGAAGTTGCTGAGTTAGCTCAACAAATCATCGAGTTGGACAACACGATTCATCGTTTGAGGCGTACCACCGATGATCTGATGAACCAATTGAAGGCTGACGCGCATGCGCTGGATACAGATTCAATGATGGATGCTCTGTTCCTTGGTGCACACGAGTTGAGATCGTTGATTTTTAAAATCGAACGAGCGTTGGATGGTTCTGGACCCGATGTCAGAGAAAAACTCGCACGTGCGTTCAGAGATGGCGCACACGTGTCTCACTTGTGCCAAGAGATGACTGGATTGATGACCAACACGTCCTCTGAAAACCAAGAGATGTGAGATCGCTAACTTCGAATTTCATGTTTAGGTTTTTTTTTTTTTTTTTTTTTCCCTTCACGTCTTTAAATTTTAGTCTATTTCTTAATCGAAAAAAGGAGTTTAAATTTATATTTAGATGATTTTGAAGTTTTTTAATTAATATTACGGTATATTACGGTATGGTCAAATTATGAAAAAACTCTTTTTATTTGGGTAATAACCATCATTCCTCAACTATGAATCGAATCTTCTTACACGTCTGTCAAATTCAATATAATCTTCTAGATTTCGTGGAATGTTCTCTAGTTTGTACTTATTCGGTTTGTGCAAATGCAGTTTTTGATGCACCACAATCTGATATTTACAATCTTATGATCATCTTGTTTTAAAACGTGGAGCTCTAATAGGATAAAATGGGTACAAACTGAAAAATATTCCACATAATTTAGAAGATTCCATGGACCTCTAAGAGGATTCATAGTTGATTGATGGGTAATTAACAGAACGGGAGAGGTTTTTTTTTTTTTTTTTTTTTAATTTAACCATATTTCAGTGGTGGTCGTAATTTACCCATAATATTATAATATTCCATCAACCTTGACCTTAATTACAGTTGAACCTCAATATTTATATTAACTTATCAAAAAAAATTTAACACATTTCTTCTTGAGTCGGAACCACTATTTTAACGAGACTATTAAATGTTAGAGCAACTCCAGTGGAAGCACTAAATGAAGTATCAAACTAAAAAACTACTACTTTGATGCTTCCTCCTCCAATGGAAGGATTAAATTGAGAATTATTTCGATAGCCATTGGAGTTGCTCTTAAACTATATTTTTTAAAATACAAGTATCGGATGGAATTCAATTTCAAATTTCAATTTTCAATTTTTTCTTAATGGAATTCTTCTTATTATTGTACATATATCAAATAATCACTATTTAAAAGCAGTTCTTATAATCATTAAATTTAATGAAATATTGCTCTTCACAATATTCCAATTATTGTGAGTCTGTGACTGGTATATAACATTAGCAGCAATTTTAAATTATACTAATTAATCATGTCGAAGCTCAAATTAGTATCACTTGCAAATTATTAAGTATCAACTAATATTTCTTCAGTGATATTTGTACTATTAAGTATTAATATATATTAGAAATAAATATTGTACTAGCTTAGTGTCAAAGTAAAAAAAAAAATTAAAAATCAAAACCGACATGTGCTAATCAAATAAAAATTATTTTGTTCAAATTTGGGGTTAATTCACCCGTATAGACAATATATTTATATACTCTAAACATATTTTATATTATTTATTTTGTGAATTAATTGAATATAAAAATATTATATTTTAGATTGATATTTGATATCAAATAAATGATCAACTTGAGTTTAAATCGTGCTTTAGATTTTATATTGAATAAAGAAATGAATTGAGCTTAGGGCATCTCCAATAAAGTATATAAAACATGTCTCTAAATTTGATTTTAGAGATCCAGTTAGAGACTTGGGTCTCTAAAAAAGAAGTTCATCTCCAATGACGAGTTCTAAACAATTATTTTAATGTATTCATTTTTAATTTATTTCTTATTATAACTAGATTATAGCTTAGTTTTGCACATTAAATTTTCGATAGTTAGTTTTTATTTACATTATCTTAATTTTTCAATATATATCTCACCTAGGAAAAAATGAATTTTTTTTTGTATGCAACAATAAAAAAAATATTTCAAGTAACAAAAATAAATATTTCAACCACAAAGATAAAAGTTTAATTTTCTTAAATTTTTATTAATTTACCGTGGGACAACTTTAAGTTAGAGTCTCTATATGCAATTCTACGAAACTTAGAAAATTATTTAAATATAGAAAAATATCTTTAAATATTTAGAAAAATATATAAATATATTCTTAAATATTTTTAAAAATATTTAAAAAAATTAAATATAGAAAAATATGTTTTTTTAAAATATTTAAATATTTTTCTATATTTTTAAATATAGAAAAATATTTAGAAACTTTAGAAATAGTCTCTATTTTAGAAACTCTTTAGGACCTTCATTGGTGTTGAGTTTTTTTTATCAAAGACTCGTGAGTTTTAGGTACTCATTTGGAGATGCCCAGAAAGACTCCAACATCAAAGATCAACACTTTCTTGTTTTTCTATTATCTTTTATATTATTTTATCTTGTTTTTTATGATTTACTTCGACTTAATTTTACTTTGCATCTTTCAAATATAACATTTTAGCACTTTGCACCCTTGTTTAATACTATTTTCTTCGAAACACAATAAATCATTAATAATGCACCATGAACTTGAATTTAATATTTAAATCTTCTTGAAGGTAATGGAAATTTTTTATTAATTTTTTTTTTCCATGGTGCAAAATAAAAATTAAATTATTATTTTCTTTTACCTCCAACATAATTTTAAGCATACAAATGTGAAAAAATAAAAATCACAAAGAATCACTGAATTTTTTTATATTTTCTTACTAAAAAAATAAAAAAAAAAATTCACTAAATTATTTGATTGATGGATCTTTTATTGTAATTAGTGAAAAAATTAGACATAAATCTTTGGAAGAAAATATAATTTTCAAACAACTTGATAACAACATAGTTGATGGATTTCTTTTGTACTTTTCATTTTCTATTATTAAATATTTTTTTGTAATTTTTTTAAATATGTTGATGAGATACATTTTTACTTTCGCACTTTACAATTTTAAAATATTGATTTTTGACATTTTGCATCCCGAAAAAATACCACTAAAAATATTAAATTACCTTCATAAGCTTTGAAAATACATTCGAGGGTGTAAAGTGTTATTATTTTTTTTCAAGAGCACAAAGTGAAATTAAGCGGATTTACTTTACCTACTTGGTGGAAAAGTTTGATACGATGAAGTAATGCCTATTTTTCCGGAAGGAAACTTCGTTCACGACACTCATGCATAGACAATTTTAACTTTCTAAAGATATTTTCCAACTATTAACAAATTATTAACGCGTGATTAGGATGAATATTGACGTGGACTGACGTTGACATTTTTTATGTGTCGCACGTTAAATGTCAATTCCTGGGCCCCACCAAAACCTCCTTAAGACAAGCTAACTTAAAAAAAAAAATTGACTCTAACAAATAATAAATTAATAATGGTAACATGCATTCATGGCACTTAGGTCTTTCTTTATGATTTCACTTATATTAATTAATTACATGTTTAATATTGCCATTGTTTCAACCAAAACCATGTTCTGCAATTACGTTATCGCCCGTTCCGACCTAACTGTTGAAGTAAATGAGTTTATGGTTATCACCCGAGTTGATCGTATTATTTTGCAATATATATATTGTGCAAATTTATTACATATCTTTTGGAGATGAGTTTTACCCAAATAGATTTAACACTAAAAACAATATATTTCTTGTTTTAACTCAAGTTTCTCAAATATACAAAAAACTATTGTCAAGTTTTAAAAGTTAAAAAGTCTCTTTCATACTATTATATGTTTTGTTATTTAATCAAATATATAAATGATAATTGAGTACAATATTCATACTATACCATCCTACCAATAATATTTTCACATACAAAAATTGTGTAATTATAGAACTCAAATATAAAATAACTACATATTACATGCATTTGAAGCTATTATAAGTTCCTAATTATTATTTTCCACACTGTTGAATATCTAATTTTCGCAATAAAGTACTATTGACTTGAATGCATTATATTTGTGGGGGCTTTATTTTTTATTTTATTTTTTCTTATAAATTTTATTTATGAACTCATGAATTGTTTTTTCCATGTTTGAGTCTAGAAAGTCAACTAGATTAATTTACCCATTCACCCTCCAAGTTTCCACTATTTCGGTTTTCCGCCCCCATTGAAAAGTAAAAACTGAATAACGAATCAAAACCGTGACATTCATTTTCCCGTGTTCTTCTTCTTCTTCTTCTTCCTTCTCCTTCGGTGTAAAAACCCTCCGATTTTTCCATTTTTTCTAAGATTTAATATAAATAATAAATCGAATTCTCGCCGTAGCGAAATTCAATCCCACGGCGAAGGAAGTTCGTTCGCCGCCGTTCAATTGCAGATAAAAAAAAAAAAAAATTCAGAACAATAACCAACCCAATTAGAGTATGAAGAAAGTAAAGTTTTTCAAGAGCTCGAAGGATTTGCTTTCACGCGGATTCAATGCTTCCAAATGGTAAAAATCCTCCTGAATTCTAAAACTCTGCGCAGTTGCTTAATTGTTTAATTATTTTTTTAATTAATGAATTTATTTTTTCCATCCGGTTGTGAAATTCTGACATTGAATTCGATGCAGCAAAACGTCGCTGAAGCTGGGATCTTCGCGGCTGAAGCTATTAAGGAACAGGAAAGAAGGGCAAGTGATCCAGATTAAGAGGGAAATAGCACAGTTACTTGAGTCCGGCCAGATTCCGACGGCTCGGATTAGAGTAATTATTCTTTATCCCTTAGGGTTTATCAGAATTTAATCCGACTGAATTTCAATTTCTTTTTGTGAAGTTAATTCTGTGGTTTCGTCGAGTGATCAGTTCGTAATTATCGAATTAAATTGATGTTTTAGCAATATTGTTTGGAGATGTTTGAGTGCTTAGAGTATTTTGGATTTTCATTCGACTTCTTATTGGATATCAATGTAGAAGCAACTCATATGGTGGAATAGCGTAAATCTTCATGTGGTTTGTATTGACTTTTAAAAAAATGTTTGACCGCATTTTTTGCTTTCAGATGATAAAGTCAGAATCTGATATGTTCTAGCTGTATTTGTTCGGTATTTAGTGTCGGTTAATTGAAATATTTGCAAATAGCAATTAATAAAATGATTTATTTATTATCTACTGCGGGGGCAAATGATTTACACCGATAAGATCTTTGCGACAGAAGTATGTTATTACTTGCCTTTTGTAGTTTCTTTTGACGTAACTGATTTTTGGTGCCATTTATATCAAAATGCAAAACTCGGTGTTCTCCTTGAAATTTATGCGTCACCGTCGGAGTTAGTTTGGGTAGTTGGGAGTCTGTATTACTGCAATCTACATTGGAACTTGGACGAGAGCTAGAAATGGAGCCTGATGAAATTCAGTCTTATATTTTTCGTTCGAGTTTTTCCTTTCTCCACGTTGTGTCAATTCCAAGATTAGTGTTACATGAGAAGACCGTTTCATCAATATCTTGCATTATTTTTTTTCAGGTTGAACATGTGACGAGGGAAGAGAAGATGATGGCTGCATATGACCTTATTGAGATATATTGCGAACTTATTGTGGCACGTCTGCCGATAATCGAGTCTCAGAAGTATGTAATTTCTTTCACAATGGTAATCTATTTCTGCATTATCAATACAGCACAAGATTGACAATTACAATGTTATTTCCCATTTGACTCTGTAGGATTTGCCCCATTGACCTGAAGGAAGCAATTACGAGTGTCGTATTTGCATCACCAAGATGTGGAGATGTACCTGAACTTCTAGAAATAAAGAAGCATTTCACAGAAAAATATGGAAAGGAATTCATAACTGCAGCTGTAGAACTTCGTCCAAACTGCGGTGTAAGCCGTATGGTACGTTCGCAAAACCGATATTATTTTATTTACTAGAAATTAACACGTGTGGCAGTGAATGTCAAACAACTGCTATTTTTAGCCTCATTATTTATCTAATTGTTCGTCCGTTATTCCATCTTATTGCAGCTGGTTGAGAAGTTATCTGCAGTTGCACCTGATGGACCGACCAAGATTAAAATTCTTAGTGAAATAGCAGAGGAGCACAATATCAAGTGGGATGCTGAGTCATTTCAAGAGAAAAACTCGGTACCATCAAATGACGTGTTGGTAAGTTTAGCTGCTTCGGGAATTCACTTTAGTAAATACCTTAAATATCATAGTAATTTACTCGTTTATTTGTTCCATTGTAACCAGACTGGACCAAGTACTTTTGTGAAGGAGAGTGAAATCCATATTGAACCTCCTCCCTATGAAGCTCCAGTTGTCCAAGCTCCCAAAAATAACAACAGTTTACAAGGTTCGCCATTGAGCTTCTCCCCGGTGGTTCATAGAACCGAAAAGCTCGATTCTGACCATATTTCTGGTGTCAATACAGCATCCCAACAAGAAGCAAGGCCTATAGGTACAGCATATTCAACTGAAATAGAAACTCTTGATTATAATATGATTTGTTATTTCCTTCTTTAGTGGTTTCAATGACTGTTTCTTTTCTTCGGCATTAGGTGATGAGAGGACACAGTCATTTCACGGAGAGAACAGCAATAATCTTTCAATGGATAAACGGAAGTGGAGTATGGGATTTAAGGATGCCACCTCTGCTGCACAGGCGGCCGCTGAGTCTGCAGAGCTAGCAAGTATGGCTGCTAGAGCTGCAGCTGAACTTTCAACCCGTGAAAGGATTACAAGGCAGTGTTTCTCCGAATCGCGTGAGTCGGATGTTCGTGTTCCGAATGATGGAAGGCCTGAAAGGTACATGAAATCGAAATTGGACAGTGAAAAAATTTCTGAAGATACGATGGACAGATCATCTTACGAACGTACTAGGTCAAGGAATGAGCAAAAAGATGATGAGATGGAATCTAACAATCCAAAGACAAATCAAAGATTCAAGGACGATAGTCGTGGGGGTACGAAGGAATATAGCCAATCATCTTCTTTAAAATCTAAAGCTTCAAAAGATGATGACTCGTTGAAGGAAGGATCTAGAGGTGAGACAAGTATGCAGGGAAATTCTTTCAAGTATAAGGCTGAGAATGCAAATGGCTGGCCGGAGATATCTAAGAATGTCAGAGAAGAAAGGATTGAAAAACAAACCAGCGTTAAATCTTATAATTCCGCTTCTAGCATTTCGGATGATGCGAAAACTGCTGGTGTAGTTTTCGACAAATCTGATTCAGACAACGACGGTCATGTGTTTGACACGGGTCCTAAGTACGATGAACCTGAGTCGATATTTAATTTGCCATTATCAGGTCAAAGGTCACGCGAGCACCCCTCGACGAACACTGATTCTTGGAGTCCTAGATCTAGCAGAGGCAAAAGGGTGGAGTCTGATTCTTCATCACTGTTTCACACTAGAAAGAACTCTTCCGATTCTTCCGAAAGTTTGAGATCTATGGGTGGTCCGAAATTTGATAGTTCTATGCCAGTTACATTCGATGAATTGGATGGACCTAGTTATGAAAGTGAGGAGGACAGGCACATAGGGATTCACAGACATCGTCCTAGTAAACACACCGTTGGATCACAGTTTAAGGATAAAATCAGCCAATCATCCTTAAAGAAAAACGGGTCTTCAAGAAATGACCGAAAAGAACTACCACTTCCCTCTGATGATGATTTTCCTAGTGAACACAAGTCTGCTGGATCGCGGTTTAAGGGTAAAAGCAGACGATCGGCTGGATCACCATTAAAGAAAAAAGGGTCTTCAAGTTCTGACGGAAGAAAACCATCACTTTCCTCTGACGACGAACTTAAGTTTGAAGAACAAGAGAGGAAAAGAAACCGAGGAAAAAAACCTACTATCAATCAGCCAGCTGTTGAACCTCAAAAGATTAGGACAAAATTGAATTACGTTGGTAATTCCAGTTCTGAGAGTGAGGAGGAGGGGCTGAAGTTTAAAAACATTAAAGGTGGTCTTCGCCACAGCAGTTATAACCATCCCTCTTACACGAAAAACCAATCTGATGTGTCATCGTCCTCCGGTAAGAAAGGTGTAAAGGACACAGCCACTACTGAGAGTCCTGGGTTAAGCTCAAAGTTTGGACATAAAAAGAGTTCGTGGACAAAAAACCTCCGTTCTGAATCTGATAGTGACAGTTCCGAGGAAGAAGAGTATGTAAGAAAGAGCTCTCATCGCAAAGAGAAACTGGACACTGTTAGTCCTAGGTTAAGCTCAAAGTTCGAACACAAAAAGAGTTCGAGGACGAAAAATCTCCCGTCTGAATCGGGCAGTGACAGTTCCGAGGAAGAAGATTATTTAAGAAATAGCTCTCATCACAAACAGAAACTCGACACTGTAAGTCCTAGGTTAGGCACAAAGCCCGAACAAAAAAATAGTTTGCGGATGAAAAGTCTCCATTCTGAATCTGATAGTGACAGTTCCGATTATTTACGAAAGAGCTCGCATCACAAACAGAAACCGAACACTGTTAGTCCTGTGAAGGAAGTCAAAACGAAGCAACGTTTGGCATCACCAAAAAAATCTATTTACGGTTCTGATAAAAGTGATTCGGATAAGGATCTTCCAAAAAAGGAGCCACCCCATACCAGAATAAATCGTTTTGCAAGTGGGATTTCTCGAAGAACAACAAAAGCATCTCCTTCTAATACACCGCGCTTTAGGTCAGCAGCACCTGATTTTGACGATGACCTGGACAGAAAATCCCCATCCTCAAAAATTGCTGAAAATCGAAAACAATCTGATTTGCAGAGGAACTCGAGTAATATAGATGATCAGAAGCAGTCCACGTCAGCAAAAGTGGATTCAAAGCCAGCTAAATCAAAATTTTGGAGTCCTCCAGAAAACTCAAACTCAGGAGAAAACCAAGAGCCGAAGACCACTCGAAAACCGTCAGCTTTAGAAAATTTGTCAGCTTCGAAGCTCCAGCAAAAGCCGGAGAATGTCACTGTCGAAAATTTAAAGGTGTCAACTTTAAACAAGACCTCGTCAGATAATGACGGTACCCCGAGAGCAAGTCATGTTCATCCGAAGCTTCCAGATTACGATACTTTTCTACAGTCGTTTACGAAGAACCGTCCTTGACATGTTATTACTGTTTGTGAATATATATATTGTGCACGTCGTCGTTCGATTGTTTTGAGGTACAGAGTGTGCTGTAAATTTCGAGTTTTGTCAAGAATATTGTAAATTTTCATACAATACAAGCTTTTACATGTTTGATACACTGGCTTTTGCATGTTATAGAAACAGCTACATTTTTTGTAATTTGCATTGAATCCTATATTTATTATTTATTGCATATTTTTTTTATTACCTTATTTGTGATGTTATCATATACAAATAGAAAGTTTAAGGCTAGGGTTTTTTGGCCAACTTTTTCTTGATAATAACTTGCTCAAATTAGAGAAACATCAAAGATGAAAATTGCATGTGCTAATTTTAGCATATTCCAACACGTGTTAAATTAGCATATTTCAAGTTTCAACACGTGTAATCATGGCTTCAAATATTCTTCTGTGTTTCTCTTGCTACCTGGCTTCCTCACTTCATTTTTCACGCCCAATTCATCAGGTACCCTCTCTCTCTCTCTCTCTCTCTAACTCTCTCTCTCTTCAGCTAAAGTTTGATAGTAGTTGAATAATTTTCTGATTCTTTCACTGTTTTTTTAGTTGACTTTTTTTTTTTTTTAATAATCTGAATCCCATTGTTCTTTTAGCGAACGTTTTTTTCTAGGATGATTGAATCGATCAACGAAATCCTTGTTAAAACCAAAAATCGAACCCTAAAATCGCATTTTGTTTTTGTTGCTCACTGAATTGTGTGTGTCTCTTCTTCATGTGTTTGAATTTTGGAAATTAAATTTGGGATTTTTGGAAATTAATTTTGGGATTTGAATTTTCAGGAGCAAATTTAAGGATCTGTTTGGCTGTTCCGAGTTGGTTTAATTGTGAAGAGTGATGGGGGACAAAGCAAAGATTATTACATCTACAGACAAAGGTTTGTTGCAAACTGAAGAATTATATCAGGTAGCTGCTGCTCTACTCTTTCCTCCATTTTTGCATCTCTTTTTTTTTTTTTTTTAATTATTTATTCTATTTAATTTTGCTGTAAAATCGATTGCTTGATCTGTTCATTTTAACGCAGTATATACTCGATACTAGTGTGTATCCACGCGAACCAGAATGCCTGAAAGAACTAAGAGCCATCACTTCAAAACTTCCGCGGTGAATTGCTCTTCATCTCCATTTTGCTCATTGTTTTGTATACCGGTCTTTATTAGCGTAAACCAAATTATTTTAATCGATATCCGGAGAATTATAGTGTTTTTATTACATTGTACGAACAACATCATGAAAATGTTATACTCCCTCCGTTCCACAATAATTCTTTTTGTTCCATATTATCTGCCGCTTTAGAAGATTCGCATTAATTACATATTTTTCAATTATGTCATAATTAACTCTTCAACACTCTTATTAATATATAAGGGTATTTTGGTCTAGCAATATCTATTTTCCTAAAATCAATCCTAAAATCAAGACATATTTATTGAGTTTCTAAATATTTGTGCAAATGTGAAAAACGACTATTATGTACCATAGCTTCTCTGTTTTGTGATAAGCTAAATATGTGTATTTCTTTTATTTATTTATTTGTTTGTTTCTTATTTGCAGTGCACGCATGGGTACGGCACCCGATGCTGGACAAAATCTGGCACTGATTTTAAAGCTGATCAATGCGAAAAAGACGATCGAAATTGGAGTCTTCACTGGATATTCCCTGCTTCTAACTGCACTCACAATTCCGGACGATGGAAAGGTTATTTGCTGTTATTCTCATGTTTCTTTCGAGAAAGTATATTTATCACATAGGTTTTACGAATTTAAATGTAGTGAATTGCAAAACAACGTTCGTGTTTTTTTCTCTTCAAAAATTGTTTCGAAAACCCACCTCTCTATTATTTTAATCACCATAATAAACTCTCATATGTGACGTTTTTTTTTTTTTTAATTTAATTTTTTTAATCTCATAATCTAAGTAAAATGTATTTTGCAGATTACAGCAATAGACATGGACAGGAGCACATTCGAGATTGGATTGCCGATTATTAAAAAGGCTGGAGTCAAGCACAAGATCAATTTTATCGAATCCGAGGCTCTTCCAATTCTTGATCAATTATTGAAAGACGTAATAATTAATGCACGCATGCATATTTTGTTTTAAGAGATCTTCATTTTAAACATCATTTTTGTTTTTTAATTTCTCCATCTCTGTTTCTTTGATGCAGCCCGGGAACAAAGAGAGCTTTGACTTTGCTTACGTGGACGCGGATAAAGTCAACTACGAGAACTACCATGAGAAAGTGTTGGAGCTTTTGAAACCTGGTGGGGTTGTTATTTACGATAACACACTTTGGGGAGGCTCTGTTGCATTGCCCGAGGAATTAGTTCCGGAGGGTATGCTACCGACTAGGAAAGCTTCGGTGGAGTTTAACAAATACTTGGCGGCTGATATTCGCGTACAAATTTCTCAAGTTCCTCTTGGTGATGGAATGACCATTTGTCGCCGTTTGTAAAGACTTGGGATTTTTTTTGTTGTTTTTTTTGGTGTGCGTAGCAAGAATTGCTTATGGTTAGGGATGTAATCCGGACGGAATGGATCGGCAATGGTTTTTTCGGAAAATTTTCAATTTTGTTTGAAAGTATAAATTGATTCCAATTTCCGTTCCAAAAAATCGGAATGCAAAATATTATTCCGATTTCGAAATGCCTCGGGATCGTTGGAATTTTGGAAATTTCGGAAATTACATTAGTGTATAATCTCTTCTAAATTCAGATATAATGAAAAATTTTATAATATATATTTTCTTAATTTTGCAGGAAAATGCAAGAAAATTTAGAAAGTTCGATAAAATGCAATAAATAAAAACACGTTTAGGAACAATAAATTGGAAAATAGATTTTCTTATAAAGAAAAATGCAACGTAAAGTTTCGAATATCAATTAATATTTTCTAAACTTTTAATTTATTTGACACTTCGCTATTTATATTTCTCATATAAAATATAGCATAAGCTATGTGATGGAATTACAAATCATATTATAAAATTATATTATACATTTCAAAAAACCATAGAAATATTCGGAACTAAAATCGGATAAAAAATTGGCATTTTCGGAAATTTTTACTATTCTGATTCCGTTCCAAATAAATTCGGAAAAATAAAAAATCGAAACTTCGGAAATCGGAATGAGAAATACATTTCCAGGTTCGGATATTTTGTGAATCGGAGTTGACGAAATTTGGAAATTCCATTTCGATTTCTACCCCTACTTATGGTATCTGTTCCAATAAAACCTCATTCCCTCTCATTTCTCTCCCAAAATCAATTCAAAAGCTATAATCAAATTCAATCAATATATTTTTGGGGAAATTGGCTAGACACCCCTTATTCCATACTTATATAGGTAGAGATCCAAGTTGTTAGATGAATATAGGTATAGGTCCTTTAATTCAAAAAATTAATTTAAATTAATTGTATATAGACATAAACACCCTTAATTAATATTTATATGAAAATAATTAATTATAGCAAATAAGGAAACAAATCCCACATATCACTCATTTTCTTATCACTCCCCCCCCCCCCACCCCCCCCATTTCGTAAATCACTCTCCACTCTTTCTCTTTCTCAATATCTATTTGTTATTACTTATTCTTATAATTTTTATTTGCATTTTCTAATTAATTGTGCTTCATCAAACAAAATAATTTGAACGCATATTTCACGTCACAAAGTCGTAGTATTTACTTGTTACATTTTTTGGTAGGATTTCATACACTTATTTTCATAATTTTTCGACATTATTTTTTATCCACCAAGTTTATATCTTTTGAAGTTATGACAGCAAATTGCAACAATCAAGCGAAAAATACAAAAGAAAGAATAAACAAACTGCAATTTGCAACAAAAAAATAAATAGCATAACAAAGAGAATATGAAAACAAACTAAGTTATGTTTAAAATGTTATTCTACAAATGCCTTTACACAACAATAATACGGAACTAATGATCCTACAATGTTCTCTACGAAAGTCGTCGTTTTTTCAGGGCTTCGTTTGCAGTCTGATTTGCTCTTGTTTTTGCCTTTCGGGAAGACATTGAGGAGTCCTGTAATTTTTCGTCCCTTTTTTTGACGTAATTGTTTGAGCAGGCACAAAAAATCTATCAATAAGATTTTCGATTGCAAAAATAAACATGAAATAGCAAATTACAAACAATAAATGCAATTGTAAACAATAACTTCAAAAGTAACAAGAAATTACAAACAATGAATATCAAACACGAAATTGCAAACAAGAGACTTGTAATTGCAAACAAAAACTGCTAACAAGAATATGCTGGTTCAACTATAAACAAACAGCAAACTTCAAACTGCAAACCAAATGAATAACAATAAATAGCAGACATCGAGAACAACAAAACGGAGACTGTCATAAGAATAACTAATAAACGTAAATATAAATGTTCAATAATGCAATACGATACAATACAAATAACGATAACTGTCAACAAGCAACTGCAAAAAAAAAATTAAAAAATACAAACAACAATATAAAAAGTACGGTTAATAAATGTACAAAATATGTAAATCGAAACCTTTGGAATGTGTGGATAATAAACGAGATTGATACTCATGTATCAGCAAAAAAATTCTTGAGATAAAAAAAAATCTATAACATCTATTATTAAATCATCATTAAAGCATCTAAAAACAAATGAGAGAAATGCAAAAAAGGTAATTACATACCCAGACTTTTACTTTTCTGCATAATATTCATAACATTAATTTGTTGCTTACCGAGACTCGCACGTGTCTAAACCATTATTTGCGGGAGGAGTGAAAATCGCAAATACTAAACAAAGATGGAACGAAAAAATCCCAAAATAGCAAGCGGTGTCTCCAAAATAGCAAACGAAGAACGAGCAAGTAATCACCACATCACAAACAGCAAACGGAATTTGAAGATTTCAAAACAACCCGAAGGCCCTTGCTCAAACAACAAACCCTAAACACCAGCCGTTGTTTCCGAACAACAAGCAATTTGTAAACAGCAAACGAAACGAAACGAAGGCAAATAGGGAAATAACAAATCGAACGAAGACAAAATGCAAACGACCTGGTAAAACTGCAAACGACCTGGTAAAATTGCAAACGATCGAACACCCAAACCTATGGAAGGATTCAAAATTTGTGGAGAGATCTTCGCTTTGAAGGAACAGGGAAGAAATAGATTTCCGGATGTTTGCAATTCTAATTTTCGGATTTGCAGTATAATAGGGAGAAAAATAGGGGATTTGATTTTGAAGATTTATTTTACCGTATATTGATAGGGATATTGATAGGGGTACTTTTGACAAATTATAAATAAAAAATTTGCTGGAAATTAGAGTTTATTAGATGGATTTTAACACATATAATCTCTTATAGAAGGACCTATAGCAAATTGCCCCTATATTTTTCTCCTATAGTCAATAATTTCAATTTTTGTTTTTTCTCACTTGAAATTGGAAAAATACCAATAAAAGCCACAATAAAACAGAGTAATTATTTCTTTAATTTGAAAATTTACATACAAATTAATTAATTAATCCCAGTAGTCCGATACACTTGAAACTTCAAAAGCTTCTTCAACCCTCAGTTCACCTTTTCGACGTCGGAAAATTCTATAAACCCAGAAATTCTCCAAAAATCGGAGCAGCCTTCGCAAGTCGAAACATCTCTCAACGGTTTCCGGCGACAGCCACGGTCGACGGTGCAATCTGCGGTAAGATATTTTTTTTTTTTTTAATTGTTCAATTTTATTTGAAAGGGTTGTGGTTTTTCTTTCCGAAACGCATTTATAAATACAAAGCTGGTGTTCAATTTTACTAAAATTACAGAATAAGTTTGCAATTTCAGGCATTTCTGTGGCTACCTATTAAATTCGAATGTATAGCTATGACTCAAATCTGTTTATGAGATTGAATTAGTTTAATTTCTTCATTACCAGTGAAATTGTCTTGTGATAATCGATAACCGGTGGATCTTCGTGTTGCTGTTTCGTGTAAAGATAGGTGGTTAACTAGGTCATCTCTTCACAATACTTCAAATGGGATTTGAGTTGAATATTTTCATAACAAACTGGACATGATTAACATCAATCGACTCATTTTCCGATCCATAAATTAGGACCGGTAATCAACTATATTAATTTTAGAATGATTTTTCAACCGAGCTTGTAGCCGGTTGGTAGCCGGTTGGCAGTTGCTAATTTCTTGTAAACTCAGTTGGTCAGTATTTGGTCAACCAGATCGAAATACGTAGATATTTGGTTGTCAGGGTATATGTTAGCAATTTCAAGCTTCAGCATACTTTGTCGTTGGTGTACGGATACTTGTCGTCATCATAATTTTGCGAGAGGAGTTAGCATATAGTATTGCCGCCATTGTGTATTAACGAATTGTACTTCTGGATATTGAAGACCTAATGTTATTCTTTTAAATGAAATTCATAAAATCGTAGATGAAAATAGCTGTAGAAGGATGCATGCATGGAGATTTGGACAATGTATATGCTACTCTTTTACACCTGCAAGAAGTTGAGCAAATCAAGATTGATCTTCTCATTTGCTGTGGGGATTTTCAGGTATCGTCGTTTTTGTTCTGTAGTTCACAAATTGAATACGTATTAAAATCTCTGTGAAAACCGTTGTCCAAAACTCTATGGTTTTCATTAGGGATAATAATTTTGGATGAATTTCAGTCACTACTAATCTTTTTTCTGGTTTTATAGTAATAAAGAAGTTACCTCTAACTGTTGTATTTAAACTTGTGTTCAATCAGGCTGTTCGGAATAAGAAAGATCTCGAAAGCTTAAATGTACCACTTAAGTATCAGGCCATGAATTCTTTCTGGAAGTATTACTCGGGGGAGAAAGTTGCACCGTTTCCAACTATATTTATTGGTGGAAATCATGAAGCGTCAAACTATCTATGGGAATTGTGAGTGAGATTATTTCACAGTAATTTTGATATCTTGGATCTGTTTACAAAATTTAGAATGGTTAACTAATGCCGAATTACTGTCTTGTATTAGATATTTCGGGGGATGGGCTGCGCCGAATATATACTTTCTTGGATTTGCAGGAATAGTCAAGTTTGGCAATGTTCGTATCGGTGGACTTTCTGGAATTTATAAAGCAAATCACTATCGTTTAGGTAATAGTAGGTGCAGTAATGATTAATTGTTTGAAGAAATTCATAAACTTATATTTGTTACAAATGTAAAAAAATGCCCGTGATTTATGTTCTGTGGCAAACTGTTTCTTGAACTAGTCAAGAGTTTCGACTACTTCCTATGGTGTCTCAATATTTGAAGTATGTTATCGTTTTAGCATAATTTGTTTGCTCTGTGTCTGATTGTGCAGTCTCACTCGTCTTATGAACAGGACACTTTGAGAAGCTGCCTTACAACGACCAAGATATACGGTCTATATATCATGTTCGTGAGTATGATGTTCATAAACTGATGCAAGTTCAAGAACCAATTGATATATTTCTTACTCATGATTGGCCTGTCGGTATTACTGACCACGGGGATTCAGAAAAACTTATACGCCAAAAACCTCATTTCACACAAGAGGTACTGTACCGCAAGTACTTTTTTAATGCATTGGTTTCAAAATAATCCATGGATGGCATCATTACTTTAACTCAGTAGGGTAGTTTCGGAAGAAATTCCAGTTTAGGAAATAATCTATTATGAAACGTCGTAAAATTGAATGGGGAAAAGAAGTACAATTGTTCTTTTCATTTTTTGTGATCCAGATATTTTCCTGTATAAACAAATAGTAACATAGAAGATGCTTATTTACTCAAGTTGTTATTTCACGGTGATTTTCTCTTTTTCCATTTCTCGTGTGTTGTAAAAACTCGAACTTGTAATCTAGGTTATGGAAGGAAGATTGGGAAGTAGAGCTGCAGCCGACTTGATGGCCAAGTTGAGGCCTTCACATTGGTTTTCTGCACATTTACACTGTAAATTTTCTGCTCTTGTTCAGCACGGAAATAACGGCCCTGTCACAAAATTTCTTGCCCTCGATAAGTGCCTCCCTGGACGAAAATTTCTACAAGTAATTACTCGTAACTTGCAGCTAATCCAAAATATAATTAGTGGTTCAGCTAATTAAGTAACTCATTTGATTTTGTAGGTTATCGAAATTGAATCAGGGGCAGGGCCTTTTGATCTTCAGTACGATGAAGAATGGCTTGCAGTAACAAAAAAATTCACCCCAATTTTTCCTCGTACTAGAATGCGTGCAAACTTTAGGTGTGCATATGGATTTTTTTTTATCAAAATAATGCATTTGTTTTGCAAGATTTTTTGTGTTTTATCAGTAACTTCATTTTCTCCGTAGCGATGCTAAGCTGAACATAGAGGAGTGCCGCCGATTTGTCAGGAATAAGCTTCAAACACGAGGCAGCAAACCTTTTGAATTTGTTCGAACTGCGCCATGTCATAATCCTTCTCAATCTGTTGCTAACAACAATTTTTCTTCTGGTGAGTATTGGCACACGTGACAGCTGTCACAGAATGGTTGGTTACGTATCAATGAAGTTGTTGATTTTTTAGTCTGATGTTTGCCGTTTTATTTCCCTTTTACTTGTAGGACATTGTCGAAACCCTCAATCGGAAGCTCTCTTACAGTTGCTTGAACTCCAATATTGTCTAGATACTTCTTCTACTCAAGTAGAGAAGCTATATCAAAGCCCACTTTTACCCACAGGTAAGTTTATTTTCTTATCAATTCTTGTTATCGTTATGGTTGTAATTTTATACCAAGCTCGAGGCGTAATATTTTTCTATCGAATTTGCATAAATGCGCGTACCGGTACAATTTTACTTTCCTCCATATGGCATCACCTTTATTTTCGGGAGGTTTTTTAATGTGTTGCGTTACCACTGCAGGATCCGTTGATTATAATAGTGAAGATATTCCAATTGACGATGAAGATGAAGATGATGTCGACGAACTCCAGGAAAAGTATGATGGAAAAGTATAGTGTTTAGTCAAAGCTTCAAGGATAAATGTGTTGGATTACAAATGTTGTACTAATTTATCAGGAAACAGCAGCCATGAATGTAGAATGAGTAAATTTTGTTATCGTGCAATATCTCACAACTACATGGTAATTAAGGGGTTTAAGATATAGGTACCTGGTGACAAAATTTATTAGTACTAAATGACAACCTATTTAAATTTTTGCTAAAAATCCATTCCAAAAATGTCCTTTGTGCACAAAATTCGAATTTTGCCCTAGTTATTTCTCTATTGGATTTAGAATTTTGCTACAAAAGTGGTTTTTTTTTATCCCACTTCAGAGCACACTCTGAATATATATCACTTATAGTCACCCGTAGTCATCCATGACAATTTGTAATAACTTGTAGTCACCCATAGTGAATTATAGTAATCCGTACACAACTACAATTGCTCTAAAACCCTAGATCCGTCCTCTCAAACCCTAGCACCAACAACCCTTTGAATCACAACACCGTCAGACACCCCGTATATAAACCTTAGTCATTTTGCAAATTCAAAGTTGTACACTTTTGAATCCTAGCGCCGCCAGCAAACGGAGACCAGCCACTGTCCAACCGTCGTCGCCGCGTATGCAACAAAGCCCAACCAGCCCTAGCTAGCGCCCAAAACGTGCAACGAGCAAACAAACATTGTCGAAACACCTCACTAATCCTTCCCTGGTGAGCCCTAACACCACGTGCCCAAGCAATGATGCGATCGCCAGTCCAAGACGAGCCACGTCAGCAATGCCGTCCCACAAGCGCTTCTGGATAAGCCGCCACCGCCGATTGCAGATCCATTGTTCTCCACTGCAAAACTCAAAGAACTCAGTTAAAAACTAAAAGGATGTGTATCAATTTTTTTTAAACGAAGAATTTAGTTAAAATATTTTTATTTAGGGTTGTCCCATATTTAATTAGATTTAATTTGAGGGGTCTCATGCATTTTACCACAATATTATATTTGATTTATTATTTTTAGGAGTATTATTTAAAAAAAAAAATTAAGATAGCGAAATAATGTATCTTATTGGAACCGGTGCAAACGCAACCATTTAAACCGCCAAACTGCACAAACTGCAGCGAATATATAAACACCACCAAAATCCCGTTCATTCGAAAATTCGACACCGTTTGATTGATGATTCTTCTCCAATTTCCATGGACGATCTTCCTCCGCCCATCCTCCTCGAAATCCTCCGCCGCCTCGCCGACTCCGCCGACGTGGCCCGCTGCCGAGTCTCCTCCAAAACCCTAAACTCGCTCGCGGCGGAGCTCCGATCCGTCAACCTCCATTGGTCCTACCTCCGCTACGCCAAGTCCCGATCTCCTCCAACCACCAGGTCTCCTCCGATCACCCCCTTCAAGGAGGTTTTCAGCAAACTGGTTTCCGAATTGCGGATTGTCGAGAGCGTGTCGATCGGCGTCGAGAAGCCGCTGCGCTTCGCGGCGTACGAAGACATCGAGGACGAAGACGACGATCTGTTCCTGAGCGACGCTGGTTTCGTCAAGGCGTGGATTCCGAGGGTTTGCGGGGATTTGGTTTCGCTCTCGATTTCGGATTTTTGGGTTCAGTCTTGCTGGAGGCGATCCGATGTGCTCTCCCTCATTTCTTCTTACTGTGAGCCCCCAATTTTCTCGTATCTTTTGCTAATTGCTTTCGTCAACGCGTGCGTAATTATTGTGGATGTTTCAATTTCGTCAATTGGCTAATTCTTTGATTTTTTATGATGTAAAGAATAACAAAAATCCCCCTTTGATTAACTGTGGATCGAGTTTTTTGTGTACAGTCCTGTCTATTATACCTTCTATTAAATAGGTGAGAAATAAAAGAAAATATCTGAAATTGTAAAATCTATTCCTTGTAAATAAAATAAAATTAAAAAAAAATGGTGAAAAGTCACGGTGAAAGGGGTTGGTGTAAGACGGAAACAAACCTCAAGGGTTTTTGGTAATTACGAATAGGTGGGGTGTTTTCGTTATTTAGCCTAGTTCAGTGGGTTTTTTGTAATTTACCCCAAAAACAATGGTTTTTTTTTTTGGTCTGGCAGCACATAGAAAATAGATGGCAAATGAAATGATTCTTGGTATAGGGTTGAGATGCTTGATTTTGCTTAACCATGGTTAAACTCCTGTCATTTCTATTTCAGGTAAGCCTTTTTTCTACCACAGTTCACTCTGTTTCATTTCATTTCAAGATTTAGAGTAGCTGGTTCATGCTCTTGAGTTTGACCCTGGGTTCTTTTGTGTGAATTGGTTTGTGTGTTTAATCAAGGATCTGGAATGTTTGTTTTTGTAACTAAATAAACGGTTGCAGACGGTAATCGCATTGTCGGAAGGCCAGAAAAAAAATGGCAGATCAATTGATAATGGGATTTTTGGTTTCTATGCAGGTCTTAAACTCGTCGAGTTAGAAATCAAGAATGCATGGCTATCTGTTGACAGTCTAACTCCTATGCCAAATCTCACAACCTTAACGCTTGAATTTATAAGGTTGGATGACGAAAACTTGGAAAAGGTGAATGAATGTTTCCCTTGTCTGCAAGTTCTGAATTTGATCGGTGTTGGAGGACTTAAAGAACCCAAAATCCATCTCGCCCACCTTAAAACATGTCATTGGACGTTATCCAATGCTCCGATATCTATATCTATAATCGCACCCAATCTCATCGAGCTCACACTAACATGCGTGAAGCCGAAACTCCTATTCATCGAGGCTCCATTACTCTCCCAATTGAGTCTCTCTCTCGAAAATGCCTCTAACTTCAAAGTGAAAGAATTCTCCAGTTTAAGAAAACTCCATCTCGAATCTACAAGCCTCCGCAATCTACTCGCTACATTTCCATTCGGCAAAACCGTAAATAATTTAACCGCTGTTTCGACGAGGTGGGAGGTTCCGGTTGGAGTTTGCAAGTCGATTTTCGAGTTATTGCTTTGTGCTTTTCCGAATGTTAGCTCTCTTACTTTGACAGCTGGCGTTTGGTCGGAGTTCGAAGCGTATCCTGGCTTGGGAGGATTAGAATTCAGGGTTCGGATGGAGGGGTTGAAAGAGATTACGGCGTACTTAACTGTAAACGATATCGAGGTTACTTTGGCAACCATTGTCTCCTTATTGGACAGTTGCAGTGGCGTTTCTGATATTTCGATGTTCATACACCGTGATGTTGTTTCACATGTCACGAATAGTCTTATTTCGAGATGCGTGTATCATATGGCGCATCGAGCGAGTCTGAGATGGAAATGGGGAATGTGGAAAGAGGGTACGAAAGATGCTTGGATTTCTGATGGTATATGCCAACCTAGTTTTCAGAGCTTCCAATTTGTTAACGAGTTTTAGCATCATGGATTATTTATGATTTGATTCAGTTGTCTGAAATTTACAGTTTGAGAAATTGTAGTTAGTATAGTGTATTCTATTTATAGTTTCATGAGGAAATGGAGGTAAATATTGAAAAATTGTAACATGTACATCAGTAGTATAATTATGAGTATGAAATTGCAGAACACTCTAGATTGCTCAATTTAAAATTTTGAATAAAATTATAGTACCCTTGTTTTTTCTTCTCAACAGGATGTTATTTATAGAGATAAAAAACGAAATTAGCGAATTACGATATTTCGAAATGTTGCATTGATTAGCAATCCTACATACTATATATAACAGAAGTAAAAAAAAAATAAAAAAATGAAATATCCTAAATCTTGTGAATGCTGTATCCTGCAACCTCTGTTTTCAAGTTCTCTCTCCAGCTTCCATATTCAGATCCACCAAACATCACTTGCTTTATTCCAATATAACTGTACATATATTTTTCAGCTCAAACATGTTAGAGAGAGAGAGAGAGAGAGAGAGAGAGAGAGAGAGAGAGAGAGAGAGAGAGAGAGAGAGAGAGAGGGAGGGAGGGAGGGAGGGAGGGAGATAGAGAGAGAGAGAGAGAGAGGAGAGAGAGAGAGAGATGTGAAACTGTCTTACTCAGAACTTATTTGAGTCAATGCATTGACCAAAACATCCAAGAGTAGAGGTTCACTAGTACCTATATCCACCCTGTCAATTACAAGCCAAAAAAAAATGTCAAAATTGATTCTCTTCGGAGTTAAAATCTTAACCGTTGAATAAACCCCAAAAAGGGTTTTGAAAACCACTTCACCATATTCGAGCTAAATTATCTTGAATTTCGAGGTCCCCTATGTTGTAAAATGTAGCCGGCGTAACATTCGCCCCTTGAGTAGCATCATAGGTCGGTCTTTTGTCGAATGGGTTTTGCGACAACTGTGTCAGAAAGAAACAGAGAAATAAATGATTCGACTTTCGAAATTTAAGAAACATAAATTGCTCGTTATCGCCATTTTGAAGGCGGGGACTTACTTGCATGTTCATAGAATTGCATCCGCCAAGTCGTCCGACAATGTGCCACGACCGAAATGTCTGAATATTTATTTCTTTTTTAATGACAAATCACTTAGAATTAAGCAACGGAGTTTTGGAGATGGGAGTAACTTACGTCACAGATCAAAGAAACATCGTTGTCCAATAGCGTATTGTAGAATTCCAGCCATATATATGAATTCGAGAATTCGAACCTGGTCGCACGAAATATAAGCCATTCAATTTCCAATTGTTACGCATCGAGAAAACAGCGTGCAGTTCAACAAACAACATTCTTCTTTCCAATGCATAAATATTTTATAAATCTCTACTTCAAAATTGCTCATTGAGGACGGGCTATCGTTAGTATCATTCAAAGAGGCTTAGTTGTTGACGTTTTCCGTAGTAACGATACATTAAGTTGCACGCTATAAAACCTCGAAACGATTTAAAATTCTTAAAGGCGAATAAATACATTAGCAATTTAAACAGCTTACTTGTTAAACTTCACTGCCATTGGATTTGGTGAACCGGTTTTCGTATGCAATATCTTGCTCCTCTTGTTCCTCAGTCTCTCCTCCATCTGCCAATTATCACACATATGTCATACAGAGAGAGAGAGAGAGAGAGAGAGAGAGAGAGAGAGAGAGAGAGAGAGAGAGAGAGAGAGAGATTACTCTAGACTGAGCTTTCTGAGGGTCATCAAGACAAGAGCCAAGAATCTCGGCAAACTCGGGATCTTTGTCGTAATCCTTATCTTCGGCTTTTCGATCCCCGAAGCCGCCTCCAAGCCAAGAAACGTCATTCATATCATCATCAGTTACTTCACTATCACCAGCAGCACCATCATCAACAACAACACCGTTTATATCGATATCTGACCGCAAGTTCTTGATCCCCACTCGCGTGACCGGCGAGTACAGTTTAGATGAAAACCCGGCTTTAAATGGAGGCCTGCAGTGTAGAAACGGCGGCGGCTTTATACTCGAGTGGCTTGTAATTGAAGAGGGTAGTGATTGTAGGGTGGGCAAACATTGTTGGATGATAAGCATGGCTGCTGTATTTTTTTTTATTTCTTTTTTCTTGAATGTGTGCAGAGGGTTTTGGTTGGGCGGCGCCGGAGAGAGGAAACTGCGGCGAAGGGAAAACAAGGTACAACAGGGGAGATTTAGCTGTGGATGATTTCAGTTTAGCTACAGAGAATTTGAGAAATTAATGCAGATCAAGTGTTTGTTTATTTGTCTGAAAGAAAAATGAGGATAATAAGGCAAGGACCGTCTCTCTGAAAGAAAATATATGCGACTCGCTCTCTCTCTTTTAATTAATTTAGTTATTAATTAGGCTGCGGATATATGAAGCCCATTTTTTTATTAGTTCAAACCCATATAAAGGAGTTTATTAGTTCAAGTCCGTAAATTAATTTAATTTTATTACATCAAGATCAAACATGACGAGTATACCCTTATCAATAAATAATATATAAATACAAACAAACTCTATTTTTAATTTGTTCAAAACCAAAAAATAAAAAATAAAAAAGTAAAAAAAAAACCAAAAAAGTAAAAAAACCAAAAAGAAAAATAGAAAAAAAAAAAAAAAACTCACAATTGCCGCCATCAGATCCGCTGAAACACCGGCCAGCGAGACTTCCACCGCGCCGGCGACGACCAGCGACCCACCCACTCCACCACCTCCACACACCATCACCATCACCCCACTACCACCAACAAGTCCTTTTTATTGAACTTTTGTTTGTCTTCAAAAACATTAATCGAACATCGATTTTTGATAAATATGCGTAGATGAACATTAATCTATGCTTACTTCTCGTTGGGTTGCAATGCTTTAGCCGATTTTGGAAAAAAAATTGAGATTGAAATTAATTTTTTTGTGTCTTTTCGTTGGTTTCCCAAATCGGTTTATCCAGACCAATTTTGTACACGAAGATCGGCGTCACAATGCCGATTTTTGTTAACCAAATCGGTGACACAACACCGACTTTACAAGTCAAAATCGGCGTTTTTAACGCCAATTTTTTTTTTTTTTTATGATTTATGTTTTTTATTTGCTTTTGAATTTCATTAAGGGTAAATTAGTATTTTTATATTGGAGGTCTTGAACTAATAAAAAAATGAGCTTGAATATATCCGCCGTCTATTAATTATTATAACGTGAATTTGTTTTTTATAAAGAAAAAAAAAATGAATTGTTAGGGGTGGATAGAGAGGGTGAAAATTTAGAATGAAAATTCTGAATTTCGTCCATTTTGATTTGAGAATTTTTTAAATTTTGAAACAATATTTTTTTTTTGGAATTCGTACAGTTAAAAATTTTCTAATTTTATTTTTCTTCGGATCAAAACAAAATTTTGTTGTTTTAAAGAAACGGTCAGGAAACTTAATCAACTCTAAACCTAATAATTTTGATCGTGTTTTTATATTTTTTATTTTTTTTAGAAGATTCTTGGAAAATTTGATATATGATAAACCAATTCATTTTGGTTGACTGTTTTTGTTTAATGGGTAGTGGGATTTTGTGTATTCTTGAATAACAGAGTGATTATATATATATATATGGTGGTTTTTGTTGTAGGTTTTTGTAATGGAGAACAGAATCCCATCCGGGAGTTACTTTCAGTATGCTCCAACAAACATGCATAGTCCACTTCAGAGGTCTTCTTCTCTTACAGATCGGCAAGGATTTTATCGGCTCTTCTTTGAATCGTTTTTCGTTTGTTTTGTCGAATGTGATTTGCTTAGTAAGCTACTAGAACTACATTTTAAGATCGACATACTAAACTTAAAACTATATCGAACATACTATGCTTAAACCATTTCGTCAACAAAAGATCGACATACTAGAGTAAAATACATACTATGCTTAAACTATATCGTCAACAAAGGATCGACATACTAACTAAAATTATTCAGGTTATAAGCATATTTTAGAAAGATGTTTTTGCAGTCACTTATTTTTTATTGTTCAGTACATTTCAAGATTGATATACTGCGTGTCTGTCTTGTTTACTACATTTCAAGATCGAGATATACTAGATTAAAACTATATTTTCAATGAGCGTGTCGGTCCTTAAATATGGAAAAGATCGACATATTAGGCTAAAACTATATGATTCGGTCTTAAAATATGGAAGGTGCATATGGAAGGTTATAAGCATATTTTAGAAATATGTTATTTATCATTGTCTTATTGTTTTTGCAAGCAACGATCGTATTCGATAACATTCCTTATATTTATATTACTTCGCCTGCTACTAGATGGTGTGGATTGATTTAATCGTATTGCTGGCATCTCCTACTAGATTTTGAGGATTTAATGAATGGTTGACATTAATTTAATCATACGTTTGAGAGAGGACGTTCAGAGCAATCCATTAAAGTTATAATTACGATGGAGAATTTTTTCCGAAGTTGTTAGAAATCTCTAAAACTTGCCAGCAAATTCATACATGTTTTCAGAAAATTCTTTTCAACAAGTTGATTTCTTTTGATTGTGTCATTTGGGCTACTTTTCTTAGTCAAACGCTTTATCAAATCTATTAACTAAACTTTTATTAAATTTATTACCATAGTTAAATACCATTCTGTGAAATTTATAACAAACGAAAACTCTATTTTAATCACACAAAATATCAACTTTTGTTAAGAGAAAAACTGAAAGTTAACTTGTCGTATTCTAAATTAAAAACTTGAATTTTGAATGATTTAACACTTAATGCAAATATATATATCGAGTACTGTATTTTTTTTCAGGGTCATTTTACGTTGGCGGACGCATATTTGACAAGATTCTTACTGGCATTATGACAATTTGCTGCAATCACAATATGGATCCCAAAAACTGCGACAGCTAGCTATTTGTACACGCGACATCCGTTTTAGCCTGAGTCAGTGGGGGCATAATTTTGTCAATAAGCCTTGTACGAATACATATATCCGCGGAGTTTCCTGACTTCTTCAGATGACTGGTTGAGTAAATAGTCCACATAAAGGCATATTCCAGCTCCACTGCAAATGTGAAGAACAAAGGTTCAATTAATTCGATTCCAACAATACAAAATTAACTTAAACGTACACCGAAACAGAGTCTAAACGAAGGTCTACCCAAGTGGCGTCAACGGAAGCCACACGATATCCCACCTAAACTTTGCCAATCTGCACCAGACATGTGCACTGAGTAAGAGAAACCGCCAAACCGGCATTGTATACAACAAAGAAATGTTTTCACATGTTCTCCGATTCTTTTAAGCCTTGGCAAAATACCAACACGCCAGAGAAAGAATGAGATCGCAGAATCGAGATCGTTGGGATAAGTTGGTAATAACAATGGTGTAACTTTGGTAATAATAATGAATTAATGATACTATCCATTTCCAAATTCCACCAAGTGATAAAATTCGGTAGATAAAAATTCCATTACGTACCGAAAATCGATTGAATATTTTGCAATTGGAAATTTGCAGTTACAAAAAACTAATAGCTTACCTGAGCATGTGGTGCAACCAGAAGACCGCTAACAATGTACCAGGTACAAAAGAGTACCAAAGCCAAAGGCGGCGTCTTGAGTTGTGCATCAACCCAGTGATGACCATTAAGCACACTAGAACAGCTGCCGTTTCTGTAGCATATTTTTATGTTAGATCTTGTGGTGAAAGATTTCAAAATTATTACCAACCAAAAAAAAGATGAGACAAACATCAACTTTTATTACGTAGTTTTATCTTCGATGGTGGTGGACCATAGTTTGAGTCATAAAAGCGAACTTTCAACTCGTACGAATAAGGCTAGTATTTTTAGTCCTCGGATCAATACAATCCTTTACACTTCCCTAGAGAATTTATAAGATAATGGAACAACGAACACCGAAAATGATTTATCGAGAATCGAGATGCAAAGTTTGGGGAAAATTCATCTAAAACCACACCCATCGTTAAATTATCCATGTCTTAGAGAAAATTAATCTAATGTTTTCACGAGCCCCACAAGTTTATTTATAGAAGCAAAGTAACCTGAAGATACAGGCGCATTCAACAGGGCAATATATAGCCTAGATGTTGTACCACGTGAAAGCATATACTCACGAACACATAGCCCAAACAGTAAACAAGCAAACGCAACAACATTATCAACATTATATACAAATAGACACATAAACTCGTGATACAAAACCCTGAACAGTAAATAAGCAAATTTGAACGACATTATCGACATTGTATACATATGGAAAAATCATCCAAAGAAAGGAAATGTATAGAACAAGAAGGAGCTAACCTGCAGCTACAATGCTCCCGGGACCAACCTCGTACATAAAATAAGCATGGTACCGCTGCACACGAGAATGGAAACAACAAACATTAACAAAACCAACGGCATTAGAGCATCAAGTTCCGGTCCGTTTCCCGTTACTTAAGTTACATCTAGAAGATAAAAAAAGGTAATAGTGAGTAATATACTTCAGCAAATTATTCATCCATTATCATACAATGGTGGTGTTTGCAAAAACTTTTACAAATAGGTTATGAGCTTTTTTTTTTGTTCATAATCTATTTTGAAGTTTTTGCAAAATGAACTTATGCTTTTGCTTCTCTTAAAATAAGCAACTTTAAGCTATAATTTGTTAAGCACCCGTGACCCTGATTTTTCTATTTAAGTTAATTTTCCAGTAAATTTGCAGACACCCCCAACTTTTAGAAATAAGCACTTAAAACCAACTTAACTCGTACTCCATAACTTCTGCTTTTAAATAAGCTTTTGCAAACACCACCGATAGATACAATGTCAATCGACAAAAGTGCGATCATACGGAAACTGATTCCAATATCTACCCGAATAGAGACGTATCCTATTTAGATTGTATCATCAGAAACTACAATTCCCCCACGGTTAATTTAAAAAAAAAAAATTGCAGTTAGCTATTAAAAATCGACTATTCGAAAGAAGTTCGAAATGACAATGAGGGAACATAGAATTTTACCAATTCCCAGGGAGAGAAAGCCTGTTGATAGATTGAATAGATGAGGAAACAAGCATAACATGAAACAAATCCAGCAAAAACAGTCTACAAAAAAAAATTCGAGAAAATCAGAAAAACAAATTAGGAAAAAAAAAAGAGGGGTTTAAATATAATGTAACTGTAATTTTAAATTTTAAACACATACTCTCCATATAAGAGACTGGTGAGCTTGACTATTCTCCAAGGATCGAACCAATTCCTCTTGCTCTGCATATATACATACACCATACATATATATGTATAAGCAACTAAATAAATTAATGAACAATTCACAAAAAAAAAAAAAGAAGGAAAATAACAGAGATGAAGACGACCTTGGGTGTCAATCGGACGGGAATCGTCGCGAGTAGGAAGAGAGTATTCGTCGCCGCCGTCGGCATCCGCCGACGATTTTCTCCATTTCCTCGTTAGTTTCTGCATCATTTCTTTCTTTCTTTTTTTCCCCTAATTACTGCTGATCTGTATTTGTACCAAAAAAAAAATTCAAACGATAAAAATCTGAAGTGACAATTATTTTTCGCATTTTATGTTATATTACTAAATTATTATATTTAAAAAATCACACCCACGTTATGTATAGATATCATCATAATATACTTTTTTTTTTGATAGATAATACATATAACTATAAGGTTAAATTACGAAAATCCCCTTTTTGTTAAGGCAATTATAACGACATCTTAATTATGTGTCTTCTTACGAAAATCTCTCGTTTAATATGTAAATTTGATCAAATAGGGTAATCAAACATTTAACCAACATTTACATATTCAAATTTTTTTTTTCTTCAATGCAGTTATCAAATGAGAGTTGTATTTTGAATGTAAAAATACTTGCTGGAAATCAAGTTATAAAAATTACAACCATCTAATCACAAGTTGAGACGCGCCAACTACAAACAACTTCGAACTAATAATTAATTTGATAGCCGTGGTTGAAGTAGATGACTTTTAAACGAACATTAAAATATTATCTCAAATATCAAATGAGTGTTTGATAACTCAAATTTTAACATTATCATTGGAGTTGATTAAAGGATGACACTAACAAAATATATAGTTGATGAATGATTGTAATTATCAAACATTTTTTTTATTTTATAATATTCGTATATAGATAATCTATATTATTTTTTCTGATAATATAGATAATAAACTTTTAACATGCGCATATAATTTTTTTTTAATGAACACCTAAAATAAAAATAAAAATAAATGTAGAAACTAAAATAATAGTAGTCAATTTCTGGACTGGGCCTATTGAAAGAAGTTGGGCTCTGCATTTGATGAAGGCCCAAATTCTAGGTTGAATTTTACCCAACAAATTCAGAACCTAATAAATACTCACCAGAAACCCTAATTCTCAAATTCTCACATCTACAGCTTCATTTCATCCCGGCAGCCGAAAAACAAACCTCTCGGAAGTAGTTGCAGAAAGAGAATCAACAAAAAATCATGGGTAATTACGACCTCTATCTCTGCTAATTCGTGTTTTGAATCCGATTGATTTTGGGTTATTAATTGGGTTAAATTAACAAAAAAAAATTGATGTTGCAGGTAAGGTTCACGGATCGTTGGCTCGTGCCGGAAAGGTGAGAGGTCAGACGCCGAAGGTGGCGAAGCAAGATAAGAAGAAGAAGCCCAGAGGACGCGCCCACAAGCGCATGCAATACAACCGCCGTTTCGTCACCGCCGGTAACTTTAATATTTCCCCTCATCTGTTTTTACATTTTCTTCAAAGTTTGGTTTTTTTTAATTAAATTTAGCGTTTTGATGATTCACTTTGCTTCAGTGGTTAATTGAGAAAAAGTAGATTTATTTATCAGTAGTAATTTAAAGTGGTGGTGATGGAGTCTCGAATTGATATGAAATTCTGTTAAGTACAGATTACAATTTGTTATTTGGGTTGCTCGCCTTTAATCAATTGCCTTTTAACCCTAATTTTTTCTTCTATTAAGCTGTTTATGATAGGATGGATCTGTTTAGGGTTTGGGATGGATTTAATAGAAAATATAATTAAGATGGTGTCACATGTTTGGGGTTTAGGATATAAGCTTGATGATTAGACGTCGACCCAAAATTTATCCAATTATGTGAATATTATGGAGTCCAACTTCGGCCGTGTTATTACACAATCGTATGAAGATATCACACGATACAAGTTTTGTATTACATTATTGTAGACAATATAATTCTATACATTTCAATCAATCTTATCAATCCCATCAATATTCCCAAATGAGTGTTTAGAGAATGATTAATAGTTCCGAATAATTGAAGTATTGTTTTGATATCTGATATGCGGTTGTGTTCTTGCAGTTGTTGGCTTTGGAAAGAAGAGAGGACCCAACTCATCCGAGAAGTAGATTGGATGATGATTAGTATATGTTTCGAGGTGCAAAAATTTCTGTAGTTTGGGATAATTGTTTTTTTATAATGCCATAGTTTTGACTTTGAATGGTTTAAACCTGTTGCAGCTTTCTTTTGCCCTTTTTCGACTATGTTGAACATTTTTTATTTTGGTTGAATGACGATTGAATGGATTTTGTTTATTGAGTAATGGTAATTCATCTTTCTAGTATCACTTGTTCGGTTAATTAAATTTTGTACGAGTTACTGAGGGAAAAGGGGCTGTGGTTATCTGTAATTTGGCATAATTGTTCAATGTGATTCTCCGAGCTTTTGATTTTGTTGCTAATTGCTATTCACAAGATGCAATGAGTATTCTTGTGGATATGTAATTTATACCCTAGTATCTTTTTGTTAGCAAATTATGGCCACCACTAAGGTAATGTCAAATTTCGAAAAATTCCCTTTTGGTTGTGTAATTACAACAACACACCCTTAGTTATGAATTGTCTTACACGTTCAATCTAATGGTGTCAAATTTATCTTCTGAATGAGAGGTAGTTGTAATTATCCAAACATGAAGGGTTATTTCGTAATTTGATCTTTCCCCGTAAGTGGTCTTAATTTTCCCTATTATGTATCGTGACTTGTAATTTCGAATCATCAATTATGAAAGTTTTCAAACCTTTGTGATTTTGATATTCAGTAATCTCCAAATGTAAGTTGCGCGTAACTTGAAATTAATTAGTTCTATCAAATCATTTGCAACGAGGCACCGGTTCCGAATTAAAGATAAATGCAAAACAATTTGAACAGCATAGTCATTAACAGCAAGGCTGAGACAGTTCATACAATAAAGACTAGCTTAGCTCTCTCCATCTAGTTCCATTCACATAGGAAAAAAAGATTAAAAAAAAAAAACATTTTCAGCACTTACTCACAATTCATCATGGAAGCTTCTATTTTGAGCCTCCACCGAAGACCGACCTTCTAGAAGGTAAGTTGCCGCCAGTGAAGCATGTAAAGCGGCACCGTAAGGAAGCGCATCCTCGTTCACTCTAAAGTAAGGAGAATGACCTGTTTCCATCTGTCCCTCTGTCTCGTTGACCATCCCCACATAATAAAAATATCCCGGTATTGACTCTGCAAAAAACGAGAAGTCCTCGGATCCCATCGAAGGCTGAAGCTCTTGGATTTTCTCGTCACCGATCATGCTTCTTGCTATTTTCAAGAAGTGTTGGTGCAGTTCTTTGTCGTTTGATGTTACTGGGTAGAAGGGTTTTTCTTCTCCGTAGAAGTTCACGCTCGCGTTGCACCTTTGGACGGCAGCTTGTAGGGTGATGACCTGTCGATGACATCATTGTAACTGCTCGTATTTAAAAACAGACAAACTATCCATCTGTGTTATTTTTATTAGCATAAACGCCTTTTGATCTGATCGGAAGTCGAGAGGCGAATAAAACGTTTTGGATCTCACCGTGTATTTTTATCTACTGGCGGATAGGGGTGGAAAAATTAGAAGGACCAGTTCGGATCGGAATTAACACTTCCGGAAAAATTCTGCCGTTCCGTAAAATATCGGAAAAATTGGATATTGGAATGAAAAAAACTTGTTCTAAAGTTAAAAAATAAAATTGGCTGGGAATCGGCAAATTTGGATTTCCATTTTTCTAGTCACCTATAATATAAAATAATAATATTGATATATTTATTAAGTGTAATTTTCAGAAAAGAAATTGGAATTTTCGGAAATTAAAATCTAATGTGTTCCAATTCTGCTCCAAAAGAAATCGGAAATCAGAATGAAAAATATTGTTCCAAAATGGGAAACATTCGGAAATTCCATTCCAATTCCGGCCCTACTCGCAGAGATCGGGACTCCGTTTACGATCTTCAAATGACACAAATACCCTTTGATAAGATACATTCTTGATATGACACAAATAGTGTAAGTGTTGATTTTTATTTAAGGGTATTTGTGTCGACTTTTAATTGGTCAAACGGGCTACAAGAGACGCTAACGTCGGGAATATTTTCTTTACTTGAGGGTAAACTTTCCAAACTGAGTTGCTTAATGAGAGATGCCAAATCAATTCAAACAGACTGCCAATAATTAACATGATCATCGGAAAGTTTACCTCTTCTATACGATGTTTGAGTTCAATAAAACCTTGTTTCGAAAATGCCCGGAAGGTTCCACCGATTGTAACAGAATCGGGAATGACATTGAATGCATGGCCTCCTCGAAATTTGGCGATAGTGACCACCTGCCAAATCATTTCTTGTGAGAGAGTGCTTCGGAATTCATATATTCTAATTATTATATGAAGATATCAGCAAAAAAAATAAAAAAAGAAAAAAGAAAAAAGAAAAACCTGTGAATCGAGAGGATCGGCCTCACGCGAGACAAGTTGCTGTAAACTAACTATAATATTGGAACTGGCTAAAATTGGATCGATAGTTTGTTGAGGGATAGCGGCATGACCTCCTTTTCCACTTATCTTCGCCTCGAAAAATCCACTGGCAGCCATAACGGGGCCCTCTTTGGTGGCAACTACTCCTACGGGATAACGAGAAGAAACATGTAGCCCAAATATTGCATCGACATTCTCTAATATCCCTTCATCCCTCATTTTCTTTGCTCCACCACCACCCTCCTCTGCTGGTTGAAAAACCAACATTACAGTACCCTAATAACGGAAGCATCCATAAATTGGCAAAAAATACAAATCCACAAAAAAAAAAAAAAAGCATTTGGAATTTCGCATGAGAAGACGCACCGAGTCATGTATATGGTTAAATGCATTCCATAGATTTCGTTTAGATACTACAGTTCCTTTTTAGTTTCAAGACATTCACTTTCAGTAATACTATCAAAATTCGACTTATCTTTAATAAATAAAAACTTTCATTCATTACGTGTCGCTAAAAAAAATAAAAAGGTGATAATATTCTGAAGGGATCCCATCTAAGTATCAATTAATAACTTTCTCGGCTAATGCTAAACCAATGAACGACTGAATCGAAAATATTTCGAGAATCTCCCACAGAATATTTAGACAAAGATTCAAGTAGTAAAAGTGTTCTTATGTCTCTCTCTTCTTTTTTCTCGACGAAAAAATTGTTCTTATGTTTCTGGTACACATGAAATGCAGACAAATATATACATTATATTCCATTTATACAACGCAGAGTAACCATGCATGCATTATCTTCTTTTCAAGTTCGAACTCATCCATCGTGATTGATTAGCCTTACAAAAGATATTCAACTTCAGAGAAGAAGTAATATATCTACGAACAAGTCTAGGCTGTAACGGAAAACCTTCATCAATCGACTGTAAGTCTTAGCTAAATAGCCATACATACAGTGACGGAGCCAGGATTTTAAGTTTGAAGGGCTCGGGTGCATTAAAAAAATTCTAGGGGGGGTGGTTCACGAATTTTTTTATATTTATATATAAAATAATAGGAATCTGAGAAATGTAAGGGGGCCATGGCCCCTCTTGGCCTTATACTGGCTCCGCCATAACAAATAAATAAATGTTCAGAAAAAAAAAACCTCCAAATGACTGTAGTGCTCCTGAAGAATCTTTGCAGCACCAAGAAGCATAGCAACATGGGCATCGTGCCCGCAGGCGTGCATCTTTCCCGGAACTTTACTTTTATGCTCCCACTCCACAGCTTCCTAATTTAATCAAATTCAGCTTCCTAATTAAATCAAATTCAGCTTCCTAATTAATCAAATTCAGTACTCATTCTAAATCAATTAATTCAAAAAAATAAAAAACAACAAAAAACCTGCATAGCTAGGGCATCCATATCAGCTCTGATGGCGACGAACGGCGGATTTCCGGTGCCGATATATCCAACGACGCCGGTGACAGCGATTGGGTGCTTGTAAGGGATGCCCATTCTATCGAGCTCGTTTCTAATTAGCTTGCTGGTTTCGAATTCTTCGAATCCGAGCTCCGGATTTTCGTGGAGAGTCCGCCTGATTTTCACCATGTAGTCGAAAATCTCGGGCGTTTTGGCGGATTTTAAAAACTCCGATGGGATTTCCGACGATCCTTGCTTGCTCGAAAATGCGGCTGAGATAGTAGGATGTGAAATTAACAGTATGAATAAATTGAGAACCAGAGGAATCCATGTAAACGAACTCATGATTTGCTCTGGTAGTGATGAATTTGGGCGGCGGCGCGTCGCTGATTTTGTGTAGTTTCCGAGGTGTGGCGGAATCTTTGAAGTCTAGATTCTGGACGGTGGACGAGTTGGGTTTTTGTTGGAAAATTGGGGGCAATTGGGTAAATATTTTTCCTCTGTACATATTTTGGGGGTAAATCGGTAAATTTCTAATTTTCTTTTCCAAAGACATGTATTTATAATAAAATTAAGGAAAATGGTAAATTACAACTACCCCTGAGGTATGATCAAATTATGAAAACTCCATCTAGTTTGGGTAATTGCAACCACCCCTCAACTTTAAATCTTCTTACACCACCAGCCTTGTGGTTTCAAATTTAGTGGAATCTTCGAGATTATATGCAATATTATCACTTTTGTATCCGTTTTATCCGATTCGAACTCTACATTTTGAAGTAAGATGATCATAAGATGTGTTTTTTTGGCTTGTATATATCAAATTTGTGGTGCATCAGAAACTGTATTTTTGCACACAAAACGAGTACAAACTAGAGAACATTCCACGAAATCTAGATGATATGTTGAATTTGACACCATAAGAATGAAGGTGTAAAAAAAATTATAATTAAGGGATAGATGTAATTATCCAAACAATAAAGATATTTTCATAAATTGACCATACATCAGGATGAGGTGGTTGTCATCTACCAAGAAAATAAACATATAAAGATAAAAGAATTGGGCTCCTGTTTTGGGTTGGGCCTTCCGCAGTTATCCATGTTGCTAGCCGGTCCCGTGTGAGAAAAATATATTGTAGTCTGAAATAATTTGTTCGGTTACGACTATTTGACCATATCGACTAAACAGTAGGGTTTAATAATATGTCTATGTCTCATTTGGTTGATAAGATGAGATTAACAACGATAAAGTTAAATAATCTAATGAAATCTAATTGTATAATTGAATCTTGGAGGTCTAATAAAAAAATATGCCCAAAAGACAAGATAAATCACGATAATATAATATTTATAGGTCGACTCGGACGAGTTCTTGACAATACCGAATATCAACAAAATCCAATTATTTAATTAGTCATGGCTAATATCCTTAACCAAACGATACCTAAGTTGAGAAGATTCACACTTGGTACAAAAGTCAGGGCAATCGCACATTATTATTTCATTAAATCAGTAACACCCTCATGAAATTAATTTTGTAGTAGGTTATTGAACATGAAAAATATTATTTTATGCTTTAAACTATGTGTTAATTTTTGTTAATAAAAGAGTTTATAGACAAAATTAGACTTAAGTTTAACATATTTAATACAAGATTAATTAAACAAACTGAGCATTAATTGTACCCGCCCTTTTTACAATTGGGGCGGTGATTATCCATCAAATTCGCGGCAAAACGGGTTGACCACTCTATTTCAACTTTAAATATTATGGGTCAAATATTACCTTAATTTCTTGATAAATATAGAAGGGCTACCCACTTTGAATTAGCGGTGGGTTTCGTAGGGCTGCCGTACCAAATCCCTCGAATCACTACTATTACCGAAATTTCGATATTATGAAATCCATTACCATTGCCCGATCAAAAACTTTGGTATACCGATTTCGGCATACCAAAATTTCGGTACGGTAGGGTATGGTAATGGTAATTACCAATCTATATTATCTACAATTTAAATATAAATTCAATATCATTTTTTTCAAAACCATTCAAGGTATATACATGTTTAAAATGTTCAAACTAGTATTTATGATATAAGTATTCTAAATATATGTTCTTAATTTACCTAATATGAAATATTTCGTAAATACAATTATAAAATAAAAACTTTTAATATCAATTATATCATTATTAATAAAAGCAATTTAAAATATTTTTGACATACCTAAAGAGTATAATTAATTTTAACTCATAATAGTTAGTTAGGATACTATATTAACTTTGTATATATAATAAATTAATTATTAAAATAAAATTTTATTTATTAATAATATTTCGGTACGGTAGGGCAGTACCATTGTAATAATATTGAGTGCCGTTGCCCTACCAAAACATTTCGGTAGGGTACGGTAATAATTCGTTAGAAATATTTCGGTAGAGAATCGGTAGGGCAACGGGTTGGTAGGGCAATTTGGTAAAAAAAACCCACCCCTACTTTGAATGACATAACAAGAAATAAATATATTAAAAAAATATATCATATTATATATATATAAATTTTTTTTTAATTATTCCACAGGACCAAATTGTACGAATAATCCATTTTTAAAAAAAGTTAAGTGCATGCCGTATGGGTATGGACCCCGACTCTACCAAATCTACTTTTCTTTCTACGCAGAAGAATAAATTTAGAATAATAAAAGCCACTTTTGACTTTTCGAGACTTTCCCAAACACGCCCTACACCAGCTCTCTTTCCTCTTCGCTTCAACCGATCCATTTGTTGAACTCGAATCGCTGATTCTGAAGCAAACCTATTTTTTTCCATTCCTAAGGTACTGCTTTTGAATGTTTATTTTCTCGTAAATAAGTTAAAAATAAACTCTGATTTTTCCGTTACTTGAAAATTAAAAAACGAATTTGGGGGCTCTGCAGCTAGATTAATCTACGTAAAAGCCGAAGATGATTAATTACGTTTTCATTTTTTTTTTTTTTTGAAGAAGAAATTTGTGATTGAGTTAGAAGTTTGATTTGATCGAAAAAATCAAAGATGTTTAGTCGGATTCTACGCAAACAACCCAAGCAAGAGACGAGCACGCTCACCAGCCTTGACAAATTAAACGAGGTATATTATATATAATTAATCCGTTGATTTTTGAATTTTTAATTTGTTTTCTAATGATTTCTGCTGTTTATTTATTTTCCATTATTTTTTTTCGATTATGCATATATATAGGATTATCTTTTGATGTGGATAAAATGGAAAGGGTGAACTTGTTGATTATTGGTTGGGGGTGGATGGGGGTGGTTTATTGTGGTGAAATTTCCAGAACTAATTTTCGATTTTAGATTCGGGTGATTAATTATTCGATAGTGTTAATCCGTGTTCTTGTAAAGCTCGTATTTTTCGAAGCTTCGAGGTAGGTTCATTAATTCTTAAACAAACCAGCCGTAATTGTACATTTCGATTTTTAGATGGGGACGGACAATGTTCGTTTCCCATATCCGCTTTTTATGCCGTTAATTAGATACAAGTTGACCTTAAATATGATCCTTTAATAGCTTGGTAATTAACTGACGATTTCTTTCTACTTCTCGTCATATTCGATATGTGCGTTTTGTATAGACTCTTGAGATGCTTGAGAAGAAGGAAAACGTGCTTCAAAAGAAAGCATACGCCGAGGTGGAGAAGGCCAAAGCATATACAAAATCAAAAAACAAGAAAGGTATAATCATAGTCGTGTCTATCGTAAAGCAATAGCTAGTTATTTAAACAAAAAAGTTCAGGAATTGATTTATTATAGTATTTTCGCGTAACGTAATTTAAAGTAGTTTCGATATCACTACTCTGGGTTGAGTTGGTTTTACACGATATAATCACGCAGCGGCTATACAGTGTTTGAAGAAGAAAAAACTATACGAGGAACAAATTGCGCAGCTTGGAAATTTCCAGCTGCGCATACACGACCAGGTATATATAGATTTTATATTTAATTTTTTTAACCGTTATAAAATATATATATATAACAAGCCAGTACAAGTGGTAATGTTTTATATAATTCTCGTCTTTGTAGATGATAATGTTAGAAGGTGCGAAAGCTACTACCGAAACAGTGGACGCTTTGAGAAGTGGAGCGTCTGCGATGAAAGCGATGAACAAATCCACGTAAGTAAAATATCTCGAGCTTTTTTCAAAACATGTCGTGTTAAAATACTTATTAATTTATTTCTTGTGCGCAGAAATATTGATGATTTGGACAAGACGATGGACGAGATTAACGAACAAACGGAGAATATGAAGCAGATACAGGAAGCACTTGCCACACCCATCGGCGCAGCAGCTGACTTTGACGAGGTTTTTCGGTTTTTTTATCTCTATTTTTCTCGAGTGTATATATTCTACTTTTTATATATCCGATTTGACATGTTTTAGCTGATAATATAGGATGAATTGGAGGCCGAACTTGAAGAATTGGAGGAGGCGGAACTGGAGGAACAGCTCCTTCAGCCTGCAACCACAGCCCCTAGCGCGGGTCCCGTTAAGGTGCCAGCTGGCAGAGTGCCTCGAATACGGACGGAGGAGGAAGACGAGCTCGCTGCTTTGCAAGCAGAAATGGCACTTTAAGCTGTGGTTCCACTGTGCTAGCTGTGTACAGAGTTTTTTTATTAGGGGTTTGTAATATATATGGCCATGCCTGTATTCTTAAATCTTAAGATTTTTTCTATTGTTAAATAAATATTCAGTATGATCAGTTAATAAAATAATAATATACAGTTGAACCTCTATAAATTAATACAGTTGGGATAAGGGAAATTTTATTAATTTAGTGAATTATAAAATTATCGAATTAATAATTTAACATACTTTCATCGAGTCAGGACCGAGAAAAATTATTATTTAAGCGAGGTTATTAATTTATCGAGGTTCTACTGTAATTAGAGATGACATATATTTGGGCCATTTATTTGCATTAACTTAATGTAATTCGATTTCACAGTGAGTATAAATAATATGACTTGAAATTCAATTTTCTCCAATGACACCACTATTTTATTTATTATTATTTTTTTTTAATTTAGTGTTATCTACGTTATTATTTTTCTCTCACTATTTCTCAGAAAGAGCAATCAATTATTTGCTCCAATCAATTATTATATATATATATATGATAAAGACGAACAATTCAATTAATTTTACAGCACCAAAAATAATGATAAACTAATACGATGAATTTATAGTCCAATATAAAAAGTAAAAAAAAAACGAAAAAAAAGGGCTGATACAAAAATTGAAATCGCTTTTCCCCCGCCAAATCGATGTTTTCTCCTAGGGCTTTTAGTATAAAAGCGCGAAAACAGCCCTCATCTGAAACTTCTCTGATTTCCCCCCGTAGCTCTAAGCCGATTCCGCTTCACGATGGTGCGTTATTCTTCTTTATTTTTCCATTATTTTCTTCGGAAATAGATTCACTGCTAATTTCTGCTTCGATTAGCTGCTGAATTTAATGGATTTAGGTCAACATTCTGAAAATTATCGTTTCTGTGTGTGTGTGTGTGTGTGTGTGTGTGTGTGTGTGTGTGTGTGTGTGTGTGTGTGTGTGTGTGCGTGCGCGTGTGTGCGTGTGTGTGTGTGTGTGTGTGTGTGTGTGTGTGCGTGCGTGCGCGCGCGTGTGTGTGTGTGTGTGTGTGTGTGTGTGTGCGTGCGTGTGTGTGTGTGTGTGTGTGTATGCGTGTGTGTGTGTGTGTGCAGACTCTTTTATCAGTCATTCAAATTCGACAGTGAAAATTAACATCCGCTAGAAATTTGTGTATTTCTGTATTTTTTATTTTAGTTTCTATGGTGATGTTTTTTCTCGGATCTATATATGAAATTGGGAGAAGAATCTGGTTCTGTTATGAAATTGTATATAAATATCAGAACGAATTGGCGAGAAGTAATTAATACAAATGATGATGTTAATGCTTGGATGTGAGAATTGTTTTTATATACTTGCAATTTTCATTTGGTAATTAGTGCTTTAAACAATGTTCCTGAAAGCTAGTTTAGTATATTCATCATTTCATACTTCACTTCAAACACGAATCTCACTGAAAATTTAATTTGTCGATCCTGTGGGATCGAGCATATTTGAAGCTATTACGCATCCTCTAGAAGATTACGAACATCCGTCTCTAATTTATTTTTGCATTTTTGGGTTTCTTAATTGTTACATTTTTATCATCATTCCGTACTGGTGTTATGGTTGAATAGATTAATACTTCAATTATTCTGACTACTAATTTCAACTAAGGACAGTCGAAGAAAAGAGGACTATCTTTGGAGGAAAAACGTGAGAAAATGCTACAGATATTCTACGACTCTCAGGACTTCTTCCTTGTAAGTTTTAACTTTCGGATCGTTATTTGATGTCTTTTTGTTAATGCTAATTTCATTTGTAAAACTATCCAGTATCATTTCTTATATTTGGTTTCTGATGTTCGGTGGAAAATTGCTATCGGTTCCTCTGCATTTTCATATATAATTTTCAAGGTGTTTGTTGTTTTTGTTTCTGCTATGTATGGGCTTACAAATTTTCTTGAGGTAATCTTATAAAATAACTCTTTAATCAATTCCCTTAGTTTTAAGTTGCATCGTAGAATAATGGTCCAATTGTTAACTATCCGTGCTCCCTCTTCAAATTTCATAATGTATTTACGAAAAAACGAAAACATGTGATTCAAACAAATAGCTAATAAGAAATATTAGCTACTTTCGTGTCATTATTCTTGATTTCAAGGTCTCTGGTTTGCTAGTGCATAATGTGGCCAGAATTATGACATTTGAAAGGCATAATAGTACTTTTCTTTTCTTCTCCGTTTGTTGTTGTATTGCAAAAGCTTCTGTTGCTCAGTTCTCGGAGCTAGTATTACATGCTTTATTTTGTCCTGTTTCAAGTTATGGCCGAGTGTTATTGATGAGTATAGGGGGTTTCTCTCTTTAAGGTGTCATATTATATTTCCTTTTCATTGTTCAAGTCGACGTTTATTATATATAAAAATAATACAGTATTTGTTTTATCACATGCCATCTTAACAAGATCATTGGATATTCCTGAATATTGTTTTAGCTCAAGGAACTCGAGAAGTCGGGACCAAAAAAGGGTGTGATCTCCCAGTCCGTAAAAGATGTTATCCAAACTCTCGTGGACGATGACCTTGTCTTCAAAGACAAGATAGGAACCTCAGTGAGTATATGCTTATTCAGATGGTCAATAAAAACACATATTTCTTAAATTAATCTCAATTGCAGCACTTAACTTTCTTTTTCTCTCAACTTTGTTTGTACTTAAACATTCAGGTATATTTTTGGAGTCTTCCTAGCTGTGCTGGTAATCAGGTAATTTAATGTTTCGATTCATATCCCGAAATAACGATGAAATTTACTCTTATGTTTTGATTGTGACAATACATGAGTTTTTTTTACAGCTAAGAAGTATACAGAAAAAGCTTGATTCCGATCTCCAAACTAGTAAAAAACGATACATAGAACTTACTGATCAATGTAATGCTTTGAAGAAGGGAAGAGAGGAATCCGTAAGTGCATTGCTTCAGAACCTTCGTTAGTTATTTCATATTTTATAAGCAGTGTTCCATGCAGCTTCCTAATTGTCTTGTAAGCTTCTTTATTATATTAGGATGAACGGGAGACGGCACTCGGTGATCTTAAAGCTATTCAACAGAAATATAACGAGCTCAAGGTTAAGTAACAAATTTTCTTGAGAGAGACGTTCGTATATTTTGGCATTGAATCCTGAACTTGCGACCCCTTTTTTTCTCTTCAGGATGAAATCGCGCAGTACTCGGACAATGATCCAGCTACATTTGAGGCGATGAGTTAAGCATTGCCTGTCCTTTAATATTTCAATTTTTTTTCGTGTATAGTTGTCGTGTATCGTTTACCAGTTTAGGTTCTCAAGAATGATGTGGTTTGCTCATTCTTACGATTATATGTTCCGTTGCAGAGAAAGCAATTGAAGTGGCTCATGCATCAGCTAATAGATGGACAGGTTGTTTCCATTTCTTACTTAAACCAAACTCTATTTGATTACACTTTCTTATTATTTTTTTTTTGTTTCTCATCTATCACGCGTTATATTTTCACAGATAACATATTCACGCTGCGACAATGGTGCTCAAACAACTTTCCGCAGGCGAAAGAACAACTCGATAGCCTATATAATGAGGTATGTTACTTCAAATTTAGAAACAATACCATATCCATCCCTACGAGACTGTGAAACGAGGAGATAAAAAAAATATTTTGATCTTCCGAAAGCATCCTCTATCGCCTGCGCTTAGAAGTTTTGTCTCATTCCGTTGAACAGGTCGGGATTACTGATGACATTGACTATTTGGAGATACCTGTAGTTCCAGTCTGCTCTACTGAAGATCAGATGGTGGAAGGCAACATTTAACTTCCGTCGTATCTTGGGTGAGATTACTATCTCGTCAAATATCGAGACTGAATTTTTTACCCTTATAGATTGAATTTTACCCTTGTAAATCGACAAGTTAATCATTTGACCGTTTCTATAGAGAAAATGTACATTTTCCTACAATATAAAGACACTTCAGTTTTTTTATACCTTTTTTTTTTCAGGTTTTCGTTTACTCCACATACCCTTCCTCTTCACCTCACGCCATTTTTTCATACTATTTTTTTTCAGGTTTTCGTTTACTCCACATACCTTTGCTCTTCACCTCACGCCATTTTTGGGGCTGGTTTTGAAATCGAAAAAGGATTCGTTGCTTATATTTTCTGTTAGTCCGTAATCTGTAGCTTCTACTGTTTCATATCCTAAAATGAAGTTTACAAATACGTGCGGAGTATCGTTTATTGTCACATTATAGTATCGTAATTCTATGCGAACAATTTATTTCAACAATTATATGCTGTGTAAATGTCACTCTATAAATAAAAGTTTTTGAATTTAAATTCATTAATACATGATGATGTGTATATAATATAAGGGGAAATTCTAGTCTCTATATTTAATGGGAAAAATGTTTTATTAGTTAAGAATAATTAATTATCAATGATTAGTGTAATCAGCAGGACATAATTGATTGTTTTATTGAAACAAAAATACTAATATTATTAGTAGCCAATTAGTGTGTACAATGTAAAATTAGTTGTCTCCAACTAATGCCCAACGGTCAGGTTCCAAAAAAACATAAGCAACGAATCGCTTTTCAAAAATTTGAAAATTCAATTTGACAGAGCAGAGAATATTTGGCTTTACCAATCATTCTTCCACATGTGGGGAGAGAGAGTGACAAATACTATTTCCAGTGAATGCACGCACAGCTCAATATTACCTGTATACAGAACGTGCATCACTTCCTGACCGTACACGTGTCCACCCCCAAAATCAACGGTCCCCCACACTTTTACAGGGAACACGATTTGTTTCTCTCTCTATCTCTCCATTGATATTATAAATCCCATTACTTCAGTTCTTGCATATTAGAGAAACAACAGAGGAGAGAATAGAGTTAGGGTTTTTTTTTTTTTTCAAGATTAATTAGGGCTAAAATTGTAAATTAAATAAAAATGGAGACGATGAGATTGTACTTTGTGATGACAATCTTTGCCCTTGCTTTGGCCTTCATACTTCCTTCAATCAACGGTCAGCCTTCACCTGCCCCTGCCCCTGCCCCTTCAAATGATGGTAATTCTCTTAATTTTTTCCTAATTATTTTAATTTTAATTACAAAATTGCAATTCTGGGTTTGTAATAAATAATAATGCTATATGTTTAATTTTTTGAATTTTTTTTGATTTTTTTCTGCAGGGGTAGCAATTGATCAAGGAATAGCATATTTGCTAATGGTGTTTGCTTTGGCTATTACCTACATGATTCATTGATATTTCATTTTAATTTGTGCAATTAATGTGGGGATTTGGGATTAGTATTAGTAATTGGATTGCTCATTTTTTTATTATTATTCTTGATTCTTTATTTAAAAGCTACTACATTCTTTCTGAAGTTGGATTGCCTTCTTCTGTAGATTATTTATATTTCGATTATTTGCTTGTCATCTGTAAAGATTGAATTGCCATTCTTCATCTACAAATTGTTGTTCTCCAAAACTTGTTCCCGGCATTCTATTTTTTTTTTAAAGAAGAAATTCGTAGCCAGCCATATATGTGTACTGGGTAACTCTACACTCTCGTATAATAGCCTGCAAACCATACGAGAGACGTAACATTATTGGCCTTCTTGTTGTTTACCGTGAAATATTATTAACTTCTATAATTAGTGTAGTAAAAATATTTAGCCTATTTCGTTATACTAATGGAATCGACATGTGAACCGATTAGTGATAGCAAGACGTGTTTGTGTCTACGAAATTATTGTTCTAACTAGTAATAACCAAGGTTCTAAAAGACGGTTATCGGGTACGTGGCGGTTAGGGACTGCCACACGATAAATCGGTTTTTAAATCAGAAATAAATCGGTTTTTAAATTTAGTGTAATATATTTCAAAATATTATTTGTAAATACTCAATATATATAAAAGAATATTTAAACATAATTCTATCCTATCATTCATATGTTATTATATAATTCCAATTACTCAATAAATAACAAAAATTTAAAAATAATAAGATCATAATATAATAAAAGATTTTTACGAAATACAAATACTACGCAAGTCTTTCGCATCAACAATTAATATAAACACAACAAAACATAAATTGCGGGGTAGTACTTGGTTTGGTTTTAGAAGTTGAAAGAATTGGAGAAAAAAAAAAAACCGATTTGTTGACCGATATATCGGTTTGACCCGCCAAAAAACCGCCGCAAACCGCCTCGCCGTAAAAAACCGATATTCCAAACCGCCTCAACAAAATCGTAAAGGTTTATAGCCGATACCGATATGGCGGCCGATATATCGACCGCCAAGACCGCTATTTAGAACACTGGTAATAACTAACAAGTCACACGTAGTTGCAACTTAGAGCCCGTTTGTCTAAATTTATATTATACCGCTGATAAATTCTTATATTTGATAAACTGTTTTTAGAGCTGAAGCCGGTATGTCTATTTTTAATATTGTTTTTTTAAGGTGTATGCGTATCATCTTATAAACCATTTTTTTTCATGAAAAAATTATCAAACACTTTGGAAGAACTCATAAGTTCTTCAACATCTTATAAGTTTTTTTAAATAACTTATAAGCTTAGTCAAACACCTTCTTAACATTTTGAGGATTATGGCTTTAATCTATCCTCTGATTACTAGCAAGTGGACATCTTCATGTTTGAGGATTATGACTTAATTTAAATAATAATTTAATGGGGAAAACTAATTGTTAAAATTAAGAGAGATACTTTAACACGTTCAATTAATTTATTTTGCAGCCTTCATTTGAATTGATTCTGAGTTGACTAACCTCAAATTTCCAGAGACTAATTCAAGGATGTATATACTTGCAAGATGTTATTTATATATTCGACTAATTAAATATATGTATGTATGTATGTATATTAATATATATATGGTAATTAAACAATGAGTAAGAATCGATCAAATTATAATAAACAAACCGAGGTTTCTAATTAAAATAGTTTAATGTGTGTACTAATTCAAAATTGGAAAAATAAATATAAAATATAAAAAGTAGGATCAAATGTCAAAAATGGGTAAAACATATTTCATTTTACATTTTTATTATATTATAAATTTAAGTTGATCTCTTTGTGCCTACATTTTAGCGTGGATGTTTAATAAAATGAATTGGGGAATTCAAATGAATAATATATTATTTTGAATGTATTTTTATAAGACAACTACTTTAAAATTAATAATAATAATAATTAAAAAAAAATGAAAATAGTAATCTGATTTTAAAAATATTTTTTTTAATACAACAGTGCTTATCTACACTTAAAAAATAGAAGCTTGAATTAGAGTAGTATAATTCCTAATTGTTCAACCTCGGTCAAGGACCAAAAGTCAAAGTAAGAACACTAGACTGTTAATTTATGAGCACTATCAATTCATTTCTGCCAATTTTTCTATTTAAAAATGTGCTTAAAATAGGAAAATAGAAAACCAAAATAATTAATAGTAAGTAGATTATTAATATTAGAATCGTTCTACATGTGATATTTCATATTCGTCTAATTTTGAATAGTGTTTTTTTTTTTACGTTTATTTATTTATTATTTCAGAACTTTAGATTTTTTAACTAGTCTTCAAAACTTTTTAGAGGAAATAATAATTAGTATTTTTACAGTTTGATCTATATGAAAAACTCAATAAACTCCCAAATTTACATATACTCTGTTGAAATACAGTTAAATCTCTATAAATTAATACAGTCGAGACCGGCTAAATTTTATTAATTCAGTAAATTATTAATTTATCGAAATACTAATTTAACATGTTGTCCTCAAGTCGGGATCGCAAAAAAAAAAAAAAAAAAAAATTAGATAAATTATTTAATTTATGCCTGAACAAGCCAAAGGGAACAAGTAACAAATTAACTCCCAAGTTTGAGACCAAGTCCTAGGTAGAAATAGCATCACCCAAATATGGTTACAATATCATATGTGTGTGTGTGTTTGTGCGTGTGGTTGTTAGGGGTGAAATGAGGTACAATAATTGTGATTTTACTGAGGAAACATTCAATTGTAGGTCCAACAAAGTATTGTAGATGTTATATTTAGTATAATTTTTATTCACATAATTTAATATATACATATTAAAAATTTAAAATTATAGTATGGAGATTTTCAAAAATATTATTTTATGACGAGTGTGTGCCGACCAATCAAGAAAGTTTAAGTATTAGCATAATTTGATTTATGTTTTTCGCATGATTTGCAAGCTATTGTACGAGAGTGTATGTTACTCTTTGTACCCATATCGTTGACCGCTCACGTTCCTTAGTTACAAAAAAAAAAAGTTGAGTGTAAAAAAAGATACATGCTTGTCATATATGCATATTATAAATTAAAATGTGAATTGATTACATAAGTGTGTATTGAAAATTTGAAATGATTCTTTATTATGCTGCCACAGAAGTGTGAGCACGACTTTTCTTGGTCAATCTTTATTTTTTTCTTGACAAGATTTTGGATATATAATAAGGTGACGAGAACTTAGTTTATTTAGTTATTTATTTTTTTGAACAAAAATAAAATATTATTTTTTTATGCTAAAGAAAAATTATAAACACGTCTTATATATTAAAAAAAAAAAATTAAAACACAGTTTTTTTTTTTTTTGAAAATAATTTACATCTAACATAGTGTATATCAATTCAAAGTATTGAAATGAACTACAAATTAATATTACTTCTAATTCTATCGATAATATCGAACTGCTACAGTCTTATCATCACTAACTAGGTAACTAGATAATTAATTAATTAATTAATTACATCTATACATACTCATAACTTTTTTCATCTACCACTAATTAAATTAAATAAAAAAAAACATAAATTAATAATTAACCCTAGTATTATTACATCCAGCTGCATGCATTAGTTCAAGTGTTAGAAATATTTTTGCCATAGAATAGGCAAAATTGAGATCACATACATGATACATATATTATTTATATATATATATATTACAGAAATTGTCTTGAAAAATCAAAGCTGTAATAATCAGAGACCATTTCAGCCAGAAACTTGTCTTCTTCACTTTCGCCATTAATATTAATATTATTATTATTATTAATAATAATATTGTTGTCTAGAGAAAATGATGTAGTAAGCTGGCCTGAAAATGGAGGAGCTGCACAGGGGTGAAACAGTCCACAATTATACGCATTGTTTTCGACCTCGGTTTCGTTTTCGGGTATTTCCGTGAGGCCCGGAAGCGGGTTCATCAATTCTTGATCGTTGGACGGAAAATATGGCAACATATTATTAATTAATTCATAATTAATAATATCGTTTGTGCTGTAAATAGAAGAGGAAGAAGGTTGCCAAAGGTTGTTATAATTGTTCGTCGTAACACTAGTGAAGCTGTTGTTCGACGACGAGGTGGTGGCGGTGGTGGCGGCGGAGGTGGTGGTGGAGGTGGCTGCCGCCGCCAGTAGTAGCTTCTTTTTCAACTTGGTGTTCCAGTAGTTTTTCACGTCGTTATCGGTTCTTCCGGGGAGTTGTGAAGCTATGACCGACCACCTTATTAAATTAATAAACCAATTAAATTATTTCATAAAAAAAATTATATATAAAAAAATATTATTTATTACTATTATTATTCGGGAAAATTACGGTCATCCCTGAGGTATGACCAAATTACGAAAAAACCCCGTGATTACAGCCACCCCTCGTTTTAAATATTTTTTACATAGAATTTATGTAATTTGGTTATTTAATTTCCCGAACCAAATCGTATATTCAGTTCGGTAAACGGTATGAAATCGCGTACCGAAATTTCGGTTCAGTTTTTTACCGATTTTACATCGCTAAATTTACCTCTGGAGGGGTTTTTTCGTAAGAAAATACATACTTTAGGGGTTTGGTTGTAATTACCCAAACAGACGGGGGATTTTCGTAATTTAACCACAACTCAGGGGATTGGCCGTAATTTACCAAAAAACAATATGCATAAAAATATTATAAATATTATTATTTTCTTTAATTACCTGCTTCCAATATTATGATAGAGTGTTAATATGATATGATCTTCTTCCTCAGTGAAGCCGCCATGTTTGATGTTCGGCCGGAGGTAATTCAGCCATCTCAGTCGACAACTCTTGCCGCAACGCTTAAGCCCTATATATATACATACATACCGAATCATGTAACGAAAAAATAAAATTAAACAAATCAATCAAATTTGCGAAAAATCAAGAAAAATAATTTTAATTAAATCAATAAATGGAAATTAATTAAATGAAGGAAAAAATAATAAACCTGCTTTATGAGGCAAAGCAATCCAATTGCCACCAGTACCATGATTCTCAACATAGTTTTTGAGAGTGTTGTCTTCTTGAGGAGACCAAGGCCCTCTCTTCACCTTTGTTTTGTCACAACAAGGTGCTCTTCCCATTATTGTTATTAATAATTACTTTTGTAATAAATTTATTTATTATTTATCACTTATGATTAAATTCTTTGTTTGTTTCTAATGTTGCATACATAGGATATATAGTATATATGTATATATAGGGGAAAACTAGGGGAATGACTTTTTAGTGAGCTTGACTTAGTCAAATTATTTTCTTTATTTATTTATATTTTACTTTTGATTCAAAAGTGTCATTTTTTTCTTGTGTTGGATAAAAGGAGAGAACCCGGTCAATGTGGGTTGTATAATGTCAAAATGTTTTTGCTTTAGATATCAGCTAATGGGGCCCACCATATATTTTTGCTTTGGTAAGATTGGATGCGTTCACATAGAAATAGTCCATATTTATCTTATCGGGAGTTAGATGTTACACCTGATTACTTCTGGGTGAATTGATTCTACGTATGATTATGTATAAATTTACTGTTCAAATCCACTATGTGTAAATAATCAAGTGTATCATCTAATTTCTCATTCATGTAAAATAGTCAAAGTAAGTTAATTTCACACAAAGTTTAATTTATTAAACTTAATTATGCTTTAAATTATCTTCATAAACAACTCAAAGTAAGAAGTTCTAACAAAATAAGGTAATGTTAAATCTCTATATATTCATACAATCTGAACTAGTAAAATTCTATTAATTTATCAAAATATTAAATTAACGAACTAATAATTTAGTAAGTTTTTACCGAGTCGGGACCAGAAGAAACTATTATTTAAACGAGGTTATTAATTTATTGATGTTCTACTGTAGTCCGGTTCCCGAATGGATCCGCAATGATAGATATACGGCATTATGATATAAAAAAGGGGTAATATGCTAGGAGTATCTCAAACTAAACCTAATTTGACCTAAATGACAAGTTCAAATTCATTCTTTTAATTAAATCCTTAATTTAAAATAATATATGAGGCACATCCCTAATATTTTTTATATCCCAATCTTGCCCTTATACCCTAAATTCTCTAACCTACATATATCCACGTTTCTTTTATTCAGATTTATTTTATTCTTTCGTTATTCTCTCCGTTCTCTCTCACACGTTTTCTCTCTCTCTCTCTCTCTCTCTCTCTCTCTCTCTCTCTCTCTCACACACACACACACACGTTCTCTCTCGTTTTTTCCTCTATCACATTTCCATCTCTATATCTCTCTTGCTTTCTTCTCCAATTGTAGCGCAAGGCGAAGGTCCGTGGTGCACGAGGCGGCAGCGGGGGGTCGTGATGGTGGAGGTGGCGGCAGGGGGCTGTTCCGCAATAGTGGTCGAGGCGGCGACGGGGGTTGTTCCGCCCTATGGTGGTTGTAGCGGCTGTGGTGGGGGGCTGTGGAGGTCGATGGCGATGGGGTTGTCACGCTATGGTGGTTGTGGCGGCCGTGGTGGGGCTGTGGAGGTTGATGAACGGTGAGGGATGTGGTTATGGTGGAAATTTAATTGAAAGTTTATTCTTTACTAATTGCTTCTGATTTTCTTGATTTTCAAGAGATTTTGTTTGATTTGGGTTAAAAATGGTAGATCTAGGTTTTCTCAATGTCGGTAGTTGACTATGGTTGCGACGGCTGCGAAGGTTGACGGCTAGGATTGGTGAGATTTATGTTGTTGGCTGCTAGGGTTTTGTAGTACACCGTAGTAAATCATAGTACACCCCAGTATACTATAGTCTACTACAATATTGAAAAAAAAAGAATAAATTAAAAAAATTAAAAAAATGTAATTGGAATTAAAAAAACGAAAAACACGTTGTTTTTGTAATTTTCAATATTTATGTAGAAAAAATGATATTTTTTTTAATAATACTTTAATCTATAATACAACAGTGTACCATAGTATATCATAGTACACCATAGTAGTTTTTAAAATCTGCTTTATTTTTTAATAAAAACGAAAAAGAAAATTTGTTTATAATAATGTAAAAAATGATAAAGTAAAAAACAATAAAATAAAGATGAGTAAAAGGGCATTTTTGGAATGAATTTAATAAAGGATGTGAAGCAAATGTTTAGTTGAGGTTGTCATTTAGTTCTATTTAATTTTGTCACCAGGGACCTATCTCTTAAGACCCCTATAAAAAAAACCTACTAATGATAACAAAAATATAGATCGAAAAATTCCGCATACACAAATATTTCAATCACGAAAATATTCACGCAAGTTCTTTAGCTTCATCAATTTTCTTCTTTCCTTTCTTTCAGACGATGTACGTGCGCTCGTCTCCTCTCTTTGCCAATCTGAATAAGAAGGCAACATCACATGTAATCAACAACATAAACATTCTTACTAGACTTGCAATTTATCATTGAAAATAAAAAATCCACAGCAAAAAATGATCGACATCCTCCCCTCCATATGGCTTCTAGAAGCTTCCTCTTCTTTCGTCATCATCGAGTTGCTTCACATAAGAAGAGACGACATCTTCCTTGCCCTCGATTTTATTACAAGCAGTCTCCGAATACGAGCCGCCATTCATCTCTAGTTTCAACTCTTCAAGATACTGTTTCTCCAGCGTCGACATCTATTAATTAAAAAAAAAGCAAAAAAAATAGGAGCACGAGACATATTTTCAATATGTTATAGGACTTTTTTTATAGCAATTCGATACAACAGAGAGGTACTAATTAAATGTAATAAAGTCTTATCTTATAGCCAGGGAATCAATAATTAATTAGTAATTACCTTTTATTTAATCAGTAACCCTCTGTTCTATAGATTGTGCGTACTATGGATCATGGCGTTCTTTTTCGTTATCGACGAATGGAGACAAGTGTGGTGGAGGAACACTATCGAAAAACGCATGCATGCAGCACAAGTTCGATCGTTAAAAAATAGATTGTCCGAATTTTCTCACTGTAATAATGTTAAGGGTGCACATCGCACGAATTGATCAAAGTTGGTGCTTTCGGAGAGAGAGAGAGAGAGAGAGAGAGAGAGAGAGAGAGAGAGAGAGAGAGAGAGAGAGAGAGAGAGAGACGATTTTTTTGGGAGTGAAAAAACTAAATTTAATTCAGTTAAAAAAAATCGGAAGAATCAGAAATCGAGATTTCGAAAACTGGAATGAAAGAACTTATTCAAAAATCAGAAATTTTCAGATCAAATGTTGGCGGAACCTAAGATACAGAATACATAATAATTTTGATATTGTAATCGTAAACTTTAAAAAAAAAAATCAGAAATTGAAATAATAATTCATCAAAGCACCAGGTTCGTTCGAAGGAAGTTGTTGGTCATGTTGAAGTTCGGCAAGTCTTATAAGTTGTACCTCCTCCTCCTGCCGGTTTTCGGTTTCGTGGGACCCACCGTTGGCATCAAAGTATCTTGACAGGGCATAAAGATCTGCATAGTTCAAAACATCAACAACAAGACTCTCTATATTTTTTTTTTTGCTATAAATTTCTTTGTAAATTTGAATGTTTAAAGAAGAAAAATAGAGTATGAATGAATAGAATAGAAACCTGCAGCTAGAGCTTCAAGCCGGGGGGTCGAGAATTGGTGGATATTTCAAATCCAAGGAAAGCCTGCAAATTAAACAAACAACCTAAATAATCTTTTCACGGACTATTCAACGAAATTTCGGTACAAATGACCAAACTCAGGCTTACTTTCATATTGAAACTTATTTTGGTTTAGCATGTATTAGAAAAATACTCGTACTCAGCCATAAAAAAAAAAAAGTGAACGTCAGAAGAAATAATTACACAATAAATGTCTATAAAAGACGATAACCTCGTAAAATTCCAAAAATGTTAGCAAGACTCTATAATCGACTTCAGACGAAAGTACTTGTTGCAATGCATGCAAAGTTAGCCACACGTAATAATATTAGATAAATCGAGCAAATGCTAAGGCAGCCAACAAAAAAATAAAGCATTTACATATCATATATTCGAACGTAAGTACTTGGTAATATATTCCTTTAATAGAAATAAAGGCCTTCCTAGAGCAGAAACAAGATCAAACAATGTTGTCTTAAATATATATATACGTTAAAAAATAAAATTAAACGGAATTTTTTTCGCCACCTTCTGCAATTATGGATACGTTCTACGGAAATCTTTTCGCCACCTATAACGTAACCCTATCGACAGCAGGCAATGCAGCAAAAAAGGTGCACCATACTAAGACAGTCATCCAAATCCCGAAGTGCATCATCAATGAAACTCGGATACCTAAATAAACCGAGCACAAGTAATTAATTAATAGTAAACGAAAAAAAGAAAAAGAAAAAATCGAACTCCAATGCATGCACCTCTCTCTCTGATAATAGTGCCGAGGTAAGTTGTAAGTGGGCTTCCGTGTTGTTAACCGTTCGGCGAGGTTTCTGTTCTTCTTTGAAATGGCCTTATTTATTTTGTTATTGTAGGTTCGTATGTCTCGAAATTTCTCTAGCAAGGGCTCGTAAGAATTGTGCTTCCCTTTCGCCTTCTTCTTTGGGTCCTGTGGAGCCCACGCCTTTGAATTAAGATGCATAGATTCCTGAGTTGCGGAAAAAAACGGCAAGGATAATATATTCGCATTAGATTTTGAAACTATGAAAATTTCAAATGCAGAAGATAATGAAAAACAAATAATTTGAAACTTTTTCTAGTATATATTTGGTTTGTCTAAGGAAAATAGTGATGAAATTGATTTTGTGGAAAATCTTTTGCTTTACTCAAGAAGACGAGATTCTGACATGCAGGCAGTGATGGAGCCACCGTAGGGATAAGGAGGGTCATGCACTTCCCAAACATTTTTTGATTAAAACCTTATTATTTTATATAGAGATATAAAATTTTCGTGTACAATAGCATTAACAACCCCTCCCCCCACCCCCAATAAAAGTTTTACTGCATTCGGCCCCGGCGGACTTAAAATACCGGCTCCGCTAGTGCATGGAGGTGAACTACTCCCGTAATTAGGTGTTTTATAAGACGAAAAAAAAAAAATTGAATCAAAGAAGATATAAAACATGTTAGTGTTTTACGCATAGTTTTCCTCTATTTTCCACGTTTTAGCCAAAAAATATTTTCAAATTTTACCCCGAATCGATCATTTTACTTATGATCATATATACTTCCTAATCCTTTCATTTTTTTAGTTAGCATCTTTTCTTGATCCAAACAGATCTTACGTATTGCTAAATCGACGAGAAAAAGAAATATAAAAAAAAATCGAGAAAACTAAGGAGAAACCAATCTCAATAAAGGTAATGATGCATGCAAACATCACACTGTAATAAAATGACTATCATACGCAAATTGGAAATAAAAGAACACCTTTATTACATTACAGAATAAAACTCAGATTAATTACTGCACGTTAACGAAAGAAAATTCCGATTTCGATTATCTGGGAACTGATTATTATGAGGCGCAGGGAAATAGCTAGTTGAAACTATATATATATATATATATATATATATATATATATATATATATATATATATATATATATATATTTATATATGGAAAAGAAAAATATAATCCACAGTCCCAATGTTTGTAAGGAAGTATGTTTGCATGGTTGGCTTCGTGTTGTTCCTATGAGCCCGTCATCCGACCCATAACCGCTCGATTCTAAACTTCTAGCTAAACCTATAATATTTTTAACTTACCCAAACCTATATATATACAAACAAGTCGTTTTCACGTCTAAAATCAGCTAAAACTCGTACCCGTTATTGTCATATTTTAATTACTCCACCACTGGCGCTCATTTTCAAATATTTCACGAGCAATGCTTCAAAATATAATTGACTGCGAGATAATACAAATATTAAATGATTCATCTCTAAGAGTTTATAGTCTTTTAGATGAGGTAGTCATTCAACAATTAGAACCGTCGATTAACCCATTGGTTGATTAGTTACACAGAACCCTTTAATTTGACCCATCTATATCCTTAATTAGATTTTGGATTAACGATATATCCGTTGACCTAATTAATTGATTCGTTGTCCACGCGCGGTCTAATATCCGAAAAGTGGAATTATATAGCACCGTGACGATGTCTAAGGCTAGTACTCAAATATGTTTATTTGTACCTACACTTGGTGAAGATTATATATCCTGCGTAATTTCACCATACGTACGTATGTATATATGTAGCCAATACACGTTTTACCCACCCACACACTTATGTGTGTAAATCTAGAATGTCATACAAATAGCTAGTAAAGTTCGTAGGCGCAGTATCTCAAAAGCATATTCAAAACACCAGTAGAAAAATGACTTCTTACCACCGCACGAAATTCACAGCGTAAAATACCAAATTAATTATAGTAAAAAGCTTCTTGCTACGATACTACTACGAATTTTTTCCATTGCGAATACGGGCGTCACAAAAATTTTACTACTAAACAACCCTATCAAACATTTTCAAGATTACTAAAAGGGCTGTCACAAAATTTTTACTACTCATAGTACAAGTAACAGTTACCTCACAGTAGAAATAATAGTTATCAAACAGTAGAAGTAGTGGAGATAAGTATGGTGAATAAATTAGAGTCGTGATACTTATCCACTCCCACAAAATCCGCACGCATGGCAGGCAACACAAGTGGGAATTACTGTATTAATTTTCTTAACCCTAATCCATAATATCTCTTCACACCAACAATTATTTTAAAGACTACTCTTTTTGTCATAATCACTAAGTATTGACAACTACTCTTTATTTTATCTTTTCATTTTTATTTTTACAATTATTTGTGCCGCTTCTAAGTTCCGCCAATGTGCACTATGCAACTAATTATAGTCTAGTGTGATAGCAACACGAGAAGTGTAAACCGTATTGGACAAGTTTTGTGCGACAAACTCGATTTGAAAAATATTAGTAGTAGTAATTCCATTCAAATTATTAAACATTATGTTCGCTTGCTGCACCAACTAGATCAGTCACACGACTACTTCACAATCGTACAAAGCAAACTAGGTGTTTTTTAAGATTAGATGACAATTCGTATGGCCTATGATATGGACTTGCACTTCTTAGTGTATTTGTTATATGAATTATTTGTACTATAATATATTACATTCTAATAATCTAAAATAATAAAATATTACAATATATTATATCAACGGTTGCGATCTAAGGACAAAAATGTCCAGATTTCATGGATTGTCTTGTTCAATTTGGTGGGTAGGACTTATCACTTGTGTTGTGTTATCAACGTCATTTTTTGGGCCAATTATGGAATTGGGCTAACTGCTAAGAGCTAAGAAAGTATAGTCCCACACTTATTTGTTTTATTTAAAATAATTGGTCAATTAGCGAAAATTCCTCATTTTATTTGGTAATTAAATTGTATTTAAGTGGTACAACTCCAATTTTTATTGACATGTCACATGTGTTTGTCCATCTTATAAAGACAATTTAAAAAAATTTAGAAACAACTCAATTTTTAAAATTTGAAGGACTACTTTATAAAAAATGAGGGAGTTTAGGAATGCTAATAGTGTTAAAAGAGAAGATAAAAAAAAAGTCGATCAAATTTTGGGATGAAAGTCAGACGGATTGGATTAAGATTACCACTTTTTGAAGAAAAAAATAATTGATTTTTTTAGAAATGAAAAAATAATTCCAATTAATTCCGTTCCAAAAGAAATAATCGGATCAGCATCGGTGGAACTCGGAAAACTACAATGTTTTAGTCATTGAAATAGAAAACAAATAATAATATGTATATTTTAAGTGTAAATTTGGGGGGGGGGGGATGGAATATTTCGAATTCTGACCTGAAAATTGGAATCGAAATCTCATATTTATTCCAATTTCAATCCAAAACGATTGAAAAAAAATAAAAAATTATAGTTTTCAAATCCGTAACAAAAAATATTGTTCCGATTGCCAAAAAAAAGATTACAATCGAAATCAGCAAAAATCGAAATTTTGGTCCACAAAAGCAAAGAAAGCATCACTTTAGGGAAGGCTGCCAAGGAGATAATGGGGCAAAACGACTGCCGTACAAGTGTTGTGGCAAACACTTGTTTTTGTTTTGCGTGTTATGGGGGTTAGGTTTTATTATTATTATTTATACATATACACATACATATGATATATATATACATACATATGATATATATATATATAGATAGATAGATAGATACATGTCACGGAAAACGTCAACAATATATATATAGTATAAAGTAAAAAAGAAAATGAGGAAATAAAGTTCATTGCTCTGTTTGGTACTAAGCTTTGAACCTAAGACACTACTACAATTATACATGTATGTGTAATATTGTCGTCTATAGTGTGGGCCCCACTTATTTCCCACATAATTGTAATAGATAAGAACCACACAAAATTGTGCAGGTTTTCTTTCATTCAAATCTGTCAAAACAAAATCTAATCTTTTCTCAAATAAAATCTCCAACTGTCCCATCTTCAACATTAATTCATTATGGCTCCATTTGCTCAACACTTGGTTAATTTTAGTATTTTCATTCTTCAATTATTTATTATTTAACTAATTTCACAAATAAATACATAGTCACCCAAATTACATAGTGTATTTCACCACGTGAACTGTTGGTCAGTCCGACTCTATCCCGAAATGTTATTGCACATTATCACAAATCTACGGTTGTGATTGTTTGTTAGTTGGTCTCGGACTATTAAAATCACAACGTTAAAAAGTTTACCAAATTGAGAAAACTAAATTTATCACTACTAGGTTTGAGTTTGAGATCATAATCAATTAACCAAATCGTTAATGATCGCGATTTATTTCTATTTCTTCGTTACCTACAATCGAACTTCGATAAATTAAATAACTTCGTTAAAATAATAATTTCTTTCGGTTCCGACTCGATAAAACCGTACAAAATTATTAGTTCGATAATTTAACATTTCGTTAAATTAATAGAATTTGGTTAGTCCCGACTCTATTAATTTATAGAGGTTTAACTGTAAGACTAAATCTAAGTGAAAGAACAAGATCACTTCCAAGATGTACAGTATAGGGGAGTTCACTCGGCAAGTAAATCAACTAAATTGAAAATTTAGTATGTGCCGAATATGGAACCGAAATTTTGGTTCGGTATTAGGTACAGATGTTTTGAAATTCTGGTATTGGATATGGATACCGTATACGGCTTGATGTCCAATATTTTAAATTTTTATAAAGTATTTTGAGATAGATAATTTTTTTTCCATTATTTACAAATCAAACTTTATTGGTAATCATTTTATTTTTATGGTCGATTATTGAAATTTGAATGGCAAATATAAGAATTAATTAGTTTAAATACTTTTTGTACATTTTTTTAAATATTAAAATATATTTTTTAGTTCGATTAATTAAACAATACAAATTTTTAAAGTACCGAAATTCCATTTCGCTATGGTACACCTAATGTAGAGTTTATTCCACATACATGTATTAATAGGTTCAAAGGAAATCCAGATCAATGTCAAAGACAGGCCAAATCAACATGGAAATGATAATTAATATTTAATACCAAAATACCATCAACAGTTGAATATTAACAATAATTGAAAAAAAAAAAAAAAAGGATCAGTTGATCTAAGAAATAAAATTACAAATGACATAACACCTAATTACATATCAAATAAAAATTAGGTAAATAGTCTGCTTCTTCAATCCTTAATTCACCACTGTACAATGTACATAAATACCCTTCCAAAATAGTCAATTTCCAGAATATTTTTACTCCACAAAAACAAGAGATTATTCTCTTCGCCCCCATCGCCCCCACACCATTTTCTTCATCGTCATCTTCACCATATTATATATAATTTTACCATTCATATATATTAAAATAGCAATACTAAAATAATAAACTATTTACAGAATCCGAATTGACAATCATGCCCCTTTGTCACACCCACCACCAAGATTACCTCTTTCTTTTATTCTAATAATTTACCAGCTCCGAGACCCAACCAATGTCCGGGTTCGGGTTCGGGTTTGGGTTCGGATCCTGGTCAACCCGATCCAGAGGGTTCTCCTTGATTAGTTTCTCGAACATCTGAGCCCTCAAATCTCTCCCAGATTCCACCATCGCCACAGGCTCCTCCTCCTCAGGCTCAAAGTAACCGAGTCCGGGCCGGGTTACGGGTCGGGTCGGGGTGGTGGGCATGCTGAAGTACCCGGGTCGGGTCATCTTCATCCTTGGAGAAGAAGAACCACCACCACCGCCGCCGCCCAGCCACGAAGAAGGCATCGACTTGACTTTGTTCAGGTGCAGCTGGCGGAGGGACGCCACCACGTCGTTGACCGGCATCGGAGACATGGGCGGAGATTCCAGCAGCGGCGGCGGCGGCGGCGTTGACTCCGGAGACGAGATGAAGGATAGGCGGCGGGGGGAGCCGTCGGCGCGTGGGCTCAAGACGCGGAGCTGGTCGGGCGAGTGGGCGAAGAAGCACACGCGCCGCTTGCAGCTCATGCCGTCCTTGCATGGCTGCGTGCGGTATCGGGCCGGGTGGAGCCAGCACTCGAACACGCCGTGCGCGTACTCGCACGCGTCGCCCTTGAAGCAGTTCCCCTTGCGGAAGTCGGGGCACGCCGTGCCGGAGTAGTGGAACCTCCTCGGGTCACGGCGCCGGGCCTTCTCCCCCGGGTGGGCGAACGGGCACTCCGTCCAGTCGTGCGACCTGCCGCGCGTGCACCTACGCACCTTGAACTCGAACATCCGGAAATTATCGCATGTGTGCGCGTCCACGGGGAGGAAATCACCGTTCCCGCCGTAATCGGAGTCGGTCAACTGAAACTCCTCCGCCGCCGCCGCAGCATCGTTCGAGTTAGACGGCAGGTAACGCTGCAGAGCCTTCAAGGAGTCGGTCTGGAAGAAGAGAGAGTAATCGTCGACGGAGCCGCCGCCGCCGGCATTAGCGGCCGTGGGGCTCAAGCAGTAGGAAGCCGGATCATCTCCGGCGGATGGCCACGGCGGAACATGAACCGTGGTGCCGCCATAGCTTCTCTCTCCAAGCATCATTTTTCGTCTTCCTAATTTTTCTTCTGGAATTTAGGTTTTAAATAAACTTTAATTGAAACTGAATTTTGAAGGCGTGGTGCAGTTTGTATATAAACTGCTGAAGAAGTGGGGGGTTTAACTTTAACCACGGTTACTTTAGACTTAACTGTGGTTAGGTGAAAAATCTCCAAACCCGAGGTTAAAATTATTATTTAATCGGGGCAGCCTCTTTAAACTCGGAGTAATACAAATGGGACACGTGTAAATTTGCTTTATTATTATTAACAAGGGATGTGACGGGGTTTGAGTAACGGAGACGTAACCGTGGTTAATAGGGGTTAAGTTTTGAGTTGTAGTTTTTTAACCGACGGATTTAACGGAGGGAAAAAGGACGGTGGAGCGTCAAATACGAAATAGAATAATAAAAGAAAGTGTTAATGAAAGTGAATTCAGATGGGCCATGAATTATTACCCACACTCGACTTGACATTTTGGAGGGCCTTTCAAATAATTTCCACCGTTCACTTTTTTTTCTTTTTTTTTTGGCAAATTATGTCTAGGGTCAAATTACGAAAATACCCCTTCTGAGGTAAATTTAGAGATGTTAAATCGAATAAATTTTGGTACGCCAACATTTCATTGAGTTTATCGAACTGAATATACGATTTGGTTCGGGAAATAACCGAATTACATAAATTTTATGTAAAAATATTTAAAAGGAGGAGATGGCTGTAATTACCCAAACAAGAAGGGTTTTTTCGTAATCTAGCCATACCTCGGGAGGGTGGCCATGATTTGCCCTTTTTTAACTTGCTACATTTAGTGAAATCAATATATGTTTTTCTTTTTTTCTTTTTCTTATGAAAAAAATTAAAAACTTACAACCAATCGTATTTGTGCATTGGGCAAATCTACACTCTCGTGCAATAATTTGCAAACTGCATGAAAAATGTAAATCACAATACATTAACCATATGTGACAAGCTCGGTGTAGAGAATATTAAAACATCAAATTCGTAGTACTTTGAGTTTGACCTTTCTAATTAAACTTAAATCGGGTAGATTAGAAAAATGATAGCTGAACATTGACTACAACTTGTTTTTTTTGTCTTCTTGGGTCTATATGTAACTCATAGATTGATGATTAACTCTCAACTGTGCATATGACCCCCTTATATTTTCAATAAAAGTACATAACCCCCTACAGTTTAAGTTTTGTGCACCTAGTGGTTTGAAATTTATGCATATAACCCCTTATACTTTCAATATAAGTACATTAACCCCCTATAGTTTAAGTTTTGTGCACATACTCCTCTTATACTTTTAATATAAGCACATAACTGATAACCCCATCATAATATTCCATTTGGTAAATAAGCATGTTTATTAGAAAAATAAAAATAATTAAACCAAAAGTACGAGAGGAATATGTTCACAAAATTCAAACCGCAGCGAGTAAATACTATTTTACCCTTATTGTTTTCATCGTTATCGAAAACCTTAGCCATTCGGTAACAAACAAACAAACAACCAAACAAATGATGTTCATGAAAATGAAAAATCATAAAATGTTGAATAATTGACCTTCCATAAATGTTTACCTATCTCCCTAGCCTAGCTACGTACACTAGTTAAATTATGTTCTAGGGTTGTAGCTTAATAATCGAGCACCATAGTATTTACTATTTCAAAAGTTAGATGTAAGAAGATATCTATTTAATTTTAGTTATAGTAAAAGGACACGTACATCAAGAGGGTATTTATTTATTTATTCATAGAGATTTATAATAAGAGGGTACGTATACACCTACAACTTGTTTATATTGTTGGCCTTTATGGAACTCATGTGCTCAAATCTCACATGTAGTTATGAGAATCTAATATCTTTACCAGTTTTTTTGACCAAATTTTGATGTTCTCCAATTGTAATAAATGACACTATTATTACTTGCCTCGTACGGTATTCCAAGAGAATCCACAAAGAAGTTAACATGATTTATAAATAATATCAGCTAATAAGATATTCTCGGTTAAATATATTTACTATTGAATAGATTAATATTAAATGATATATGTCACTAACAGCTTAATATTTTTGGTTAAGATGGTTATTCAATATGGTATCAAAGTCGGACCAAATGAAAGTTCGAGCATAATCATGTAATATGCAAGTTATTTGCACTTGATTTACCCGTTATTTGCATGTGAATTTGATCGGAATAAAGTTATGAATTATCCTATTTTTATTAAGCGGTGTGAGTGTATTGCTAATGCACTACTCATTTTTTGGTGAATTAAATAGATATGTTTTAACAAAAATGCATTCATAATAATTAAATATGATGTAAATAGGAATTGTTCAATTCAAAAAAAAAAAAAAAAAAATTGAACCAAAAATTAAAAATGTCAATATTATCTCTTATGATAATGAAGAGCGGAAATTTCTTTCGACGAATATTTCTACTAGTGCTCAAGGTTTGGCAACGAATTGGAACTCAAGACCAACCTTATTTCAAGTAAACAAAAAAAAAAATTTGTAGGGGGCATGGCCCCCAGTCATACGTTGGCTCCGCCACTACCTACAACTCTCTCGTTAATATATTTGACAGCTATTCAATTTTTTAAATTTGATCCAGTATTAATTTTCGAGCAGTTGAAGTGAATTAATTTTTTTTAGTATATATGTAGCAATTTTCTTTTTTGTGGTACTATTAATATATAGATAGAATTTAAATTAACTTTGTTGTCAAAAAAAAAAAAAAAAAAAAAAAAAAAAACTTTTAAAATATTATGGTTAAAGAGTCTCGTATAGTATGAATCTTCAAAAAATTGAAATAAATTCCATGCAATAGAAATGACGTATCTAACCCTAATTTAGACATGTCCCATGCCTAATGTACACGTGTACGGTGACGGTTAAATTTGGGAGTCATAAAAAAATATTAAGAAAAAATGGGAGGGGGGAGCAAATTCATTAATTGGTCAAAAATGGTGGGGTAGTCGCTGTCACGTGACTTTTCCACGAGGAATGTTTAGAGGTGTGCCACTGCAGCAGGGGACACATGCAAAACGACACTACATTAAAACTGACAGCGACGTCGTACTATAAAACCTCCACGTAACCCCCCCCCCCTTTGGTCACGTGATTTGCAGGAGGGCTTTTTATTTTATGTTTGGCTTGTTGTCTTGTTCCCATGTGTAAACATTACCATCTCCGACATGTTTTTGACGGTAGCGCCATTCGGGCCGGGTCAGATAATATGTTTATATGGGCCTCCTCCTTAAGTCCATAGAGTTTGTGTTGGTCAGGATTACGGGTCGGAAATGTTTTTAAAATCGGCCGGACATTGACCCGGATAAATAACTGAGTCATGGTTAGATCGATTCAATCGGGTTCGAATTTTTTTTATTTTTTTTTGTAATTATTGATGTATATTTTTTTATAGCAAATAAAACATATTTTCTTTCGCACATTAACTCATTTCCAATAAAAACGTAAATCAAACTTATTTTTTTATTACACATAACATATCGCCGAATCATTTGAAATATTATAGAGATTATGTTAAAAGTTTGTTTTTTTTTTTAATTAATTTTAGTTTAAATACTAATATTTCATATATATATATATATATATATATATATATATATATATATATATATATATATATATATATGGACAAATTACGGTCACTCCTTGAGGTATGACCAAATTACGAAAAAACCCTTATTGTTTGGGTAATTACAGCCACCCCCTCCTTTTAAATATTTTTACATAAAATTGATGTAATTCGGTTATTTACCGATCCAAATCGTATATTCAGTTCGGTAAACAGTATGAAATTTTGGCGTACCTAAATTTCGGTTCGATTTTATCGATTTAACATTTCTAAATTTACTTTTGGAGGGGTTTTTTCGTAACATAATACATAATTAAGGGGTGACTGTAATTACCCAGATAGGAGGGGGTTTCTCAATTTGACCATAACTCAGGATGGCCGTAATTTGCCATTTTTTTTTTAAAGAAATTTTAAAATTTGGCGGGTAAAACCAATGGTTAACGGGTTGCAAAATATTACCGGCCGTATGTACACGGTCCAGTTACGGTTCGATATCAAAATCAGTTGGTTCGGTCAATTTGCCCATTAAATAATTGAATGTTTAATTAGCCGCACATAATTCACGGATGACTTTTTCAAGTGCGTTATTTTCTATCTTGATAACGAAGGCATGCAAAAATAGTTAAAAAAATCCAATTTTTTTTTCATTTCATTTTTGACCAATTATACTTAAGAGGTAATCACCATCACTATGAAGTGGCCTATTATGTTTAGGGATCTGTCAATTTTAAAAGGATTTGGTAAATCTTGGCCAATTTTCAACTGATAGAGAAATTCACTAATAAACAATTTAATGTATATTGTGTGGTCATTTTCGGTATAATTTACTTAATTTAACATAGACTTATAATTAGATTAATATGGGCTGATAAAATGAACGGATGATATGATATGTCACATCACATATGTTTGAATGTGGATATAATGATTTGGATTTATTTAATTTGAATGTAACGACAAGTTTAAAAATGTTAAGATAAGGTACGTAGTCCGTTGGTAAGCATCCTGCACCTAAAACCTATTTGACCATGTATTCGAGACATCAGAATAATAATGTTTGGAAGAATCGCAGTAATTACTAAGGTCCAACTGCAACCTCCCAACATGTCTGGAGAATGCAAATTCAAGCCACCCGGTGATTGCTTTTCCCGATGATTTATATGAAAACGGATTCTAAATTCTTTCAAGGTGAGAGATTCGTGCGATTGAATAAGGGGGGGTCCACCCATTCCATGTACTTAACTCGTCCTCGAGATAAAACTTGTCTAGTACACTTTGTTCAGCATCAAAACTGGGAGAGGACGGTGTGTTTCCATAAGTTGATCCAACGAGACGAAAGGAAACTAGTGCGTGCAAATTCCTTAAGCGATAGCCACTAATTCGTACGCATGTACACGTGAGTGAGTGTACGGATGGAACAGAAAAATTCAATCCACTAGCTATCCGTGGGTATTTGCTCCATTTGCTCCATCTAAAATTTGTGACCAAAATCATTAGTATTTGGTAAAAGAATATAAACTGTCGTAGTTTTGATATGATTCTGATTAAATTAAAATTCTTGCAGATTATATTATTACTAAGTTTCCATTGTAAGAGAAATCCATATATATATATATTTTTTTTTACTTAGAAATCCAATGTGCCATAGTTCATTTCGTAAATTTATATTTAGCTTTAGAAAAAGAAAAAAAGAAATTTATTTTTTAATTCAATAGCTGAGCAGTAACTTCACGCGCTGAAAAAGGTGTAGTCATGCGTTAGTTGTGGTGTTCCCTCCTCTATGCGTTTCTTTAGGGATGGAAATTAAATAAACAGCCAATGAAACGCCCGCGTTTTCAGCAAACCACTCCAATTTTTGGAATTTCCATTTGAGTCCTCAAAAGACCACCAAATTTACCAAATTACCAGGTTCAGGACTTCCTTAATTCACTATAAATACCCTCATTTGACACACACTTGAAAAGGGCCATTTCATTTAAATAATTAAATAAAACACATAAGAATATTTGAAACGGCCTTATTATTTTTTTTTAAGTTTCTTTTTGTTTTAAACTTCTGTCGGAAATATGACAACTCACGTCGAGCAGCCCCCGGTTGGTATGTCTTTTTTTTTCCGTATTTTTTCCGGCGAAATCAATGTCCAAATTCGACATTTAACATTTTTATAGTATTTTATTTTATTTTGTTTCATTTTTGCAGAGAAGCAAACCCCATCCGATTCCGATTTTCCCGTGCCGCGAACAGAATCACAAGGAGGATTTGAAGCTCCGGATATTAATGCTTTTGGTAACACATTTCGGTTAGTATACATTTTTTTTCATTTGATTGATTTATTACGTATTGCATGATTGTGTGTAAATGAACGATAAAATTCTGATTCAGAACAATCTATCAAAGTATTTATTTTAATATTAAAAAAAATTTAGATCGCATGAAATGCATGTACTTGTGCTCGTAGACGTAAAATAAAATTCCGGATCTCGTTTTTACAGGGATTACAATGCCGAGAGCGAGAGACAAAAGACGGTAGAGGAATTCTACCGAATGAACCACATTAACCAATCATACGACTATGTAAGTTGCATGCAAATCTTTAATTTCAATCGGAAAAAAAAAAAATTGTAGGATTAAATTTTTCGGATCGAGATTAATATAATTTAAATAAATAAAATGCATGCAGGTGATGAAGATGAGAGAGGAGTACGAAAAACTCGACAAAACCGAAATGACCGTATGGGAATGTTGTGTGCTTCTGAATGACGTCGTGGACGAAAGTGACCCCGATTTGGATGAACCGCAAATCGAGCATTTGCTCCAGACTGCCGAGGCTATTCGAAAAGATTACCCTAACGAAGATTGGCTTCACTTGACTGCCCTCATTCATGGTTATTTTAATTATGTTTAAAAAAAAATCCGATTTCTTCGTATATTTATGTCAATGTATATTATGTCGAAAAATTGAGACGACGTCACACGAATAATATTATTTTTGCATGGAATTTTCAGATCTTGGTAAAGTGCTTCATCTTCCTACCTTTGGAAGTCTGCCTCAATGGGCTGTTGTTGGTGAGTTTATCAAATTAAATCACCCCACAAAAAAATAATTAAACTATATATATATATATATACATAATACATACATATATATGTATATATATTATTTTATTTATTCTTGTTTCAAGATTAAACTATATATGAACAATTAATGTTTAATCAATAATGTAACATAACAGGTGACACATTCCCTGTTGGCTGTGCTTTTGATGAATCCATTGTTCATCACAAGGTACATATGTATAGCAAATTTTATTCAGATTATTTATTTATTTCTATTTATTTTTTGGAATTCTTGTTGCATCAATTGAGATTTATTAGTTTTTTAGGATAATATGAAATACTGAAAATTTAATTTAATTTATAAATTATGCAGTATTTCAAGGACAATCCAGACATTAACAACCCTGCTTACAACACCAAGAACGGAATTTACGAAGAAGGATGCGGCCTCGACAAAGTCGTCATGTCATGGGGGCACGACGACTACATGTACATGGTAATTAATTAATTAATCCCTAATTAATTCCAAATATTTTTTTTTAAATTACAAATTTATTAGCATAATTAATTAATCAATTGTGACAATTATAACTTTTTTAATTTGATTTGCATCTTTCAGGTGGCTAGGAAAAATGGAAGTACTCTACCTTCGCCTGCATTGTTCATCATCCGTTTCCACTCATTCTACCGTACGATCGAACTTACGATATTTTTATATATCGATCGAATTTTTTTCCTTAAATATATAATTACATAAAATTTATTATCTTTTTTTAATTAAATTTAATAAATATATATTTATTGTTGTAGCTTTGCACAAGGCTGGAGCTTACACACACTTGATGAATGATGAGGATAGGGAAAACCTCAACTGGCTAAAGATTTTCAAGTAAATTAAATATATATTATTTCTACTTTTCCTAATATTTTTCTAATAAATTTAAATAAATAATAACATTTTTTTTAATATAAAAATATTTTCAGCAAGTATGATTTGTACAGTAAGAGCAAAATCCGAGTTGATGTTGAGCAGCTGAAACCATACTACCTCTCTCTCATTGACAAGGTAAATATATTTTTACCTACGTAATTAATTAATTTTATTTTCAATTATTTTTGTTTTTTTGGTAATTTTTTAACATAAATTTTAATTATTGCAGTACTTTCCAGCAAAGCTCAGATGGTAATTTAGATGTAAATAATTAATAAATCACATAATGAAATATACTATTACTCTTATTTATTATAATTATTTTTTATTTTTTTTTCCAGCACTGTAATTCTTAGTTGTTTACACATTTGTCCACTTTGTTTTAAATTACATACATGTAATTAATCAGGTTGGGCCTCAAGTTTATAAATATTTATTTTTGAGGCCCACTTGAGTATTTGTATTTTTTATTTGTCAAATATTATATATTTTATTTTATCAATGTATGCATTATGTGTATATTCGTGATGTTAAATAATAAATATACTTTATTTATGTGTATTTATGAGATGTAACACCCAAATTGTATTAATGATAAACAGATTGCTTTAATTGAACTCAACTGCTAATTATTGCAATTTGCATGTACTTATGTATCCCTTAAAATAATTGCTCCATTTTTAGTAAAAGAAGAAGCCAAATTACATTATCTATTACTTATGACTCGTTTGGTTCCCAAGATAAAATTAGCCAGAATATTATTAAATAACTTTATAAAAATTCAATTATTTTATTGGACCATAGGATTCATAAATAATTCCTCATTAAGCAACGATTAGAGCTATTTTTTCCACAATTGCTGGCTGATTCGAAAAATTATTGAACTCCAGTTATTTAATCGATTAAGAATAATCTTACCAACCAAACGAGGTCCTATTGTACGATTGATATAAACTGTTCATGCAACTCAACTATGTCTTTTCTCAAAAAGAAAAAAAAAAACTCAACTATGTCTGATTTTTATTAGTATATTTTTTCAACGTTGTACCGATAATTCATAACTGCTTGTTTTAATTGACCATAGTGGCATAGTGTAATTTCCTATATATATATGACCATTGATCATATTGCGAATTTTATAATGGGAAAATTATGTAAATACCCGATAACCGTGTATTGTTAGTGAAAAATATCTTTAAAATTTGGGTAAATTACAAAAAACTCTTTAAACTTATGCTAAATTACGAAAAATGCTCCCACCTATCAATAATTACCAAAATCCCCCGAAGTTTGTTTCAGTTTTATACTCTCCCCCTCCAGGTATAATTTCTCATGGAATATTTCCCAAAAAAATGTCAAATTCTACCCATTCGAACGTGACATTTTTTATGCTACTTTTTAAAGCTAAAAATTACCCTAAAATGGGTAATAGTATACTAAAAAGTTGTGAAAATCTTATTTAAAAAATAATAAAGATTCGTGTAAAGGCCTCTTGAGAGTAATTTTTTCCTTTAAAAAGTAGCATAAAGAAATGCTTGTAGGGGTAAAATCGACATTTTTTTGAGAAAATATTACTTTGAATAAAAAAAAATTCCATGAAAAATTCACACTGGAAAGAGGTCAGTGTAAGGTGGAAATAAATGTCGGGAATATTATAATAACTACAAATACGTGGAGCTATTTTTTTATAATTTAGCCTAAGTTCAGAGGTTTCCGTAAATTTCCCTAAAATGTTATAAACTTATCCAAATAGCTTCTTAGTGTTAGTGGACGAGAATATTCCAAATGGCCCAATTATAAGCAACGCCAATCTTAATTTACCCTTGAATCTTCGTTTGGTTGTGAATCATGATTGAATCTGGACGTATTCTAGTTACAATATTATAATTTCTATATTTATTCTGTATTTTCGAATCATTCTATCAATAAATAAATAAACGATTATTCCAATGATTATATAGAACAAAGTGCTACTACTATCCAATATTAATTAGTCCCCCAAACACAATATTGCAATAAAATTTTATACATGATGATTTTAAGTACAAAGACTACACCAACTATATAAAACAAACATACAATACAACTTTTGATGTGTTTCCCACAATATATTATTCCCCAAAACACCAGAACAAACAAAAAACCACGACGCCTAACAATTAATGCATCATTAGAATTGTAAAGTGACAGATAATATGGAACAAAAAAAATTCTGAAAAGAGACAAATATTATGGAACAGAGAGTGAATAGTAAACAAAATTATTTTAGTCCAATGTGGAAAAAAAACTGGCACAAATTTATAGAGGGAGGGAGTATAATTTAATCAGCCACGTTTTACACTTGTGGAGTGTTTGTGTACATAATAATTATTAGATTATTATATTATGAAAACTGAGTTGCTGCTTTGTCATAACAGCAAACAAAAAATAAAATATAACTTCTAAAAACAGAAACACACACACAACACACTCTCTCTCACACACACTAGCACGCACATAGAGAGAAGAGAGAGAAAGTAGGTCCAATTAGAGCTAGATTCATGGGGCAACAGAGCTTGGAATCTTCTCTGCTGACCAGCGATGGAGATTCCAGCAGCAGAAGGAGGAGATGGAATAAAGCTCTGTTGCTCGTTCTTCTATCTCTAATCGTATTCATATCATGTAAATTTTCTCTTCTCTCTTGTTTAATTATTTTTCCTTTTTTTTTTTTTTTTTTTTTCGAATTTCTGAGATCGTCGCCGAGAGAATTGAATTTTTTTTTTTTCCTAATTTGAAGGCCTTGCTCCGAGAAGATCAGGAGAATTGAAGAGAGATGCTCCGAAATCGAACAGCGATATCATCGAGTCGCACAAAGCGGTTGTCGCCGCCGACGATGGGCGGTGCTCCGAAATCGGCGCCGCCATGCTCGAAAGGGGCGGCCACGCCGTCGATGCTGCTGTTGCAGTTGCACTGTGCCTCGGGGTTGTTAGTCAGATGTCGAGCGGAATTGGAGGTGGTGGTTTTATGGTGGTTAGATCTTCGTCGGAATTGGGCGCCGTTGCAATTGATATGAGGGAAACTGCTCCCGGAGCTGCTTCACAGGTCCGTTGATTTTTTTTTTTTTCCGTTTTTTTTTTTTACTAAAATTAAGTTGAAAATTAGAGTTTCGTTTTGGGATCAAACATCCCGAACTTTTAGGCTCTGTTTGGTTCATAGATTTTGAAATGATGAAAATGAAAATGAAAACAAAGAATTTGAAAATCTCTAGCATGTGTTTGGTTCCTTAGGAAAATGGGGCTGAAATTGATTTTATGGAAAATCTATTGCACCTAGTCCTTTCATCTTTTTATTTAACATTTTCCTTGATCCAAACAGAGCCTTAATCACATCTACATGGTTTCTTCATGTAGAACATGTACGAGAACAATGCCGAAGCCAAATACGAGGGAGCATTAGCAATGGGCGTTCCCGGTGAGTTAGCCGGGCTCCACATTGCCTGGTCGAAATTCGGGAGGTTGCCTTGGAGTTCTTTATTTGATCCGGCCATTAAACTTGCCAAACAAGGATTTAAAGTCACTCCATACCTCGGAGCAAATATTGCCAAACAATCAGATAAAATAATAAACGACCTCGGTTTACGACAAGTTTACGCACCAAACGGCACATTGTTACAATCCGGGGATACATGCTACAATGTGGAACTCGGTAACACCTTACATGCAATAGCGGAACAAGGCCCTCAAGCCTTCTATAACGGGAGAATCGGTGAAAGGCTAATTAAAGATGTAAAAAAATCAGGTGGGATTTTGACTATGGATGATTTAAGAAACTATAAAGCAACAGTGAGTGATGCTGTTTCTGTAAAGGTTATGGGGTACGAAATCTTGGGGATGCCACCTCCGTCGAGCGGAACACTCGCGCTCTCATTGGTTGGTGGTGAACTTAGCATTTTCTCGTTGTGTACTCGGAGTTTCTTGTTTTGTTATGTATATTGAATATTGATTTACCATTTTTGTTCGTTACAGATTCTGAATATTCTAGAAGGTTATGGAAATGGAGATGGTGGTGAGGGTGCGTTGGGGTTGCATCGTCTGATCGAATCCATGAAGCACATGTTTGCTGTACGAATGAACTTGGGGGACCCGCTTTTCGAGAATATTGATACAACTGTATCTGATATGCTCTCTAGATCTTTCGCGAAGAGAATCCGAGAGAGGATATTTGATAACACCACTTTCCCTCCTGAATACTATATGCAGAGGTATATTTTCTTTAGGGTTTCCTTTTCGTTGGCACAATAATTTACGGTTGATTACATAAATGAGCTTTGTTCATATTTGGTTAGTCCAAGATCGGCCCACTTTTATTGGAAGAATGAGCCCTTATCTTGGATGAATTATGTATTGGACCATGAATAATTAAATAACTAAACCTAATAATTTTCGACCCATAAATATCTTTTTTTTTTTTTTGTAGGTGGAGTCAGATTATTGATCATGGAACAAGTCATTTTTGTGTAGTAGATTCGGATCGAAATGCAGTATCAATGACAAGTACAGTGAATTACGTTTTTGGAGGTGGTGTGATGTCACCTTCAACAGGCATTGTTCTGAACAACGAAATGGATGATTTCTCGATACCGACTGATGTAACGCCTGATAAGCTCCCTCCCGCTCCAACTAATTTTATTAAACCGAATAAAAGGCCCTTATCTTCTATGACCCCAATAGTTATTCTCAAGGTATATATATATATAGCAGCTTAACCAATTGTTTTGACATCTTCGTTTTTTCTTGTTAAAATTGCGTCAGAATATTTTTTAGAATATGAGTTTTCAAATATCTTATATATTGTTTTTTTACGATTTGTAGGACAATCAGTTAGCAGGGGTGATCGGTGGAAGTGGCGGTTTGGATATTATTCCTGCAGTTGTACAAGTTTTCATTAACCATTTTATATTGGGGATGGAACCTTTAGCAGCTATTCAGAGTGCAAGAGTATACCACAGGGTATTTTCTTGATCTTCAAACTTGTTACATACGCTATCCATTTCATTTTATTTGTCCCTTTGGCCAATATTTGGGGTGGAAATCGGAACAAAAATTCTGAATTCCGCTTAATCTGATCCGAAATTTTACGATTTTGGAACACTAATTCTCATTCGGAATTCCAAAAGTTTTTATTCCAATTTTTCTGTTTTTCTTTTATGGAATTGGAATTGATATTAGATTAAGATTTCCCATCGGATTTTAATTTCCAAAAATATTTCCGAAAATTACACTTATAATATCAAAATATTATGTATTTTGCATTTCCGAATCCTGCTGATTCTGATAAGAAAATTTCCGATTCTGGAAAAAGCTTTTTCATTCCAATTTCCGATATCTGATTTTTCCGAATTTATTCGGAACGGAATTGGAATTAGTTTTCCACATCCGGAAGAAAATGGATTTTTTTACGAAAGTGCTAATTCATATTTGATCTGTCCGATTTCCACCCTTATTTTTCGTTTTAGGAGTTCAAATTAATTTGGATTTAACAGTTTACCCTTTACGATTAACTGTTGGGAGAAGAATACGCTGAGATTATCTTGTATAAAGGCTACATAATAAGTTACGTACTCGATGTGCCTAAACCTTAAAATACTTTTTATTGCAGCTAATTCCAAATGTCGTCTCGTACGAGAACTGGACTGTTGTGGATGGGGAACACATAGAACTATCCGAAAAGAGAAAGGAGTTGTTGAGAGAAAAAGGTCACGAACTTAAGGCTAAAGCAGGTGGAGCAATTTGTCAGCTAGTTGTTCAAAATCTTACAAATGCAGTCGATTTTTCGGGCAGAAAACTGCGAAACAATAATGTACTCTGTGGAGTACTAACCGCGGTTAGTGATCCTAGGAAAGGCGGTTGGCCTGCAGCTGTCTGATGATATTGATTGAAGATGCTTGTCATAGTGTATGAGTATCTTCTTGTATTATTTGTATTATTTGGCATTATTTGTAATTATTTGCATAGCTGCTAAATATGTCCTTGGTTTCAGCTATAAGCCAAGAAGCAGTAAATAATTGGTTTAGCATTTGTAATCTGTAAATAGATGGAAGAAAATTTCAAGTGTTTATTTATTGAGCAATTTTAAGTTCAAGGGTTTTAAGATTGGATTTATTGCATTTGGGACCACAGTATTTTAAGATTGGTATTTTCGTAGTTTCATCTACCACTAGGGAGCTAAGTGCGCTTTATAGTTTGCTTTAGGGACCGACAAGCGTGTGAAACTTAGACGGGGACTGATCCGCATTTTTGCTTTGGCAATAGGGATTTATCTGTACTTATCTCAATTTTTTCAGGGTTTTTTTTTAATATATAATTTTGGAAGTTAAATGTTTTGTTAGCTATAATACCTAATTCCAACCGCGGTTTTCGTAAATCGCAATTTTACTTACCTAATTTCGGTGGTAATAAACTATTTCTTTTTTCAAAATTACAAGGCCAATGATTTAGAAAATGAAAGAAAATTACTACTGAGGCAGCAAATATGTCCTTCTCCATGAATTACATAATGTAATAATTTGGATCTCAAATATATGTGAAAATCAAAATTCAATAAAAATACAACTTTTTTTTTTTTTATCATAGTGATAATAGTAATACAGTTAACATGCCACCAAAACGAGAGAAAAAAAACCGGAAAAAAGAACATCGATCACGAATAAGTGAGATAAACATCAGAAAAGTTTAGAACAAACCTAAGATGCTCTCTCCATTAGCTGTATCTGAGAGAGGATATTTGTCTTGCTCGTCTCAATAATGCAGCCATTCATCACCATTTCCTCGAGCATGAAGTGTGCTTTCTCCAAATGAAACATGATATCCAGCTCACACTGCAAAAATTTACAAGTCGGGGAAATTCAAGAAATATATTAATGACGGTTAAATTAGAATTTTTTTTTTGTTTCATACTAATTCATCTGATTTGGTAACTCACCACATTGCCAAAGTGACGATCCATAGTTTCGACTAGCAGGTGTATAAATTCCAAAATTGCAAGCTCATTCTGCACAAATAAATAACAGTCACAAAAGTAGCTGAGAATTTTTATCTAAAACCAGTACAAGATTTCATAATTAGGAGGAAATATTACAATTTATACCATAATATAGTGAACATTGTTCATTGAAATCGATAATTATGCAGGACACAATAAACCCAAATTTCTCTCTTATACGGTGATACTCGAGCACTCTACTATACCGTACATGTAAGCTTTACCACATCTACGAGTGTCCAACATAAACACGAGCTAGATAACAAAATACTTTTCTATTGTCAATATCAGCTAATTTAGAACTGAAAAACACGATATCGAGTCTCACCTTTCAATTCAGTCACTAACAAAATGAGGCTTTCACCTCTTTTATTTTCAGTATACCTTTCTCGTAAATATGTCTTAAGAATAAAAAAGCAGGATCTTGGAAGAAACAAGAATTGAGTAATATTGCAGAGTGAAGCCATAAAAAATATATCGGCAAAAGTAACTTACTTCTTCGTTGTCCACTCCAACCAGGAAAAAGAGCGATGCGTATCTCCTGTACACGACTTTGTAGTTCCGATGCTCAACAAAGGAACACTGTTCAACAGACATAGAACAGAAAACGATGCAACGGTCAGGGATTTGTTAGGGAGAAGGAAGCAAAATGCGTTCGTCTCAAGAATTCAAATTTTCCACTAATCTCGATTTGCCAATGACTCAAGATAACAGATTTCAACACATCCCCTATGGTTTACAAGTACTATGAATAGAAAAGGTACATCGCCTAGCGTTTTAACAAATTATCGTCGTGTACAAATGAAGGATGCCCTATGAGAAGATTAAAATGTGGTTCTAAAGGCATATACTACAAATGAAGGAAATTCCATTATCCGAGCATCACTAATCTTATAAGGTCCTGTTTGATACGAAGGATGTGATTACATAGGATATAGTTGCATTCAATATGTACCCATGATTCACAACCGAAACCGAATCGAAACTGAAACCAAACCGAAACCTTTATCCAAATTTGTCACTTCAAAATAACTGATGTAACCAAATAGAGAATGAACATATATTATATAGTATGGATCATAATCAATGATCCTCATAAGTATTTTTATAAAATCTTCAATGGCAATTCAAGCTTAATTTGAGATAATTGACAGCATAATTATAAGAGAGAGAGAGAGAGAGAGAGAGAGAGAGAGAATCATCCAAAACACAATTAAAACACCCTAATTGCATCCTCTCTCTTGAAATTCATAGACAAAATTAAATCGCGATCAAATCGAGGGCTACAAATCAGAAAATATTTTGCACAAACTACAAAAAAAAAAAAAAAAAAAAACCGTACAGATTCAAATCCATACACAGAGAGAGAGAGAGAGAGAGAGAGATATGCAAACCTGTTGTTGCGTGCGGGTGAGGCATTTGCGAACGATTTCACCTTCGAGAGCGCGTCGTTCTTCGACGTTTAGGTATTCATAGTACTGTGCTAAACGTGTCTGCCCTTGTTTGTTCACCATCAGTACGAATCTTATACCCATTTTTTTTTCTCCCTTCTTCTTCTTCTTCGTATCAATCCGATCGGGTGAAATTGCAGTCGTTTTTGTTCGAAATTTCTTCTTAATTCCTCTTTTGCTATTCAATTTTCAGTGTTTCGGTTTAGGTCCTCGTTTTTTAGTAGAATTGATTTTTTGGTTTGAAAGTTATGAGAATTTATACTTTCGCCATACTATTCACAAAACATTAGTTTTTTTAATTACACTTCCGCCCCATCCCAGCAAATATTTGTTATTGAACTATGTTGCAACTCACTCGCACGATATTTGAATCTGTTAATGTATTCACCTGCCGAACGGTCTCGGACACTTGTCGTCGGTCATTTTCGTAATATTTAGAAAATTAGAAACACTTACAGTAATAAATTTTCTGAATAATTTTGTTGTTTTTCAGATTAGGTATCTATTTATATCAGGTGAAGAAGTTTCTCATAGACCTGATTGGTTATTTCTATGATACACCCAGTAAAAACTAAACTAGGTGATTTTTTAGCGTTGATCTACACACACCAATGTGGGTGTGTGTGTGTGTATAAATGGTGTAAATCTACCCGGTATATTTCATAGAATAGACCGGGCTTGAGTTTGTCTTGAAATTTATATATTGAAACATATCGATGACATGCTTTCGATGAAGCATCTATTTATTACATCAAGAAGACGAATAACCATTACAAAAATCCACCTCTTTATTTCAGCAGGGAGTTCATATTATAACAAAAACTACTGTAATTCGAAACAAGATTAAGCAATTTCTATATATGGACGGTGGCAAGCTTAAAACATCGTTTAGAACACGACGTAGTTATTTGTGAGCATCCGCGAAGCCATTTTCTAACAATGCGTAATTAGGTGTCTCCTTTTTGTCGTCCATGCTATCTTCGACAACGTCTTTCGTACTCAAGAAACTCGGCTGACTGGTCGAAGACAAAAGCCTGGCCCACATTCTGTCCGTTATCACTACCTTGTTCTGCCTCTCGTTAATTCTCTGCACAAATTATGATTAAATCGAAACAAGATTAAGCAATTTCTCGATAAAATAAGATAATCACTCATTCGTCCTAAAAAAAATTGGAATTTCAAAAAGTTATCGACATAACCAAACATCAAATGAAACTAATTATTTTAATTAATCAAATAGCAACCGATGAACTAAATAAGCAAACATTAAACAACTCACATGAAAAGGTATATAAGCATATCTTCCATTAACAGGGCCCACCGTAAAACCGGTATATCCCGCCATCGCTCCATGAACAGCACTTTGAGCAAGAAGCGTGCAGTATACATTATCCGATGCACTACTAGGAATAGCCCTAATCATATATGTTGGATCTGCAAAACAAAATATTTAATCACTTTATTTTTGCTATAAACATCAGATTTTTTATTTTATTTTTAATTTATTTATTTATTAGGTACTAACCTATATACTTGAGATTAATCGTCATCTTTCTTTCCTTCGAAAAGTGATCCTGCAAATCAATTACAAAAATGCCATTACTATTGAAACAATGTATCGAATATAACTGAAATTAATTACCAAAAAAAGCGTGTGTATATATATACACACACACCCACACCCACACCCACACCCACACCCACACACACACACACACACACACAAACACACACACATTTGCGGACCTTAATCTTTTGTGAAATCCACAGTCCAACGTCTTGGAGAAGCTTGTTTCCGGAAGCATCTTTTTGATTCAAACTCTCGGAAAGCATCTCTTGCCCTGCACCTTCGGCTATAACAATAACCATATGTCCGAATTCTTTAAGCCGTTTCTCGATATACTCGAAAAGACCACCGCGCCCTTCGAGATAGAAGGGCGATTCCGGAATAAGGCAGCAGTCAACGTCTCGACTCGCAATTGTAGCATACATAGCAATAAATCCTGCACAAGATAAAAATCATTTCTTTCTATCTTAGTACAATTTGCTGATAAAAATTAAATCACTAAAATGAATTCCCGGTAGACATGTTTTATTGCATTTAGCACCCCCTATGTTTACTCTAATTGTTTAAAACTCCCACATGTTATAAATATTAGCAAACTAACCCCTTTAATGCACAATTTAATAGTTCTGTTTTGCTAATATTTATAACACGAGGAGTTTTTCAGCAAATCGATATAAATGCACAAAATTAATTATACCACTGTATCTTCCCATTAGCTTAACAAGACCTATGCCATTTTCGAAACTTGTAGCTTCAACATGGGCCGCATTAATAGCACGCTCGGCTTCTTCGACAGCTGTATCGAAACCAAACGACTTATCGATCACCTGAACAAAGAAAGCGACAAAAACACGAACATTTAAATTAAGACTCTTTTGTTCTTTTGACAACGAACATATCTCACAAAATTAATTACCGGGATGTCGTTATCGATGGTTTTGGGGATTCCGACAACTGCAACCTTCAAACCTCGTTTTTTGATTTCCTATTGGACGGACGAATAAATGATTTCATATTCGGCAACTAGAAACTATTCAAAAAAATAAACAAAAAATTGCAGTTGAATCAAAATGTACCTCAAAAATTACGGCTGCTCCTTTTTGAGTTCCATCTCCACCTATTATGTAGACCTAAAAAGTAAACGATGCCAAAAAAAAAAAATTTGGCTTGCTCACTATCGACTTAAATATAACAAAAGAAAATTAAATAAATTTTGATAATGAAAGGTGTACCTGGTTAATTCCTCGATCTTGAATGCTGTCGACAATTTTTTTAGTTTCGTAACCACCTCGAGATGTACCGAGTATTGTTCCTCCACGTTTATGAATATCATTCACACTTTTCGGCGTTAGAGATATCGTGTTTTTAGAATAAAATCCCTTATATCCTCCCTACAAATTTAATTTCTGGCTTAATTAGCTGAAAACGGAATGTTTACTGGATAATATATATATATATATATAACTCTTGAAATTAAATTCCGACTTACATGTATACCAAGAACACTCTTTACACCGTACATATAATTTAAACTGCATACTATCTCCCTGATAACTGTGTTCAGACCAGGGCACAAGCCCCCGCACGTGACTATACATGCATGCACATCATCCGACTCGAAATAAACCTGAAAAACAAAACATAAATATATATAAATAAAATAAATATATATGTACTCGAATTTAGTTCGAGTTATTAATGCTAACAGTAGGGCTACTTACTCTTTGGCGAGGACCAGCGCGTCGAAAATGAATCCCTCTTGGAGTGTCCTTGTGAACAACAATCTATAGCAGAAAAAAAAAAATCGCGATATATATTTATTTTTATTTTCTTTGCATAAAATTGCGTGTTCTACAATGTTAATGTTTAATGAACTCAATTTCGTTTAAAGCTAACTTGAAAGATTAATCAAAACGGACGAGCTTTATTATCGAGAAATTCGAGCGTAGAAAGACTCACGTTTTGTGCAATGGTGTCATCGTAGTCGACGAAATATTGCCTGCAAGGTAAAAAAAAATTAGTCCAAAACACTAAATCGAAATTGACATTATGTAAAATTTAAACCTACCTAACAGCTGAGTATGCAGGATTGTCTTGCAACGGATTCGGATAAGTCTGTCGAAGAGGGAAAAAAAAAACACGAATTAAAATTAAATAGCAAATTTAAAAGAAAAATTATACTATTATTGTTTTATGACTGAGAATTTTTTACATGTAATTAAGATGCATGCACAACAAGTGATTTAGTTTAAGTGGGAATTAGTTGCTTGAAAATTACATAATTACCAGTGGATTAAAGTAGCAAATTACAATAATCCTAAAGCATCAACGGAAAATTCAGGAAATGGCAAATCGTAAATAACAGTGAAACAGAGTAACACGTAGTTTTTTTTTTTTAATTCCAAAATTAAAGCTCTGAAACCAAAGAAGGAAGAACCAAATATTTGACTTAGAGAGAGAAAGAGGAGAGAGAGAGGGTATGCTTACAGGAAGATCAGGAATGAAGTCGGATAAATGGGGAACATCTTCAAGAGTGTAACCAAAATCCCCAATCACGATTTTAGGCATAGAATTGCTCTCCAAACCCATAGTTACCCACGCTCTTAATCTTCAATTTCAAAAAAAAAAAAAACGCAAATTTATCGCCTAATTTCGATCGCCGCCGCAGCTCAGCTTCAACACGGCGGATGTTGACGCACCACCACCACCACCACAATTAGGCATCAAAATTCACGCCGGAAGTATCATTTTCATAGCAATAAATAAATAATTTAACTATAATCACACATCAATACGTAGAAGATTTATGGTGTGTATTTAAGAGGGGTTGAATTGAAAAGGAGAAACAGGTGGCAGAGAAATCTGGTGGAGTTCACGGAATTTCAGATGAGAAAAAGAAGAGAGAGAGTAGGAAATGAGGAGAGAGAAAATGGTTTTTGGCAGGGGGGATTTCTGCAGTTGGAAGATAGTGTACTACTTTCTTAGCATAGGGTACAATGGTTCCGTTCTGGACCACGTATTTATACTAGTAAAAATGGTGTGGTCGTATGATTTCTTGCGAGGTGAGTGTCTTCTAGATATGTTTGAAGATTCTATTTTTGTTCCTGATTCTGTTTCATTTAAAAAAAAAAATACTTATTAAAAAATAAATAAATAAATGGGTAAATTACACCAACACCCTTGAGGTATGCTAAAATAACTTTAAGGTCCCTATGGTACCGTAATTACAAATCACCCCTGAAACATTATTAGAAACTGTAAAGAGATAATGCATTAGATACATTTCTTAAATCACCCATAACTCTATGTTGTCTCCACCACTTCCTGAAACTTATAGACCGTTGGAACTCTATCGGAATAACGTATTCAATGCATTATCCCGTTAGAGTTTCTAACAATGTTTCAGGGAGTAATTATAATTATCAATACCATAGGGGCCTTAAATTTATTTCAGCATACCTCAGGGTGTAAATGTTACCCAAAATTAATTAAATTGTTGTGGTGTTTGACTAGATTGGTGACTAGTAGTTTTAATTATTTTTTGGGTGATGTGACAATAACATTTCATTACTATATACTGTATAAATCTAAATTATTGTATTTTCTAATACATTTGGTATTCAAGTTTTAGGTCACTTTCAGAAATTAGCTGACACGACTATCAATTATTAATCAACTACTATTTTTCTAATGCATTAATAATTAGTATACACTTTTATTTTTATTTTTTTTTGACTATTATCTAAAATTTGTAGAGGGTCGAGTCGAATAAAAATATTTTTATTAAGAAAACTTATATAATAAATTAATTATTTTGATTGTAACATGATTAATTGTTTATATTTTTTTTTTGTAATAAGTTTATTAAGAAAAAATAGATAATAAATTAAATTTTTTGATTGTAACATGATTAATTGTTTATATTTTATTATTGTGTAAATTACAACCAACCCCCTAGGTATATCAAATTACGAAAAAAACCCCTCATGTTTTGATAATTACAACTACCGCTCAACTATAAATTTTCTTACACATCCACCCTTATAGTATCAAATTCAACATAATATTCTAGATTCCGTGGAATGTTCTCTACTTTGTACTTGTTTTGTGCAAAGATGCAGTTTCTGATGCACCCCAATCTGATATATACACGCTAAAAAACACATCTTATGATCATCTTGCTTCAAAATGTGGAGCTCGAATGGTATAAAACGGTTACAAAATTGGAGAATATGAAATATAATCTAGAAGATTTCACTAAATTTGACACCACAATGGTGGACGTGTAAGAATATTTATAGTTGAAGGGGCAGTTGCAATTACCCAAACATGAGGATTTTTTTTCGTAATTTGACCATACCTCAGACGGTGGTTATGATTCACCCTCTTATTTTTTTTTATAATGAAAGAACCCCTAATTGAAATACGAAAGACATAAATCATATTAGGCTAACCATATTTGATAAATTCGATCTACGGCCGTTAATAAGATAATTCAAACTTACGAGTGACTAATTGTTCGTAGAACTCATGGATAAGACGTTATTGATATTAGTGGTTAAACAAAATTTAAGTCCAAACATGATATGTGACGTACGATGTGGCGCAGCCTACATAATCACAAAATTTAAATACTATTTTATATGAATCATTGGCTGCTATTATTATAATAATAATAATAATTATTATTATTATTATAATTGCTATTTTTAATTCAAATTGGTGTATGTCCACTTCTTTTCTTATATGAAGTATAAAAAAAATAGAAATTTAAAAAAGAATGGCCTTGTAAGCTTTTACGAGTCTAATCATCACTTGAATATGTGATGATCTTTATATCTTCAAATAATGATATTTTTATTTATAGTATATAATATAAGTTCATAACTTCCATTTTGTATACATCTCATAATCACAAACTTGTGTGTGTATCGCGCATGTGTAAATATTCTTATAAAATCATAATTGTGGCTTCTGAAAGTTTAAGGAGTTAAAACACTGTTTTTTTTAATTTGATTATTAAAATAATTTGAGTTCAAAACAACGTTCGATAACCGATTATATTTCGCAATTTCATACATTCAGGTCGAACTTTGTACTGTCTCAGTTCCACAATATCTGTATCTTTTAATAATATTTTTTGTTCCATATCATCTGGCACTTTACAATTTCAACGCTGCATTAATTATATATTTTTCAATTATTACCTTATTAACTTTCCAATATTATTTATTAATTAATTAGTAAACAAAGGTACTTCAGTCTATTAATATCTATTTTCATAAAATCAAGATATATTAATTAAAAAATATATTAAAACTTATACTAAGGTGAAAAACGACGCATATTTAGCAACCAATTATTTATATTAGTAGTGAGCATAGAAATAAGTCAACTAGAGAATATTTAAAGGCATGAAAAGGATTTTTAGGTGGCATAGCATAACCCATGTTGATTTAATGACACGCACTTGAAAATTGACCAAAAACTCGAGCAGAAAAACCTATTACATAGACACATCAATGTTCACGCGAGAGTAGATTTCCTCAAATTTGCATTTGCCCCTTCTGGAATTATATATTTACTATTCAATTCCTCTTGGTATAAATCGGAGAAATAGGAAATCCAAATTTCCAGAATTAGAAACGAAAAAAAAAAATATTCAAAATTTTAATCGAAATCGACGGAAATCGAAAATTTCGTTCCAATTCCTACTCTACATAATCATTATGATCATTGATTTGAAATACATCTAATTTTGAATTAAGTGTTCAAAATTATTATTTTGTACTATATATATAATCCAATTTGAAATCCCAAACTTACATATTATTACATGGCACATGCTTTCAACTTCGCGTGCTCCACGTTGAAATTGAAAATTCAAAGTTCAAAGGCTCTAGATATACAAATCAACATTTGAATAATATTTATTAGGGCTTGGACCAGAAATATTAAATAAATCTATAGTTTACAAGGGGGAAATAATTGAATTGATCGGGTAAGTACATGTCACACATGGTGAAATACAGAGCTAGTTTTCGATCAATTTATAATGTACAAATTTACATACGGATACATGGTTAAAATATGTCGTATAGATCTGTATATGCACAAGTATGATATGAAATAATTCGATAATTTAATCTCGTTGATTAGATGTTTTCGCCGCAAATGAATACACCGTTTAAATTAAATTCATGTAAAAATGAGAAAATGTCAAGACTATATTATTTTCAATGAAAATGATTTTGGGGTGAGTAAAACATACGGAATCCTTCAAATATTAAACTGAAATTATACATAATTATATATAAAGCATAATTTCCATTAAATAGATTTCGAAAACACCCGAATAAATTAACTAACATTGTCGACATCCTTGTAATACAAGTATGAAGATAGCTTCCCATCAAATTTTGATACAACTTGATGTGCAACGAATCCACTGTAATTTTTCTCGTAAGTTGCCCTACAAATTTCGATGACCCTTTTCGACATTTCATCTTCTTCGTAAAATTCCTGGCTCACCAGTTCATCCAGACTCATCCACTGTGACCATTATTTAAAAAGAAAAAAAAAAAACTATTAAGTTACTATTGCAAATTAACATAAATTTGTGTTTTATATATATAATTATCGTCCGATTTTCCTTTTTTTTTTTTTTTTAATAATTAATATATAATTAAACCTTTGCATCCTGAATTTCGTTTTGATCAATCTTGATTTCCAGGGATAATGGTTTCAGCATGCAAACAAACAACAAGTCCGATTTCTCAAACGCCACCTTGTGTATATGCCTGACAATTTTTATTTATTTATCACAATTTGAAATAAATTAAAAAATTAATAATAATAATTACATGTATAATTAATTAAGAGCAAAATAGTTAAGCAATTTTTGTTTTTTGAAAATTATAATTATTGCATGGGACTGACCTGAAAGCTACCAGCTCCAAGAATGTTGTATCAATCTGTACATACGGTATAATATAATTAACAAATAAATATATATTAATTAATTATTTAGCAATATTGTTTAATGTATAAATAAATTCATAATAAGGGGGGAATATTCTTCTCACTCCAGTTTCTTCTTTCACCTCTCTTACAGCTCCTGAGAACAATTCTTCAGACTGTACAATATTAACGAACTAAATAAACTAATATTTAGCACTAATTAATTACTCAATTAATTAATTAATTAATTTAGTTAATTAATTAATTAATTAATTAATACACACTGCAAATTTTGTATGGTACCTTATCAATATAACCAGTTGGCAACTTCCACACTCCACAGCAACTATAGGAGCACTTCTCTTTCACTACAAGAATCTGATTAGTAAATGTTAACAAAATTATATACTAAACATATATTTTTTTTTTATAATATATTAGAAAAAAATTTTATTTATATATAGGCCCTCGAATCGATTTGTTATGTATTCGATACCTCTTTATTGTGGTTGATCACAAATCCGGCGACGCCTATTTGATGCCGTGGCCCACATGGCAACGAGCAGGGTTCGTCGGGTATCCAATGTGTTAGCATAACATATCCATCTTCAGCATGATGGTAAACAAAACCTTCCTACAAACCACGATATAATTTCGATTCGTTATTTAATATTTATCGAATTGCGTAGTATTGTGGGGCCCACTAATACGTATTTAACCGACAATATTACGCCCCCGACACTGATTTTAGTATTAACAATAATTAAAAAAAACCTGAATGGCTATGGGAACAAGGTGTGCTTGCTCTTCAAATATCTTTAGCCATATTCCCTTCTTACCCTGCATTTTTTTATTTATATGATTACATTAATGAAAAAAAAATAGTTTGTTTAATCTAAATTGGCCTAATGGAGTAGTATATATATATATGTGTGAATAATTTGATTGAATTTAATTAGATTGAGTATACTTCAAAAGAAAATAAAAATGAAATAAAATTACACCTTTGATTTCCAGGTGGATAAGGAAGTTTTAAGTAGTGACGCAAAGGCGTTAGCGCTAGAGGGTAAGCTCGTTGGATCGATAACGATTCCATTGTATTCGTCCTCCGATCCGTTTAGTGACTCCACGCACACACTCGGCGGTGTAAACATAACTTGAACTACTCCATTATTTTGCACACAGTTGACGTGGTCGAAACGTCGACCTCGATTCAGGGCCGCCTTGATTGAATCGGGCGTCTCCACGAAACTATGATTTGAGGAAATATCTGATGATACGAATGTTTCAAGAAAATAACACTAATTAAGAAGCCAAAAAATTCAAATATTTATTTTTTGAAATATAGGTAAATTAAAATGGTTTATTTACTCACTGCTGTTCTTGGTCCATTTGATTCTTGGGGTTTGCCAAGGACTAATATGAACTAAGGGAACTGGAAGTTGGCAAAAAAGTAATTTTGATGCCATTTTATTTGTCTGATTTTATTTATTTAAATAATTTAGAGATGTTTCATGTTTGAGTTCAATTGAAATATATAACCATAGCTCAAATGGGACTTCTTGATTTGTGGGATAAAAAGTTGGCTATTTTTTTTTTTAAAGAGAATAGTATCATGCATGTCAAGTAGGAGCAAATAGATTTTAATCAAAAAAAGAAAAGAAAAAAAAAAGATTTTGTTGATAAGCAAATTCCATTCTGTTTTTTTGATGTTCCGAATAGTACGCACAAGCTTTGTTTTGAATAGTACGCACAAGCTTTGTTTTATATCGGCAAGCTCGTGTAGTGTAATTAATATTCTTGTGATCTCAGCGAATCGTAGCTGCAAGTGACCAATTGGAATGCTGAATGCTTGGTTCCAATTAGAATTGATGCAAATTGTGAAGAATAACAAATGTTCTCATGCTAAAAGAATCCAAGGTTTCATCCATGGAGGTATGGAACTATTCTTATTCTTTGTAATGAATCAATCCATCCATATATGTACCATCCATTATTCCCTCCTTATTAACTCCCACAATCTTCTTCATATGAAATTCTGATTCTTTTTAGAATACATGACGTAGAAATCAACTCTATATATACAATAGAATATGGTTGGGTAGGTGTGGAAATCGTATGGAATGGATCGAAAATGTTTTCTCCAAAAAAGTTTCAATTTTTTTTGAAAGTAAAAAATGGGTTCCAATTGGAATGCGAAAATTCATTCCCATTTCAAAATACATTGAAATCGGCGGAATTTTGGAAATGACATTAGTTTATAATCTTTTGTTCAAAATTCGGTCATAATGGGAATTTTCACCAAGAAAATCCAAAAGAGAGTTCGACAAAACACAATAAATAGAACCAAATGTAGGAACGGCAAATTGATGTAGAGATTTTCTGACAAGGAAAATGCAACATAAAGTTTTTGAAACTAATTAATATTTTCTAAGATTTTAATTTACTCAACCCTTCGGTATTATATATTTCATATAAAATATAACATAAGTTATATTATTGAATTACAAAATATATCATAAAATTATATTATATATCTCAAAAAACAATCGAAGTATTCGGAACTAAAACCGGATCGAAAATCGAAAATCAAAATTTCCGATAATTTTATGTACAATTCCGATTCCATTCCAAATAAATTCGGAAAAATCAAAAACCAAAACTTAAATCATAATATAAAATATGGTTCCAAATTCGATCATTTTCGGATCGAAATTGGCGGAATTCAAAAGTTCCATTCCGATTTCTACCCCTATGTTTGGGAGATATGGATTACGTACCTTATATTATTGGTTTTTCCTTTGTATTTATTAGGAGAAAATAACTTTTTCCAGGCCTTTAAAAATCACAAACAAATAGTAAATATAAATTGCAAATTTCATTGCAACATTTATTTTTTTCTCCGGATCAAATATCTTATTTATAGTTTGTAACAAGTATTTGTTAAAAATTTAAAGTTTTATTTCATTTATGAACTCTAAAATTGGATAAAACTGATGATTAATAATAATTTTAAATAATTAAAATCAAATTGGGCCATAATTTTCGAGCAAATGGGCCGCTTAAGTTGAATTTGGATCCATCTCGCACGTGTGAAAATTACCTGTTTGGATCCTCATTTGCCGTTGTCTTCCCCAAACCAAACCCTCAAAACACACACACACACACACATAGACACGAATCATCAGCCATAATTGACCGATCAATCATCGGATTTTCAGAATGTTCAGAACGGCGACGTCTCGTGCTAGGTCTCTCAAGGTACGCCTCAACCACTCGCGCTTCTCTTTTCTCGACTCGCCCCACACACACTCGGCACATTGACTCTGTGTGTGTGTGTTTATGTATCTTCATTTCGTTTGTCAAAATGTGTGTGTGTGTGTGTGTGTGTGTGTGTGTGTGTGTGTGTGTGTTTATGATGAACTTATGACAAAAAAAAAAGAATCAATATTGGCTTAGCATTAGGAATCAGCTAACAGAAATGATTAATTTCTTATATGCGCATTTATCTTTTACTTTGGTTATATAGTATTCTCTAATTATAAAAGAATTGAATTTTATTGCCTATTGGTTGGGAAACCCGAGTTTCTCTAGTTTCTGTTAGAAATTAGGAATTTCGGGATGCATGTTGCCTGTGTAATAATTTTATTTCATAGTAAAAATGTTATTGCTTTTTCTCTCTTAGCGATGTTAATACTTCACATTCTGTGTTAATGAATAAAAATCATTTGGACTGAACTTCAATTTCTCTCCCGACAGGGCCGAACGGGCTATAAGGGATGTGCCAGATATGCGACTGTTAGCCCCGTTTCGACTAAACCAGCATCTGCAGGTTTCTTTAGTTGGTTAACGGGTGAGAAGTCGTCGTCACTTACACCACTAGGCCTCCCACTGGAAAATGTCACTCTCCCCCCTCCATTGCCCGACTACGTTGAGCCGGGAAAGACTAGGGTAACCACTCTTGCAAACGGTCTGAAAATCGCCTCCGAAACATCAGCGGTAAGATATTAGACGATTCGCGATTCTACTTGTATTACTTCATCTCCAAAATTCAAGAATCACTGTTTTGATCTCTTTTGGCGAAGCGGTAAATAATTTGGGCTTGTTAATTCAGAACCCTGCAGCTTCGATCGGCCTGTATGTTAACTGTGGCTCGATATACGAAACACCAGCATCGTACGGAGCAACACATCTCTTGGAGCGTATGGCATTCAAAAGTACCACTAACAGGAGCCACTTGCGTGTTGTGCGTGAAGTTGAGGCGATTGGCGGCAATATAACTGCGTCGGGCTCGAGGGAGCATATGAGCTATACGTACGATGGGCTTAAAACCTACGTCCCTCGAATGGTGGAGCTCCTTGTCGACTGTGTTAGAAACCCTGCCTTTTTGGATTGGGAAGTTAGCGAACAGGTATACTGCTGTTGTCTTTTTGCATCTTGAAAATTTGATACTCGGTTGTTTCCTTGCTGTATTACTGATCTTGCGGTACGGTTTTTGTGGTGTCTTTTGCAGCTTCGTAAGATGAGCGATGATATCAGCGAAGCCTCCAAAAACCCTCTACACTTGCTTTCGGAGGCCATTCATTCAACCGGTTACTCTGGTCCCTATGCCAACGCTCTTTTAGCATCGGAATCTGCTCTTACACATTTGAACAGTGGCGTTTTGGAGAATTTTGTTGCTGTAAGTCTTGAAAGTCGTTTCATGTTTATTTACTTGAGCAGTATCGATTTTGCTAATTGCTTACGATATTTTGTTTTAGCAAAACTACACTGCTTCTAGGATGGTCCTTGCAGCATCAGGTGTTGACCACGATAAGCTGTTGGAGTATGCAGAACCACTTCTTTCTGACCTACCCAATGTTTCTCCTCCTTCGGTGCCAAAGGCCGTTTATACAGGGGGCGATTATCGCCGGCAAGGTGACTCAGGGGTGTGTATTAAAAAAATCCCTGTTTGTATTGCTGTATTATTGATATTCTGTGAATGTTGGTTTGGAATATCGACAATATTTTTTTTTTTTTCAATGTTAGGCAACCCACTTTGCACTGGCCTTTGAACTTCCTGGTGGTTGGGTCAAGGAAAAGGATGCCATGACTTTGACTGTTCTCCAGGTCACTCATTCACTCGTTTAATTTTGACCATTTCTCGATTTTTGCTTTTCATTCTTGTGCACTTGTTTACTTCTCTGTAGCGCAGTCTAGTTTGAACGATATCTGTTCGAATTTCGTCTTATAAGAAAAATCTGATGGTATCCATCTTATAGATGCTCATGGGAGGAGGTGGATCTTTCTCAGCCGGTGGTCCCGGGAAGGGGATGTACTCAAGATTATGTAAGTTGAAATAATTTTTATCGTACCTGTTAAAATGATGCTTCTGAATGTTCATGCAAATAAGTATTTTTACACATAATTCATGTTTTTATCCGACACGTTGACTATGATATATTTACATTGTTGATTGGTAAACAGATCTTAATGTCCTGAACGAGAACCCCCAGATTCAGTCTTTTTCTGCATTCAGCAGCGTATCCAATCATACTGGATTATTTGGAATTCAAGCTACTACCGTAAGTGGTTTCAGTTTTGCACAAAATCTCTGCATTAAGAGGTCTTTTGTGGGATTATATGTTTATGTGTAATGCCTTCAGTAACGACTTTGTGCTATTTCAGTTGAGCTTTTCGACTAATTGACTTCAATGTTATCTTTAAATAGTTAGGATTTTAGCATGATATTATGGTGATTTTTGGCATAGTTATTCCAAGTAATGTGTGTCAAATTGCCGTATTACTAACATATTTGGTTATTCAAAGATGGGTGTTTTGCGATAAGTTAGTCGTTATGATGTATGTGGGTGCATAATATGTAAAATATATTTTTACAAGTAATAATGAGAAATTAGAGTATATCAGCCGGTTTTTCGAGGTGGGTGTTTTACTCCCCACTTTATGGGATATTTTTTCCCTTTCAATTTTGAATTGGAAGTGATAAAATTCATCTTTCGATAATTCAGGCATCTGATTTTGCTATAAATGCCATTGATATCGCTGTACGAGAACTCATGGCTGTTGCAACTCCTGGACAAGGTTTGTTCTTGAACCTCAAAATTATTTTCTTCGTCAAGTTAAATTAATCAAGAACCTCCATGTTATTCGAGATGGAAATAGAGAATCCTTTTTAATAAAAGAATATGCTTTTACAAATTGTTTTCTCCCGCTCTTATTTTCCCTTGCAGTTGACAAGGTACAACTAGATCGTGCTAAACAGTCGACGAAGACTGCCTTTTTGATGAATCTAGAATCCAGAGTATGCTTTTTCTGCCATTACTCGGGTTTTCTTTTCCCTTTCGCTAAAAGTGAATGACCTTTTTTTTTCAATATGCTTGTAAATAATATTACACTTTGTGGATTATATCACTGCAGATGGTTGTGTCAGAGGACATTGGTAAACAGATTTTGACACAGGGAGAGAGGTACGTTAAATTATAATTGTTTTACACAATAAATTTCTTGTTAGTGATATGCTTATGAGTGTAAATCAGAAGTATCGGATCGGAATTGGAAGTGAAAACCTAATTCCAATTCCGTTCCGAAAAATATAAAAAATCGGAAATTTGGAACGGAAAATTTGTTCCAAAATTGGAAAATTTCGTATCAGAATCAGCTGAAATCAGGAATTTCTAATTTTTGGTCACCTAAAATATGAAATACCTAATAATAATGACATTTTAAGTTTAATATTCGGAAAAAAATCGGAATATTTGGATCTTAAGATCGGATCAGAAATCGGAATCTCATATATATTCCAATTCCGATCTAAATAATTTGGAAAAGAAAAATGAAAATCAGAATTTCGGAATTCTGAATGAATTTTTTTCTTTCAAAATTGGAAAATTTTGTATCGAAAATTCCGTTCCAATTTCTACCGCTAGATATGCACAATACTTTTGATATTAAACTTGGTTTTGCAATCTTTAGGAAACCCGTGGATCATTACTTGAAGATTGTTGAAGAAATTACAGCTCAAGATATTGCTAAAACAGTGCAAAAGCTTTTATCATCTCCCCTCACAATGGCATCTTACGGCGATGGTATAAATACATTTTATTTTTTTTCCGAATTAGCCATATATTATTATTCAATATTAGCATATGAATTATCAGCATATTAACTATCTCCCATTTATTTATTTTGTTTTATTTTATTTTTCCATTTCATTTTTCAGTGCTTCATCTGCCAAGCTATGATTCAGTAAGCAGGCTGTTCCATTAAAAGAGCCTCTGCTGTGTCTTTATTTTGGGCGACAATTTTAAAAATCTGAGCTGCCTTCTCCCACCGATATTTATTGGAAATACGGTATGTTTGATTTTTTGACATGAAATAATAAACGACGAGCTTCTTGTAAAAAATAAGCACTTTGATGCCTAATTTTTTCTTTTTCTAATTAAGCATGCCCGGATTTTGTGGCTATCAAGACCGGTTCGATGAAGTGGTCGTTTTTCAGTCGTCAATTATCCGGGTCGAATAATAATTTCCCGCCATAATTTTATTGTTGCTGTTGGCAGAGTCCAAGATTATACTTTACTTGAAAAATCTTAATTTATGAATGCTAATGCATTGATTTTAATGGGTAAATATGAAATATTTTTGGATTTTGGTAACTAAAATAAAATAAAATGTTTATTTGCAGCGATTGGAGTGAAGAGGAGTTTCAACATTTAGATGAACCTAACTTCTATGGATTTGGGCCTAAAAGTCATTCCCAAATTCATCAACAATATCTTTTTATTTTATTTATTTTTTATTTTTATTTTTATTTTTTTATTTTTTAAATCTCAATAAATAACTACACAACATAATTTTATATTTCTCGTTTACATATTTTATATATTCATTGCTACATATTTTTCAAGAAAATAAATAAATCACTTAATTAAAAAAATCGTGGATCATATCCATATGGTCCTAACTAGAGGCGACTCTAGGGTTTCTGGGGCCGTAGGCGAGATTAAAAATCGAGGCCCCTATCTTATAAAATTTCGTTTGCAGACAAACAATTTTATAATTACCATTGTTGCGTCTTGTGTACTACACCAAATTTAACTTCTTACTATTATAATTTTAATCTTTTTGAAAAAAAAAACATATAAACGAAAATCCGAATTAAAAAGGATTTGATAGCAAATGAAATATGCATTTATATAATAAGTTTTAAATGACTGTAAAATAGAAAAAAATAAAATAAAAAAGGAGGAAAAAGCCAAACAAAATATTGTGGGAGAGCATGGTTTCCATGTGAACTTTTAGGGGTAATAATGAGGTGGTTAGCATGCCTAATCATAACCAAATTAACAACAATTAGCTAAGGACACAACACAACATAAAATGTGCACACATATCTCTAACACAACTTCACTTTTTCCCTAGTTTCATGCCCTCTTTTTTTTTTTTGTCCCTGTCTGGCTCTTACTCTATTAAATCTTGAAATAAAATTAAAAAATGAATAAATAATAAATTGATTATTAGTTTTTAATTATTCTTCATACTTTATCTAATTTTAGCTTATCTTTTGTGAAATGTCTAAATTGTTCTAATACAAATGAAATTTGGATAAAGATAAATGAGGATGTTAGTGTCAAATGTATTTTTTAATTAGTTATAACAATGTTTTTTTTCAATTGGATTTGCAATTGTAAGAAATAGAAGGAAAAGCTATTGATATGCAAACATTAAAAACTAAATTATTGATAAATAATAAAATAATAATAAATGAAGCTGATAATAAATTTCTAAAAGCTCTTGCAATCATCACCACCTTCATAAAACAGTTTGATTATCCTTTCTTACGTCATTTAATTTGCGTTCGACAAATAGATTTGAGAATGTCAGGTGTGGCACTTCTCTCTCTCTCTCTCTCTCTCTCTCTCTCTCTCTCTCTCTCTCTCTCTCTCTCTAATTATCTCTTCATTTTCTGTCATTAGTACTCATTATTATTAAAGCAAACCCTAAAATTCAAGAAAATATTTCCTCTCTCTTTTTATGACATGGGTCAACACGTTGAAAGACCATAATAGTATCTGTATTACTTAATTTTAATCTTTGAAATCGGTCGGTAATCGGTATCGTTCCTTTTACATTTTGTGAATTTTCCTAACTCGATATGGAATTTTTTTTTTCTCAAACCGAAAGTTCGGTTCATAAAATCGAAAAAGTAAACAAATTGAATGAACTCTCAAAAGCAGGGTACACCCGAATTCGACCAGAGTAAAAAATGGATCAAACCACGTTTGACCTAATAAAATCGACCTTTTCTTTTTTTTGTATTTTTCACATTAGAATATTTAGTCTTATATCTTCTTATATAAATATATAATTAATTTGTTTTTAATCCTCACGTATATAAAATAATTTCTTAAAATAATATGCGAGGCATTTGAGGAAAACAAAAAAATAATAATAATAATAAAAAATCAATCTTGAAAGACAGCATATGAGGAAAAGCTGAATTTCTTGTTAAAAAGATTGTTTGTCCATTGTCTTTGGTTGGTACACCACATTTCTCTCTTTCTCTCTCACACACTCACACACTACTATACATATAATATATAGATATATATATAAAATATAGATATATATAATTGGCATGCACAGAATGCCAAGATGATTGATTATTGGGGCATGTGGAGTATCAAAATAGACTACTAGAGGAACAATCTTAAGATATGTGGGGCCCACATTTCTGGATTAGTCAACATTCAACTCTGTGGCTACTACTCTTTCTTCTATTTATTTCCTTTTCACAAAAGAGATACCTAATTAAAATCTTGTCCAATTACATCGAATAATATCCCAACATATATATATATATATATATATATATATATATATATATATATATATATATATATATATATAATATTCATATGTGTATTATATTTATCATGTAATTGCATGACAAAATGTTACTTGATGAACTATATACTTGATGAATGTCTACAAAATCGATTATTTTAGTACTCTCTTCGTTCTTAAACATGTGCCGTGATTTACGCTGGCTTTAGGAAAGTAAATATTGATAGACCAAAATGTCCATGTTTACTAATTAATACAAAAAGAATGTTGTAGAGTTAATATGTAATCAATACAGCATTTGAATTGTAAAGTGGCATGTAATATGAAAGAAATTCTCAAAAAAGACAGATATTGTGGAAATGAGGGAACTCGATAAAATAATCGGGAGATTTTAAACCTATAGATCTACACATAATAATACACCCCCATGTATATATATGTGTGTGCTTAGTAAATAGTTATGTGTATAGATATATGGTTTAAAATCAACCTGTGTGGCCTGTGTGTTTCATCGGGTGCAGTAACTCAGTAACTCATAGACCGTAACTTTTAGATGCATTTACTAATTGAAGATTTCCCATTTTTATTATAAACCATCTATTATCACATTACACATTTTGTTAAATTTGTACAAAAATGAAAGTACCTTGTACCCCATATTATGATTATTAAATTGTTCAATCAATATTTTAAGCAAAGATAATATATTAATTAGTCACTTTTAAAACATTGAGAGATATATGTAGGGTTATTCAAACCAAAAAAAAGATTGTATAGTTGACTATATTTTACAGATATTCAAACAAGAGTTAAAAATTAAATGTAATCAGTATTTGAACACTCAAATTGCATAATTGAAGCCCAAATCAATAATTAAAACTAAAAAGCATAAAGTGGACTTAATTAATATATATATTGTTCTTGGATAGAATTAATTATTCTCTTCTTGAAAATGGCCTGCATGAGATAAAAAACTAAATCAGACACATGAAAAATACAATCATAGCAATATGTTCTCAGCAAACATTGCCCTGTTTTTTCATCATTTATTTCTTGACCATTTAAAGAAAATTAAATAACGTTATTTTTTTTTTTAAATTAATTTGATTTGATGGGGATTGACCCTTTGGCCTATGGGCACATGAAAATCTCTCTCAAGTGGACCAAAATTATCCCAAAAATTCAGAAAAAAAAAAAAAAAAAACAGCCCCCTTTTAGAGGGAGTTAATTTGTGGTTTGTCCTAATGAATAAGGTTATAATTAGATGGATTAAAATATTAATAGGGTTATAGGGGTGCTTAGGGTTGAAGTCTTGTTAAATACGGAGTATATGGTAAGTAGTGTTTAATTAATTGATTACTCAAAAAAAAAGTGTTTAATTGATTGAGAGAAAAAACAATAATTAATATATTAGTCGGAATTTAATAATAATAATAAATAAATAAATTAAAAAATAAATATAGAAGGGGGATGGTGGTGGTCCATCAAGTATGCTGCGGCAGAAGCTCAGTTGCCTTGCATATCAAGCAAATGTTGTATACCTCTCTCTCTCTCTCATCACTTTCTCTCTCTAAAACATACTACATTCATAGCAAAAGAATCATGATCAGCACTCCCAGCTCAAAACCCATGTGACTTCCTATCATTTTTTCCCCATTCTTTTCCTGTTTTTCTGTCTTTTTTTTTTCTTATTTTTTTTTTTTTTTATTTTTTCTATTTACCTTTTTCTTTTTCCTTTATTTTTTTCTCAATAGGTAGTTCACATACGTACCTTTTCTCCTTGGTATAATTATTTATTTCTAATTTGGGCAAAAAAAGAAAGTTATTAAATATAAATTGTAAATAAATTAACTATTAATTTACACCTTTTTAATTACATTTTAACTATGCGTATACTTATAATATTTCTTCATTTACCGAAATATTTAAAAAAAACCTTAAAATAATATACTTAATCCACCCAATATAATCTATCTCATCTATATTTAATCTATAGTTTTTATTTATTTATTTATAATATATACCTTAAAAATTGTATATTACACTAAAAAGAATAAAGTGAGCGTGTTGTCTCCAAACGCCCGTAAACTTTTAATCCACCCTCGTATTAAATTTTGATTTCGCCACTGTACACGAGTCTACGCAGACATAATATATATATATATATATATATATATATATATATATATATATATATATATATATATATATATATTATAGAATATTGTGGTTAATTAAGAAAAATGAAGTGAAAAAAAAAAAGTTAACTAGAGTTGGGGTTTGTTAAAAGGTTTAGAGTGTGTTAGTAAACAAGAGAAATATAATTAAGGGCGTTCAATAGCTTTTTTGTAATTAATTTGCTTTTAACAGTCAAGAACATAATACAAAGAAAGCTACCCCTTATACACAGAAGAATCAAAACTAGTACATACTGATCAAGAACTCTCTCTCTCTCTCCTCATCTCTTTCTCTCTCCTCTCTCTCTCACACACAAAAACACACACACAGAGAAAAACTGTGTACATGGTGTGCTTAAATTAGCCAAAGAATTAAAGGTAGGGATATATAGGGTACCCCTTTTCCTTTATCTCACTACTCCCCCTTCAGTTAAAGCTACCGGAATTCCTTCTGTTTTTTTCCATGGTTAAAGCAGGTTTTATTTATACCCCTCTCTCTCTCTCTCTCTCTCTCTCTCTCTCTCTCTCTCTCTCTCTCTCTCTCTATAGTTCTTGAAGATTATCTATTTGTGTGATTCTTTTAAAGAAATAAATTCTGGGTTATTTAAAAGATTGAATTTTTATTTGAGGGTTTTACTGTATATTTAATTTATTCCAAGAATTTCTTTTTCTTGATCGATCATGCACTGTATACTATATTTGCATATCAGTACTGCCGAATCTTGATTTTGGTCTTCTTCTTTAATTTTATGCTTTCCGATCCCAACTACATATGATACACAAATTATTTATTTTTTGATCATTTTATTAATTCCAGAAAGTGTGTGTACATATATATAATATATATACCTAGATGATTGATCAAGGGCCTGTTTGGCTTCTTGGTGTATATAGATGAGAATTTGAAATTAGGACAACAAGAATCTGGGATTAAGGTTTTCTTTGCATCCTTAATTAATCTTTTGTTTTTTTTATGCGGCGGCGATCGATATATATATACATATAGAGGCGTACATACGAAGGAAGAAAAAAAGGAGTTTATTAATAATTTGTTCGAGAAATGAATAAGAGTAATCAGCTGGGATCTGTGAGCAGTTCTGATCTCATAGATGCAAAGCTTGAAGAGCATCAATTATGCGGATCCAAACACTGCCCTGGTTGCGGTCACAAACTCGAAGGAAAACCGGTATATATGTACTCGATTTTTTTTTTTTTTTTTTTTTCGCATATAATATTTGCAAGATTATCGGAAAAAAAATGATCAAGAATTCAAATATATAAGTTAAGAATTCATAGTCTTTTCTTATTAACCTCATTTCACAATATTGATTGGATTGATTGATTGATTGATTGACAGGATTGGGTAGGTTTACCGGCGGGAGTGAAATTCGATCCGACGGACCAAGAGTTGATAGAGCACCTAGAAGCGAAAGTCGAAGGCAAAGAATCGAAATCGAAATCTCATCCGTTGATCGATGAATTCATCCCCACCATTGAAGGTGAAGATGGGATTTGCTACACTCATCCTGAAAAACTCCCAGGTCCTAAAATTAAACTTAATTTAATTCCATTTTTCCCACCATTTCAATTAATTATCACAACTGTGTGTTGTTTTTGTGTATTGCTTGTACCATAATTCAAGATGTTTGGTTTTACTATTTGGCCATTTTTTTCTTTGGAAGATAGAACCAACAAATTTCATGTCGGAAAGAAATCTAGGGTTTTCTAATAAATATTTCAAAATTTGTTACACCTAAGTTAACCTAACTTTGAATTTATTTATTTATATTAATTTTAATTTTAATTTTCAGGAGTAACGAGGGATGGATTGAGCAGGCATTTTTTCCACCGGCCGTCGAAAGCATACACCACCGGCACAAGGAAGCGGAGAAAAATCCAGACGGAATGCGACCTCCAAGGCGGCGAGACACGGTGGCACAAGACCGGAAAAACCAGGCCGGTGATGGTCAACGGCAAGCAGAAAGGCTGCAAGAAAATCCTCGTCCTCTACACCAACTTCGGCAAAAATCGAAAACCCGAAAAAACCAATTGGGTTATGCACCAGTACCACCTCGGCCAGCACGAAGAGGAGAGAGAAGGCGAGCTCGTCGTCTCCAAAATCTTCTACCAGACCCAGCCCCGCCAGTGCAACTGGTCCTCCTCCGACCGCGGCGCCGCCGCCGCCTCCGCCGCCGGAGAGGGAAATAGCACCGACCGTCCTAGGGACACCGGCGGCGGTTCTAATTCTAAGGAAATTGTCATCGCACAGAGAGATGATTTCTCGGCCGCCGCCGCCGCCGTCAATATTGGTGGTGGTCCGGCGGCCATTCAGGGTTTCGGCGGTATTGATATCCGCCAACTGAAAGCTGATCAGTTCAGCTTTCTTCCCTTCAGAAAATCATTCGATGAGGTAATTATTAAGAAAAATAATTAATCCATTTTAAATTTAATTAAATTATGAATTAATTTTTCCAACATTTGTAATTGCTTGTGGGGAAAGCATGAAAACCATAGCACACTTTTCCTGATAATAACAGTGAGCCTGCTAATCAAAACTTAATTAGTAGTTAACCCACACCTCCAGAGTAATTAACTAACATTAATTAATTAATTGTTTATTTTAATGCAGGCGGGGGGGAATATTGGGGAGGCTTCAATAGCAAGGGAAGTGGTGGGAGGAGGGGGCACGTGCGAAGAGCGTGAGATGGGACAGCATCACGTGACGAGTGAGCATGAAATGGGACAGCATCACGTGACCCACGATCCACGTCAGCATCACCAGCACCAGCACCACCATCATCAAATTGCAGCAGCAGCGGCGTATCACATAAGCAGACCGTCGCACTCGATCTCCGCCATAATAGCGCCACCACTACACCACCACACATCCTCCATTAATATTCTTGACCAAGATCACTCCTTCAATGTGGGACCCACTATTATGCTCCCTAATGAAAATTTCCAGGTACATTATCAATCTTTTATTTTAATTAATTAATTAATACCAAAAAAAAAATCTTTACTTAATTGATGACTAATATACACAATTAGTGTCAATTTATTTCTATCTTTAGTGTCAAACAAAATCCACTATAGTATTTGTTATTTTAGAGGTCCAATTTTGAAGTACTTATTTTTTTTTTTTTTATCATATTTTCACTATATATATTTTAAAGTAACTCTCGTTTAAGATTTTGACACTTTGTACTGAGAAATGTAATGTGCATTGATTTTTTGTAAAAAATTACGTCGTATGAATAATTATTTTTATTAATTATCATTTACGTTTGTGAAAATTAATGTTCGGTAGTTTTTATGAGTAGTAAGGACACGCATGAAAGAAAATATTAATGCAACATCTGTATTATAGAGTGACAGATAATACGAAACCCAAAAAAAATAATAAAAAATCCATCAGTTAATTTGAAATGGATGGAGTATCACACGAGAATAAGACAGTATCACTAATTAACGTTGAGTTAATTTTGTATCGAGGGTAGTTTTTAATTAATTCCAAAATAAAGCCTATGTAACAAAAAATATTTTCTTGAATTTTTATTTTTATTTTTTTATTTTACCAAGTGTAGCTACATGCATTATATGTGTATAGTTAGTATGTTCCATGTTAATTTTGGTAGACCTGGAAATTATGACAAAAAATTCAGAGCCAGCTATAGTTTCTTACAAGTAATCATAAACTCTTTACACTTTTGTAAGAACTGCCATCTTTTTGCAGACAATACATGATCATATATAAATGATTATGTTTTTTTATTTTTTTTTAAATTACTGTAATAATTGAATAAATATTATTATCTTTAATTCTTTCGGCGAATGCATGCAGCAACAACATCAGCAGCAACAACATCATAAACTCGGAGGAAGATCTGCGTCTGGATTGGAAGAACTAATCATGGGATGCACATCAAATAATGATATCAAAGAAGTAAGTACATATTTATATTCACAATTTTTCGTATTTTATAATCTCAAAATTGCGTACCTAAGGTTTATATATGTCTCGTTTCACCCGAACACTTGAGTTACCGAGGAAAAAAAATACCGATAAGTACTGTCAATTACCAGATTAACAGATTATGTCAAAAAAAATTAAAAAAGGTTCCCTATTTAATTTTTTTTATTATTTTAAAAAAAATGGCGAAACTTTATCGAATATTGCATGTTGGCCAAAACCCGAAAGAAATCATAACAGTGTAAAACCAAAAAAAGCCTTGGATGGTGGAAGCTGAAGCAAGAATACTCCTTTCCTCTACTTTTGAACAAATAAAAGTGTTCAAATGTAGATATTACCTTTTTTAAGGCTGTTTTTTTTTTTTTTTTTAAAAAAATTAAAAATTAAATTTTAGTTGCTAATAAAACGCGTAGAAATCAAACAATTAGTACCAAAGAATATTATAAAGATTGAGGAAAGCTATATCCCCAGATGTACTTTAGAATAATTAAAATTAAAGAATGAAAAAATCTCATGAGGAAAATAGAAAAAGATATAAAAAATAAAAATAAAGATATGTATGTAATAACCCCATAACTTCTTTTTCCCTTTGGCATCCTAGGAAAAGAAAGAACTGACGAAAGAGACAGTTTTTTCAGTTATGATCAACACTTAATTCCAGGGATGGCAATTTGACCCGCCCTGGATTTATCGGGTAATCCCCGCCCCGTTAGTTAATGGGGCGGGTACGGGTTTTGAACATATTCACTCTTACCTGCCCCGTATCCAGCCCATTTATATATAATTATTAATACGGGGCGGGTTTTATACGGGACGGGAGCAAGTTTAATAAAATCAAACCATGAACGGGTACGGGCCGGGGGGGATTTTCCGAAGCTCGTTTGTTACCCGTCCCATGGCCATCCCTACTTAATTCCCTAACTCATTCTTGTCATTCCATATTATTTGGCCAATGTCAATATAATTAGGTTTTGTTTGTTTATAAGATCAGTTAAGATAAGATTAAATAATCGAATGAAAACCCATTTATTTTCGGGTCGACACGTGAAATTATCGTGTTTACCAAACATCGAACAAAGTCCAGTGATTTAGTTAACCATGACTAATCCTCCCAACCAAACGAGTCCTTCGAGTGTTATAGTCTAGTTTTTTTCTTGAATTTTGCGCATGTCGTATAATTTAAGAGACTTGGATTTCGACGAATAAGATCGAATCTCTTCTTCACACACACAAAACACGAACTAAAAGAAAAATGAATTGCAGGAATCATCAATGGCGGGAAACCCTCAGGAAGCAGAATGGTTGAAGTACTCGAATTTCTGGCCCGACCCGGACAACCCGGATCATCATGGATAGCAAACACAAACCGTACTGTACAGCACAAGATCAGATTATTCAGACAGTACTTCCACACACACAAAAATCAACACTACCTTTTTTAATCATTGCCCAGTTCAAGAAGCCTTTGCTCAACTTGTTTTCTTCTCCAAAAAAAAAACTAAGTGCTGAGGGGACCATTTGATCATCAAATATATTTTTTCGTTTTTTGTTTTTTTTTTTTTTTTTTCTGGTCCATATATCTTTATGTCTGAATTCCAGGTGAGCTATGGTGGCTCAAAACACTGTTCAAATTCCAAAAACCCAAGTTGGAAAAGCACAGAAAAAAGAAGCTAAGGAAAAAAAGAAAGAAAGAAAAAGCTGCTGCTCTAATCTGAGGGAATCAAGAAATAACCTAACCCCCACAAAGCAAAGTTCTTCTCTGCATGAAAATCATCACCATCATGATTACTATATCATCCTTTTTTTTTTTTTTTTTTTTATATTTATACATATATATATAGAAATGTTTATTATTTATTATTTATTTAATTTTCATTTTTTTTACTTTTGTTTCTTGTATAATTTTTGTTCCATTGTTTTTACAAGAAAGCACAGTGATACTTTAATTTTGTGAGTAGCATCTTTTGATTTTTGATTTTTTTTATACGAGTATACGACTAATTGGTTTTAGGACGACTGGTTGCACAGGCAAAGTAGTGACAAAACAATATATTTTGAGGTTTATTTTATATATATTGTTAAATTAAATATATATTTGTGCTCTCTAAAACTGCTTTAGTTATTCTAATATTCCAGATTCGAGCTTTTTTCCTGCCAACAATTGTCTGTAGTTATGCTTTACTTAACGAGAGAGAGAGAGAGAGAGAGAGAGAGAGAGAGAGAGAGAGAGAGAGAGAGAGAGACGGTGCATGCATATTTTATTAGTGTATTATTATTGCATGTATCAAAAGGCAAATCAACATGCAATTGCTTAATCGTAGTTTATTACATGATTAAATTATTAATTAACTAATTAACAAAATAATTTAATTAATAAGGACAAGTAGTATTGATTAAAAGCTTTTCGATCATGAGCAGAATCTCCCGACTCAAAGGAATACGCTGCTAAATCTTGTTCGATTCTTCGATCCAATTCAATAATCGGTTCCTCAATTATCTATCATATGACAGATTTGCTTCGAACTACCCGTACTGGAAATCGAATAACACACACACACACACACACACACACACACACACACACACACACACATATATACTAAAGTAGCATCCCATGCATATTATATATTCCAATCCCACCATCAGACTTTCAATTTTATTTTGCATATCATATTTGAATTCATATATTTAACCAAAAGTTATAAAAAAAATATATATATTATATACATTTTACGACCAGAAAATAAGATCGAACGTCTAATTATATCATATCACCAGTTCATCCAAAAACATCTTATCAAATGTACGAGCTTATTTAGATGTTTACAATATTGCGCTATGTGTATTATTATTATTGATCATTTTGATATAACAAGATAAAAATACAAGTGATCGGAATAGAGTATATCATTTCGTTTATTATTATTATTTTTTTAAATTCAAATTAAACACGATTAATTACGGTAAGACTAGCTCCGAAATAGTGAGGGGATCCAATGCATTATACATAGAACTTCCATTATTGCATGTCTTAAGACTGAATATATTCTCCTATGTGACAGAGATACAATATATATTTTTTGCTTGGTAAGGTATTTTTTTTTACCTCAATTTTTTGTCCAGAAAAAATAAATTAATAATAAATAAAATTAAAAAAAAAAAAGGAAAAAGGAAAAAAGGAATAATCCCCCGTATGGGAAGGCGTATTTGTAGGAGAGAGTGGGCAGATAGATGTCGCTTTCCACATGCAATTTTAAAAATTAAAAAAGAAATAAAAAAAAAAGAGAGAGAGAGAGGAGAGAGAAACAAAGGAAGAATGAAATGTCATGTTCATTCTATAAAGCTGATATTAGTTTCTTTGGCTTTATGGAAGATTTTCGATGTTCTTAAAAGTAGAAGTTGTATTTTTTGTAAGATTCGGTTCAACAAAGAAGTTGCACAAGGAATTTTTATGTTTAGTGGGATGTCGAATAATATATATCATCTCCTATTCTAAAACCTACCGGTAGGATTGCATAACCGGGCCGGTTTCGGGTTTTCGAGTGAGTTTACGGGCTTTGGTTTCCTATCTACTTTTTGATTTTGTTCTAAATAACAACAAGGGCAAATTACGACCACCCCTGAGTTATGGTCAAATTACGAAAACCACCATCTTGTTTGGATAATTACAGTCAACCCTTATGTATTACCTTACGAAAAAACCCCTCCAGAGGCAAATTTAGGGATGTTAAATCGATAAAACTGAACCGAAATTCCGATACGCCAACATTTCATGATGTTTACCGAACTAAATATACGATTTAGTTCAGTAAATAACCGAATTACATAAATTTTACGTAAAAATATTTAAAAGGAGGGGTGACTGTAATTACATAAACAAGAGAGGTTATTTTCGTAATTTGACCATAACTCAGGGTGACCGTAATTTGCCCTAATAATAATAATAGTGAAATACTATAAATTGGCAGTGGAACCTGCGAGTCGTAACCATGAACAGACGGGTCGTAATTTGACCATAACTCAGGGGTGACCGTAATTTGCCCTAATAATAATAATAGTGAAATACTATAAATTGGCAGTGGAACCTGCGAGTCGTAACCATGAACAGACGTGTCGATTTTCAACCCGGGAAACGAACCATGAATACGTCTATACGGGGCTGTGTGTGGCAGTAGGGGTGGGGGTGGGGGGGCAAACACACTCAGTATGAAAAGAAAAATTTCAAGCAAAATACATATACTGATATACAGATAGAACTACAGCTTATATATATAACACCATACTACATACAATCTTGAGTAGCCCTCAAGGTCATTTATGTCTTTTTTTTTGCTTCTTTATTCTTCATTTACCCATACAACACAAAGACTAGAAAATTTCTCAACACTTGCTTTTTTTACCTTGCGGTGGGGTGCATTCGTTCTCTCTGTACAAGCACAAGCTTATTATCACCGCGCAGACAATTCTCGAGAATTAGCAAGCACGAGCATCGGTTAGCTGCCTCATTGTAGTAGTTCCACAGTTACCCGAAACTTTAAGAGAAGCAAAGAGACACGACAATCTAGCCATCATAGGACTCGTCCTCGTCATTCTCGGAACAATTTTCAGCTCCTTACCGGCACTTGGGCTGTGGTATCCTTCGAGATCGGCTTTCGTAATTAACACAGCGTCTCCAGATGTACATACTACTTTCGAAGCCATTCTCTGCTGCTTATATTCTTGAACGGCCTGAAAAATTCGGAAAGGTGTATTTTGTGACGAGGATTCAAGAATTAAAGTTGGGACGACCTGTTTGTTTTTTTAATGAACAATTGAACACATCTTTTTTTTTTTAATGAAGTTGTTAAATCATGGCTAAGGGAAGATATAGTACTTTAAAATAATTCCGCAAAAGAACTTGGGTCTCGATTTAGAAATCGAAATAAACAGAAATTTATTTTGAGGGGAAGAGGGAGAAGTTTTCGTGAATTTGGAACGCGATTTTGTATACCTTCCATTGTGATGGAGCCAATAGCACTCTCGGTCTTATTGATCGAACGTACTCGAATGCATCAGCAGGGCTCATATGCTTGTATTCCACCTGAAAATTGACCATTTTAAAATTATATATCTATATATATACACATATATATGTGTGTGTGTGTGTGTGTGTGGAAAAAAGAACAGCACCAGATAACAAAGAACAACGGTAGTGCTCCTTCCTCTCCCTGCTTTGCAGTGGACGTATGTTGTTTGGCCGTTACAAGCGTTTCCTGTGACAAAGAAAATGATCAGCAGCCGATGATATTTAAATGCAACTATTCGATAAAGATTGTAAGGTCATAAATCATGCACTACACAAACATAAGGGAGACTAAAACTAAAGCAAAACCACGTACTGTGAATAAAATCCACAGCTCGGTTGATATCCCCAAATGAAGGAGCAAAGAGATAATCCCTAGTAGGAATAACGAGATGGTCGATCCCATGTGCCTGGAAAATGACAATGCAATTGAAGCTACTTAGAAGAAACAAAACAACTAAAGATACAAAGTTAATCGTTTAATCCATTTGCAGAATGAATTACTATCATCTTTTAACTGGATCGAAGGTCTCAACTGTCCAAAATACCGAATTTTCTAATTTAAAGAAAGAGTAATTATCCAATTCCTTTATCTAATTTAAAGAAGAGTACTATGGGAATCAAAATTATCATAGTCAGATTTTCAACGTTCCCAACAATTACAAGAAGAATTGCATAAACAAGAAAATTCAAACCAGCCTTTAAATCCATGCGGCTAAACCATTTCAAGAAAAACTCATTCAACTTGGCAGTTGGCAGAGGCCCGTATTAGAATTAGAGAAGAAAATGTGAGTGGCAGATATATCGAAAATCTGATAAACGAAAATTTGCATCTAATAAACAACTCACATAGTACAACGATGTGGGCACGAGTGTTTCATAAGGCTCGTTTAGAGTAATTACACCACCAACTCCAAGCTGCTTCAACCGAGGTACATCCTTTGGAAACGGAACAGCTCCCAACAGAAGAAACTAAATATTCATCACAAAAGAAAATAACTTAGCATATAAATTCTACATAATCTCGTAAAAAACGGCGTGCGAAGAAACAAACTCGGAGCCATGATAAGAAAGTATTTCACTTAGAAAATGCAGCCTCTTCACCACAACTTGAAAAAGCATCATCACCAAATACTGATCAAAGAAAGACACCACCCCCCCACCCCCACCCCCTCCAAATATGCATATCAGAAAAATTAAGTCAGAAGTAGTTCATCATTTTATTTTAAAATGAAAATAAATCCAAAAAAAAAAAAAGCAACCGATCTTAAGAAGTAAACAAGTTAATTAGCTCCTAGATATAGTCAACTGTTGAAAGAGAAAACAAACACCAAAATACGACATCGCACTAGTCGACGATATATACCTGTTCGATTTGATCCCACCATCGGAACTCAGCCTGAATCTTGTTCCGGAAAACGTTGTAAAAAAGGGTCGGGTAGAACAGGATCCGAGCCCCGGCTCCGACTAAAGCCCTCTTCGCATCAACCCGAACGGCGACCATCCTTCTTTCCTTATCAGCAGAGTCAACGCAGCGCCTGCTCTCGTAAACACTCTCCGCCGCAGAAGAATCATCCAGCTCCTCGATCTTCATCTCGATCAACAATCAACAACAACAGTTAACAATTAACAATACCCACTGAGATACCGAATAATTGGGGAGAAAAATACACGAATCGGAAACCCTAATTAATAGAAATGATCGATCAATCGGAAGAAATTCAATCCATCGGCATCAGTTAACCAGACGCGGGTAATCATACAACAACAAAAAAAATTGAAGCAAAATTAAGCGTTGCGATTCGAGAAAAAAGGTTGGAATAAGGATAATTGGAAGATTGGGAGGCGAATAATCTGGAAATTCGGGGGGATCGAGGAGTGTGTGACTGTGGGTGGAAGGAGCATGAGAGAGAGAGAGAGATCGATGATGGATTTAGAGAGAGAGAAAAAGGAATAAAAGTCAAATGGGGAAGAAAGAGTGAGGGTTTGGGATATGTGGTGGGCCCTACTATTATCTATTATTATTATATTACATTTATTAATTACCATTTGGATTACCATGGCCCACAAGACTCTTTCGATAAATGTTGTTTCAGTTTCAATAATCCTCGTTCGACTTTAAATGTGAGTCTGATCGTTTTTTAAAGCTGATTTATGCAAAACTTTAAACGATGAATTTGTAGTTATTTGAGTTAGCTTTTTGATTCGATTTAAGTTACCAAGATTGATTGCTTCGATGAGAAAGATATGAATGAATCAATGAGCATTGCCTATAACTTTGATGTTTTGAGTTGTTTAAAGTTTAAAATGTAACTTATTTATGGGTAAATTTGTCATCCGACATCCAATCTATCTCATTCAGGTTAGATTAGAAAGCCAACTAGAAGGACTACAATGTCTGTGTTCTGTGTTTTGCTAAAATCAGATTTAAAATGGATTAAAATCACGTTTGAAGTTAAGACAATATTAATAAAATTGATCAGTACATTAAAACGGTCGCCACTTTATGCAATTTTTAGACCCGTAATCAATTCAATATTTAGTCATGTAAGGTTTTAGACTCGTAATCTGAATTGAAATAATTCATATACTTGTTGGATTGATGGGGGCCCTGAGGGCGAGAAATTTCATCTTTTATTAGAAAATAGGCATATTTTTGGTATATTCTTATATTCTATTTTCTCACTATACAAGCCACAAATGCAGTATATATTCTTTTGCTATTTGCAATCCCAGAATATGCAAGGAAAATCACAGCCCATTTTGATTACTGAATAAGAGAAGATCAAACAATTCGGAGCCCGATTTGCACTAACACGAATTATACAACCAAACGGGATATTGCACTACGACGAGAGTTTACTCAATACACTTCGATTGCAGGTTACAGATTCATTGGTCAAATAAATAAGGACATATTACGACTATCATTATGAGGTATATCAAATTACCAAAGAAACCCTCTTGTTTGAGTAATTACAGCCACCCACATAAACTATATATTGTCTTAACAAAAAAACTCCTTATTCCACAAGTAAATTTGACACAAATAAGAGGGGTTTTTCGTAATTTTATCTTAACTAAGGGGTGATCATAATTTCCTCAATAAATAAATAAATATATATATATACTTAGTTTAGCTTCGATGGGCTGGTACATGCGAAAGATTTATTTGTCAGGCCCAATTGAAATATTTGTGGCCCGAATTTCCGTCATTCAAATTTCAATAGTGTTGATTAATGATTATTGGATTAGAGAAATGTTATTTAAATTTTTATTATTGGATCGAGGCTGATGATAGATATGGCAGTACACTTGGCATAATATCATTGGACGATCACTACGTACGTGTTGTGTGTATAATCCGCGATGTACATATAATGCGAAGAAATAAATATAATCATCACAAAACTCATTATTAAAGCACTTGGATATTCACGCATGAAATATTTTTGCATGCTCCATTCTTTATGGGTTTAGTTTACAGCTAATTCGTTGACCAAAGGCATGCATTCGTTTTGAATTTCTCTCTCTCTCTCTTTTTTTTTTTTAAGTTATTGAAATATAATGTACAAAGTTAAAGTATCTTATAAAATTTTATGATAAATGGAAATTGTAATTATACTACCTCACTAGTATTCAACTACGCCTCAATTGAGCACTTTTTGTTATTTCGATAAGTTCAATTGAATCCTTGGAAGTTTCAATTTCACCCAATATGATATCTTCACATAAAAAAACGAAAAAACTCGTTGCCGTATGCATCGTGCGCGTGCGCTGAGTTGTGTCAATATTCACCTGAAATTTAGACGGAGGTTGTTAATTGGGTCAAAATAACAAGTTTGGGCGTGCCCATGCAAATAGTTTTTCTTAAGGTGGTAATGTGCAAAAAAAAGGGGCGAAGTACAGGTCGTAAAATTAATGTTATTTACCATACCCTAAAACAACAACAACAACAATAATAATAATAATAATAATAATAATAATAATAATAATAATAATAATAATAATAATAATATGCTAAAAATCAAACTACCCAAGGTCGATTAAAACTTGAGTGAAATACATATCAAATGAAACTGAAACACAATATTAAAAGTTCGACAAAACACAATACAAATATGCATTCGAGTTGACTCGATTCATTAACTCCTCTAATTGTGCTACACCTGCCTGCCTCCACATTTGTGGAATTCACTTTTTGATGCTTTTATTTTAGCACTAGTCATCTCTACAAAACCATAAATCACATTAAAAACCAATTAATCACTAAACCACCCTTTTGCCATCAATGCATGAACCCCATTGTGACCAAGCTTATAATATAAAAGGGTAAATTACAAACACCCCCCTAGGGTATGGTCAAATTACAAAAAAACCCCTCTTGTTTGGATAATTACATCTACCCCTCAACTATGATTTTTTCTTAGACCTCCACCTTTATGGTGCCAAATTCAACATAGTCATCTAGATTCCATGAAATGTGCTCTAGTTTGTACTCTTTTTGTATAAAAAATACAGTTTCCGATGCACCACAAACTGATATATACAAGCTAAAAATCACATATTATGATCATCTTGCTTCAAAATGTGGAGTTTGAATGGGATAAAACGGGTACAAAAGTGATAATATTCCATATAATCTCGAAGATTCCACTAAATTTGATGAGTTGAGGGGGTGGTTGTAATTATCCAAACAAGAGGGGTATTTTTGTAATTTGACCATACCTCAAGAGGGTGTTTGTAATTTACCCTAATAAAAAAATAAAGTGTAAATTACGGCCACTACCCTGAAGTAATGTTAAATTACGAAAAAATCCCCCATGTTTGGATAGTTACGACCATGAATATTCTTACGTCCATCCTTGCGATGTCAAATTTAGTGAAATCTTATAAATTATGTGGAATATTCTCCAATTTGTATCCGTTTTACCCTAATCGTGTTCCACATTTTGAAGTAAGATGTCATAAGATTTGTTTTTTTTAGCTTCTATATATCAGATTGTGGTGCATCAGAAACTGCATTTTTGCACTAAACGAGTACAAAATAGAGAACATTCCACAAAATGTAGAAAATTCTGTTGAATTTGACACCTTAAAAGTGAACATGTAAGAAAATTCACAGTTGAAGGGTGAGGGATATTTCCGTAATTTGAAAGTGGCCGTAATTTACCCAAAAATAAATATATATGAAATAACCGAAAGGCTTGGCAAATCATTACAAAGAACATGGAGAGTAGCTGGCTCCTCCCATTTCTCCTCCCTGCAATAATAATTGCCACAGAAGCTGCATTCTTTGTTGGTGGCGGCGGCAGCGGCGGAGCCATTCAAGTCGGCGGCGGCGGCGGTGGTGGCGGAAGTGTGTGGATTGGTGGAGGAATGAACCCTCCGAACACTACTCCATCATCAGCTTCAAAGCTCACCAAAGCGTACACAGCTCTCCAGGCATGGAAATCTGCAATCTCAGACGACCCGTTAGGGATCTTGAACTCATGGGTCGGGTCGAACGTCTGTTCTTACAAAGGAATATTCTGTTCAGATTCTCTGGACTACACCGGAAACCCCACCGGCAAAATTGTTGCCGCCATAGATCTGAACCACGCCAACTTAAAAGGAACCCTGGTGAAAGAACTCTCCCTCCTCACAGATTTGTCGCTCCTCCACCTCAACAGCAACAGATTCAGCGACGAAATTCCGTCGTCACTGAAATACCTCTCGTCGTTAACCGAACTAGACCTCAGCAACAACAATTTCTCCGGCCAATTTCCGTCGCAGATTTTATACATCCCGAATCTCCGGTACTTGGACATCAGATACAACTCGTATACCGGCGAAATCCCCGACGAGCTTTTCGACAGGAACCTCGACGCGATATTCCTCAACAACAATCTGTTCGACGGCGAGATCCCCGAGAATCTTGGAAATTCGCCGGCGTCGGTGGTGAATCTGGCCAACAACAGATTCACCGGGGCGATCCCTTTCAGCTTGAGCTACATGGGGATAAAGGAAATCCTGTTCTTGAACAACCAGCTCACCGGCTGCATACCCGACGGCGTCGGAATGTGGGCCGGGTTGCAGGTTCTCGACGTGAGCTCGAATTCTTTAACGGGTCATTTGCCGGATTCTTTATCTTGCTTGAGCGGTATCGAGGTTCTGAATTTCGGCCGGAATATGCTCTCCGGCGTGTTGCCGGATTTGGTCTGTTCGTTGCGGAGCTTGGTGAATTTGACGGTGTCTGGGAATTTTTTCTCCGGGCTGAGCCACGGTTGCGATAGGTTGGCCGTCGGAGGAGGGTTTGATTTCTCGTTCAATTGTATTCCCGGGAGGGAGATGCAGAGGCCTCAGCCGGACTGCGCGGCGGTTCCAGGCGGCGGACTGAGCTGCCTGAGAATGATGAAGCCTTTTGTTTGTGGGACAATGGTGGTGGGGGCGGAAGCCGCCGTAAGTCCACCTCCATAATCCTACTTAATGGGGGTGGGTGGGGAGAGGGACTAGTCTTTATTTATGACCAGTGTTTTCTTACGAGGCACAGGTTTTATTTGTTTTGGCTGTCTTTTCATTATTAACTCCAATTCATGATTTTGATGCTTTCAATCCGAATTCCGAAATTCCGAGTTCTGATTTTTACGAAATTATTTAAGTTTCGAAGGTAATCCGAAAAGTTCGATTTTTTTTTTTTTTAAATTGCACTTAGAATACCAATATCATTATGTATCGTATATTTTAGGTAACCAAAAAAAAAAAAATTGGATTCTGTAAATTTTGATCCGAAAATTTTCAATTTTGGAACAAGTTTTTTACATTCCAATTTCAATTTCTTTTGTGAAACGAAATTGAAACTAGTTTTTTCACTTCCAGAAAAAAATAGTGTTTTTCCGAAAGAGTTGATTCTGATCCGTCTGATTTACGCCCCTTCCCAGACCCGATAATTCAAGTAACATGATGTGTTAGGATTACCTTTGATTATATTCAACCAGGTATTAGTATGTGGCTATTTTGTATGATTTTTTGTGTGTCGGACGTAGTGGTGGAAATTGGAACGGAATTTTCGATTTCTGCTGATTTCGATTCAAAATTTTCCGATTTTGGAAGAATATTATTCAATCCGAATTTTGCAATTCCGAGTTTCGATTTCAATAGAAATTATTTGGATCGAAATTGAAATATATATGAGATTCTGATATCCGATTCGATTTCAAATTCCATTTTTTTTCTATATGTTACACTTAAAATACCGATATTGTTATATATCTTATATTTTAGGTAACCAAAAATTGGAAATTTACGAAGTACGCAGTTTTGGACCCGAAATTTTCCAATCTTGGAACAAGTTTTTACATTCTAATTTTCGAAATTCTGATTTCGATTTCTTTTTTGGAACGAAATTGAAACTATTTTTTCACTTCCGCAAAAAAATTGATTTTTTTCGAAAATGACTAATTTCGATCTGTATGATTTACACCCTTCTCAGACTTGACAATTCATACTAGTTGTGTTGAGTAGTTAAATGTATTTTAAGGATGAATTTTTGCAGTAATATAATGTGGGATGTGATTTAAGTGGAAGCTTCTGTTTGAGGAAAAAGATAAAAGCTAGTGCATTGAAAAATGGTGATAAACCATAGATTACATTACACGTGCTAGGATCTAAGATTTGTCGGTTAATTAGTTGAATATTATTAGCTAAGAGGCCTTATTATATGCTCTTAATCTTGTTTCCCACTATCCATTTACAAAAGTTATATCTTTGAAATTTTGAGGTTCTTGTTATAATTTTTTTTTTTTTTATTTTGGATAAAAATAAAATTTCTCTCCGCAAGTTGAATTTCATATTTGTTATCATAATACTGAAATCAACTGAAGTATCAAGTGATAAAACTACTATTTTGATACAAGAAACTCAAAGATCATTCTCTAGTTGATGTATCAAAGTGATAATTACTATTCTCCAGTGCAAAAATGATAAAAAAACTACTATTCTTCAGTGCAAAAATGAAAATCGGAACTGATGTATCAAAAATTTAACCGTTCAATCAACTTAACATGAATTGATACGTGACATTTAAAAATATATTTGATGATTATGATTAGAGTAAATTATTTTTAAAGTGATATCAAAATAATATAACAAGTATCAAATGACCATTTGATGATCCATTTCGACACCTTTCCACTGAAGTTGCTCTAAAACATTCCTAAAAATTTATTGATCATACTTATTTTCTACTTTTTAGAATGTAATTAAAATATGATATAGAGTTACTTTTTCAGAAAATATATGATATACAGTCATTATCAGCCGTAGTATTAAAAGCAATCTCACCATTAACTAAGGAGGTGGAGTACTATAAAAAGGATTACAATTTTATTTATAAATCAACCAAACAAACTTTTAAACATAATACATCTCGTAGGTTTGGTATATCAGAGCGAAAATTTGTGACAAATGATCACCACTTTTCCTAAATATGCTAAGAGTTATCTTATCTAATTCAACTAATCATGTTCGTCTAATTATTTTATGCGATAAAAGGGAATAACTTGATATTGTATAAACTAAACAATAAAAAGAGGAGATTAATTTACAAGTTTCAAATTGTGAAATCATGTTGGTTGGCCTATTAAGTTTTTCTCACAATTAATGAATTTCTCTCTAAATTTTTCTTGTATTAGCAAATTAAGAATGGCGCTCTCTAGGAAGTGGAAGGAAAGTGGGTGATTGATATAGACACCGGAACAAACAAAGCCGAAGATGGTTCTGATTCAAAAGATGAGGGTGTAGGTGACCAAGATGTTCTGCTTTGAATTTAATTTATGGTGCTGGTGCTTTTGTTTTTTTGTTTTCTTTTTATGTCTTCAACTATCAAATTAATAAGACATCTCATAATTAATGTTTTGGCATTTGCCAACACATAGCACTTTTCGACCTTTTAGTTGCGTACAAAGTTTACACCAACAAGTACTTCATGACCTCAACGTTGTAGAGCCTGCTAAATGCTGAGTCATGAAAATGCTACTGAAAAAAAAAAGAAGAAAAACCGAAAAATATTTGCACCGAATGATCAACGAATAACAATTACCCTCCTCTAAGCAATGTAATACAAGGGGTTAGGCAGTTTGAAAGACCGTTCCGCCACAGCAAATCCCGTCAAATCACTCCATTGATCGCCAGAATTCCCCCGAATTATGTACCCTTCGTCTTCTATCTCCTTTCTCTTCTCGGATTTATAGACTGAAGCAAGCTTACCTTGATCACCATCTCCCCTATTTCATACACATAAAATCTTAGTCATTAAGTAGTTCATCTTTGTCGATTTATTGTCGTAATAAATAATTTTGGATTAAAGAAAATAGTGAGCAAAATACTGAAAATGCCAAATTTAATTCGGGTAAATTGCAAGTTTAAGTAATTTGTTGGGATAAAAAGTGAATATATATTTTAACAACAAAACACAAGAAAACCAAAGAATGTTAATTTCCACAAAATTATTTTCACCAGGTTTTTCGTAGGAACCAAAACATACTTGGGATTTTATGCTCTTTTGCATTTTCATTTTCCTCGTTTTAAAATCCGTGATCCAATCAGAGCATAAGGGATATTTAGTACGAATGTAAGCCCACATGGAACGCGATAATCCAAAACAGTTACTATAGCTCATTTACCTCAAGATAAGTCTTTCCCAGTTGTTGAATCCAGCGAAACGGAGGTTAATTTCTGTAACATTCCTTTGAAATTCGCTCCGACCAGTCAATAAAAATACTGTGAATCCAAGATCCTGCAACTCATTGAACAATCTCAAGCTGGCTGATAAAGCAGGACCCACAGCTAAGTCGACCCAACTATCGAAAGAAAGTTCATCAAAAACCTCTGATCTGTATCCAGAAGAACACGTGAGTTGCATGCATGGAAAAAGCTAAAAAGCATTGGTTGAAATCAAGGAAAAGGTTCATATAGTTGGGCATTTATTAATACAACTTCAGCAAATTTTCAAAATTACAAATGCCTTAAGGAGGAATTGTTTTTCTTTTACAACACTCCCCCTCGAGTAGGTACAATTTCTATTATTGAAACAAATATCGAGAAGGTATTTGTAATTTACAAACTCAACTAGAATTTTTTTCTCCAAGAAATCGACCAAACTTCAAGGATAGTTTTTGTATGTTGAGCTAGTTATTAAATTATTTATCCAATATTAGGTATATAGATGTCTTGACAAAAAAAATATACGACGTAAGGTCCCAGCAAGAGTTAATCCAACGCCAACAGCCTCATATTCCAGCTGACCATTGTTCAGAATGAGTTTCACTCAGTGAAGATATTCATTACAACTTACAAGCAATTTAAACAAATAAAATCAAACAAAAACTACTTTAAGGCCTTGTTTGGTTGGGGAGATTGGCCATGATTAACTAAATAATGGGACTTTGTTTGATGTTTGTATCCCCAATAACTTGTCTGGTTGACCCGCAAATATTATGTTATCATGTCTTATCTTCCCTTTTAGGCACGTTTGTTTATTGGATCTTCCAAGGTCCATTAATATAATTGGGTTTCATCAGATTATTTAATTTTATCTTGGCAACCAAACGAAGCCTAAGGATAGTCACCTCCATAATTATAATACTGGGAGCAGTGGTTCTAAAATCCCACCAGTGTAAGGGTACTTGAACAGCACCGAATTATCCGTTTCCAGCATTTTATTAGCAACTAATTCCTTCAGATTCCGTAAATGCAAATTTCAGGTCAAGAGCCTGATATAGCAATTCCTTATCGTGCACGCACAAATATTCCCTTTCATTTATGAACATGGAGCCTGATTCTTGGATAGTAAGAAAATCTTAAACAAGAATCTTCGAAACACACTTCGATTGATATTTAGTTGGCAGGCCTTGTTCTTAGCAACCTTATGGTGAGTCGTTTATAAAAAGATATAAATCTGTTTTTGAAAATAATGAACACGTTTTACGAGTACTATTTGGTTGCCAAGATACGATTAGCCAAGATATAAAGTGTTTGAAAATCCAATTACAAGTAAGAATATTTTGCTTACATTCTCTCCATATTTTTCTCTATGACGTGGACTGACTTAAGCATCGGAGGGTTTTCGCCTGAACCAAGCTCTGGCGCCCTAACGTGCGTTTTTTTTTTTCTACGCCCCGTTTCTACCAATTGAAGAAGATTATTGAAGGATTATTTCGGTTCTTGAATATTTATTGCAGGTTCCGGAATTATTTGAGGTGATTCGAGTTAACTTATTGTTTGACAGCATAAGGTCGAACACACAAATTCTCGAATAAACCAATGTTAGAGAGCTAATTTATTGGAGTGATATTAGAGAACATATGCATACACTTTACACACAGTTAATTCCTAATTAATCAGGCAAACAAAATTAAATCAAAATATCTACAGCAATTATAAAAACAAAAAATTGGGGAGTTTAATTACCCGAATCCATGGTCGGCGTAGTACGGAACATTGGAAAGCAGCGTCTCGTCAATGTCAAAAACCCAGGCATTCTTTCCGTTGCCGGAAACTCCCACCGCCGTCTTGGCGAACGCCACCGCGCTGTCGGCGACGGCCTCCGACTCCAACCGGTACCAATCGCCGGCCAGGTACTCCTTCACGAAATCCACACACTTCTCCGGGACCTGAGTCCAACTGCCGGCGTCGTTCGTCTCTACCGTGAACCTCCAGCCCTCGCAGTACAAGTCGAGTCCCCTCCGGCGGCCGGAGTCTCCATCGGCGGCAATTGGAGTCTCCTTATCCGGCACCATTTTGATCACTGACGGAGACGATGAAGTGGTCTCGATAGTGAGGATTAGGAGGAGAGAGATGATGCCCCATCGGATCAATTCCATGCCGGAAAATCCGATGAGATCTCGCCGGAGAAAAAAGGGGGAATTTCTGTGTTTTTCAGATCGGAGATAATTCGAGAAGAATTTTTGGCTGGGCTGTGATTGACTGTGGGCAGCTGCAGCATATCTGGCAATATGGGTGTTAATCGTAGTTAGTACTTAATCAGCACAATAATTAATTATGCAAATGTATTATTTAATTAAAAAATATTTTTACTTTTGTAATTGATTTAAGGATGTTTGATGTAGCTATAAAAAGTAAATTATTATTATTTTAGTTTCTTTAACATATCTATTATTTGCAAATACTTGTGATTATTTGCCACTATATTATAAGATACCTATTTTTGAATGTTTGATAATGCAACTTTTAATCTTGTTTCTCTTAAAATAAGTTGTTTTAATTCTAATTTAGGAAGCAACCATGGAAATTCCTCTTTTTAACTTAAAGTTGTATTGGTCATTTATATCCTTATTAATATTATCCAAGTCCAATTTATATATCTAAATAAGTTGTGAAGATCAATTTCTTTTGCAAATACATCAACTTATAAATTAGCTACTTGAAGATAATTTTTATGACAGTTACAGACATTCTAACTTTTAGAAATAAACGAGTATTCGTAACTTCACTCAAAATTATAAATTTCTACTTATTTACAACGAGTATTTGTTAACTGTAGATAATATTAAATAGTCATATGCTAAACATATATATACACGATTAGGGGTGTGCACGGGTCGGTACGGCTCGGTTTTTCCAATAAACCAAACACGTACCGATAATATCGGTTTCTCATATTTTAAAAACCGAATATGTCGGTTTTTTTTGGTTCGGTGTGAATCGGTTTTTCGGTTTTCGGTTAACGGTTTCGGTATCAATTCGGTTTATTTTCGGTTTCGATTTCGTCTATTTGTTCGAACCGGTTCGGCATAAAACCCATATATTTGGACTTTCATTATATTTTGAGAAAATTAACAAATAACAACCGAAAATTAACTAATAAAAAACACGTCACAACCAAAATTAATTAATAGAAAACGATGTCACATGGAGGCGCTCGAAAGATAGAGGCACGCTAGGGAAAGTATTTATAATATATATCAAAAATACATCATTTTGTATAAATCGGTTCGGTTCGGGAAATCGGTTCGGTGATTTTTAAATTCTCCATACACAAACCGATATTTTCGGTTTTTCAAAAAAAATTTACCGTGTATGCGGTTTTAAGTCGGGACGGTACATATCGGCTCAGTTTTTTCAGTTTTCGGTTCGGTTTTTCGGTTTTTCGGTTTTTTTGCTCACCCCTATACACGATTGTGTTTGATTATGTTCAAATTTACTGTTAACAATCACCCAATATAAATAATTCGGTAAAACATCATTTTCCCCTCGAGCATTGCTCACACTTTTAAAAGAGGTAGAAATATATTTTACGCGTAAAAGACTCATAAGCAAAAGTGCAATTCTTTGAATTTTTTTCTTCAATCTTCCACATAGAACATGGCATAATTCCATTATGCACCCTTAAAATGTGGAATTTTGGCACTTTGCGAGTCATAATAAATCATTCACAACGCACTGAAAATAAATATTTAAAACTTAATAAGGGTAATTTCTTTTTTTTTTATTGGTTTTCTTTATTTCAATGGTGCAAAATCAGAAATTAAATTATTATTTTCTTTCACTCCCACTATAATTTCGAGCTTACAAAATGTGAAAAAACAAAAATCACAATGAATTAATGAAAAGAAATATTTTCTTACAAAAAAATTATTCTGACCGATGATTTTTTGTTTAATAATTAGGAAAATATTTGGTAGAAGTCTTTAAAAGAAAATATAATTTTCAAATAATTTGATACTAAATAGCTTAAGAATATTTTTTGTTCTTTTTTTTTTTTGTAAAAAGAAAACGAATATGTTGATTTATTTTTGCACTTTGTACTTTTGAAATGATAGATAAACAAAAAAAAATTAATTTGACCATCCCATAAAATAGGACTACAAATATTATATTACTTTCATGATCTTTAAAAATTCATTCGAGGTATATTATGCCTGATCATTGTCTTTCGAGGGTGCAAAGTGCTATAAAAAAAATTTTAAGGTACAAAGTGTCAATATATATATATATATATATATATATATATATATATATATATATATATATATATATATATATATATATATATATATATTTTCCTCAAAAAGAAAAACGAAATTTGAACCGGCCAAGCCATCTTCCAGTCTCCCATATATGCAGTCAAAATGTTGTAGCCCACGTGACGACTGTTCACCATTTTCATTTTTCCATTTTTATAAAATATAAGCCCCTCTTGTTTGTATAATTACAACCACCCCTCAATTATGTATTATTTTACACATATACCCTTCCAATTACCTAGAAGTGTTCATCCGGTCAGTAAACCGATCGAATCGAATGAAAATTCATACATGTTGATTGTGATATTCAGTTTATTTTATTTTATATATGCAATATTAGTATTTAAACTAAAATTAATTAAAAAATAAATAAATAAATAAATAAATATTTTTAATAAAATATTGGTAATTAGGTTATTTTGTCAAACCAAATGCTAAACAGTATGAAATTTTAACGTACTGCAATTTATGTATAATTTTACCGAATGAACGCCCCTATATTTATCAACCTGCGGATTTTTTCGTAAGATAATACATAGTTGAGGGGTGCTTGTAATTATGCAAATCAGAGGGGTGTTTTCGTAATTTTATTTTATCTCAGGGGTGGTTTATAATTTTGGCCTAAAATATAAATTAACATAATAATTGGAATGTAACCCACTATTCTACTTCTACCTCATTAAAAAGCCTTAAACCCAAACACACACACACACACACAGAACACACACAATCACTCCATCGAATATTCGATTTCTCCTCCTCCCACTCCGGCGAATCCTTTTCCTCTTTAATTTCACACACTACACACAAATAAACACACTTCTCCGACTACTACGCAAAACCACATACATATATATATCCGTTTTAATTATTACAACCATCCAGCAAAAATGGCGTCGACCGGCATGTTAACTTTTCGGCCTCCCGCGGTGGTGCGAGCCAGCCGCACCACCGCCTCCGACGGCAGCAGAGCAGACTACGGCAAAATGAATTCATCTCCGAATTGGTGGTCCCCACTCTTCGGATTCTCTTCCGATCCGGACTACATCAGCCCGGACGACGACAGGAAGAGCAAGCCGCCGCCGCCGTCGGCGGCGGCGGACGAAGATCCGAAGCCGGCGAAAATCCGGTTCAGCCCGGGATCCTTCACGGAGAAGAAAGCAAGGCAGATGCGGAGGATGACGAACGAAGCGGCGTCGTTTCACGATCTCATGTACCACTCCGCCATTGCTACCAGGCTCGCCTCCGATTTCTCCGACCGCACCGATAATTGAATTATTGCTTTATCCGTTACTTTTATTTATTTATTATTATTTTGTTTTTTTTTTTATTTTCAGAAATTTGTATAATATAGAAATGGTGGGAGTGGGATCTGAGGGGTAAGCATGTAATTTTATAATCTATGCTTATGTAAATTTAAGTGGGATCACTTGTAAGATACGCAATGATTATTATTATTCTAATGATTTTCATTATCTATGGTGATGGCATTTCATTAAACTAAATTGACCTAAGCTGAATATGGTCTTTATTAATTATTATAAAAGATAATTATGAACTTCTTAATAAGTTTCCCTAAAAAAATAAAAAAATAATTGATGTCTCTATGCGTTATGTGTCATTGTTTTGTATCAATACATTGATTATAATTAAATGCCATTTGATGTTAACTTGTGGAATGGTTTAAAAACTATGAATTTCTTAATAAGTTTACCAATCATCTCCTTTGCTAGTCGTCATTATCATCAACTTGCGGAGTCTGAAGTTTAAGTTCGAAGAATCGAATGTATTAAAAGAAAATCTTATATGGGGGGCCATATCCCCCTGATCTTACTTCTGATCCTATGCTGGCTTCGTAACTGTTATTATGATTAATTAGTTAATAGTTAGATGTTCAATAATATAATGATGACACACTAAAACAAGAACTAGTTTGGTTATCCATATATTAATTGGATAAGGCGACCGCACCGCTAATCAATAGAAATCGTCCAACGTCCAGAAACTGCACATGCTCGAATATGCTTTTGTTTCTTTTTGTGCGTTTCTATGATATATCATATATATGATTTTTTAATACTTCAACGTTTATGGGCAAAGAAGAAAACAAAAAGGAGCGAATGGTATTTTGTTGATATTCACTATGAAAGAACTATTCAATCCCGTGTATTTTGTTCACATTTTTTATACCAAAATTCTTGTATGCTTGCTTTATATGTAAAATTGACGCATTTAAAGCTCGAACTCGCTTACGAGTCGAGCCCGAGCTTATTTTAAGTTGTTCGCGATATCGCGAGTTTTTCTTTTATAATTTTAATTTATTTTTATTTAAAATATAATTGTTATAAAATAAATAATTAAAAAAAAAATTACAGGTCATTTTTTATTTCGAATTTTTTTATTATAATTTATGATAATAAATTTCTAATCATATTAATAAAAAAATTAAATAAAATGGCTTAGACTCAAGCTCGAGCTCAAACAAAATAATACTCGAAGAGCTCGAGCTCATCAAAATGGATGCGAGCTCGAGTTCGGCTTGTTTACACCCCTACTTCAGACACTCTGTCATGGGCCAAAGGTTGGGCCGCCCGTGTAGCAAATATATGTAATCCAATCTGGTTGGGTGAGTTGGGCCATAGGTCGCATGAGCCTGAACACAACTAGACAAGAGCGTATATTCATATATCCTTTACGTTTTGAAGTTTATTGTCACATGATCCATTGACCATTATCTATGTTTCACTAATTAAAAATTGGTACGAATATAATGCCTTCAAATAAAAAGGGTTTGCTATTATTAATGCGGTTTTTACCACTCGCAGTGCAAAATAATTCTTTTTTTTTTCTTTTCCAAATCTTATCCAAATCCCCTCTCAAACACTCTCAACCTTTTATTCTTGAAATTTTTCAATTTTAGTAATTTTTCGACCAATATCAGTTAGAGCACAAGTATTATCGACATGGATGATAACGGCTTCGATTTTGAGGTGAAAATACACGTTTTTTGTTCATTTCCAACGTTTTTAGACATTTCGTGTTATAACACACGAAATCTATGCTTTCATTTCGTGTAACACTATACGAATTATGTCTTAAAATCGTTTGTTGTTTGTTTCGTAGACAATCATACGAAATTGAAGCTTACATTTCGTGGTAAAACCTACGAAATGAAAGCTCTTATTTCGTGTGTGTTTACACGAAATGTAGCTTACATTTCGTATGTTTTTCTACGAAATCCCTTAAATATTGTCTTTTAATTTTAAATATTTATGCAGGAACTAAGAGAACAATCTCACGATCATAGTCACTTCTTTGAACGTGGTATTGTGTGTGATAGTAGAGAAGCGTTAATTATGTGGGCAAAAGACACAGCAATTAGTCATAATCATCGACTGATTAATCATTGTAAATCAGAAAAATATCATGTTTTAACGTGTGCAAGATATCAATCTGGACGACACGTACTATTAAAGAAACGTTCTTGTCCGTTCAGGTTAATTGGCAAAAAATCAACGGAGGATGGATTATGGCGATTGAGTGTGATTAATGGTAATCATGACCATCTGCTGGGTATTTGAAAGTTTAACTTATGTTTAAATTTGTATTTGTTTTAATTTTGCATTCAAACTTATGTTTTGGAATATTTAAATTTGTAGCGTTGTGTTTTGCATTTTATATGTTTAACCTATGTTTTTGGAATGATTAAATTTGTATGGTTGTTTGTAAGGTTGTTTAAATATGTACTTTAATTGCTTCAGTTGTACGTAGTTTCTAAATTCAAATCATAAAACTAGTGAATTAAAATACAAAACAACAAACTAGTAAATTAAATAGTTCGTAATAATAATAAACAAAATTAGTAAAATAATTAGTTCCTAATAAAAATAAAAATAAATTATTAAATTAAATAGTTCCTAACAATAATAAAAATGCATAGTCCTAATAATAATAAAATAAATTTTAAAATTAAATAGTTCATAAAAATACATAACTGGCAAAAAAAACCGATAAACTACCGCCTCGCTCTCCTCGGCGGCTGCACCTCATGATCGTCGTCGTCGTTGTCGTTGTCATGGTCGATGCCAATATATCGGGCGGCGGGCTGCATAATATCTCCAAGATCGGTACGTAGATCGGCAAATTGCTGCATCCAGTCCTGTCCAGTGCTCCTCATGATCGGGTACAGTGCACGTACTATCTGGTAATAAGCCGGCTGATCTGGTGGCCTCACATTCTCTCGATGCACTGGAGTCGGGCCTACGACTGGGTTGTTGATCTTCGGATGAGTCCGATCGGTGTACCACTCCATGTAGTGCTCGTCGACTTCCCCCCGTTGTCGTGCCGTCTTGTATGCGTTGGCACGAATGGAATGAGCCTGGACCATGTCCCACATCCCACCCGGAAATGGATAGTTGACTTTGTACGATGTACCTCCTTTGGGACCGCGTGAACATGGCTCCATCGATGAAATCAAGCCGCGCGGTATATCCTGAACCCACCCGAACTGTCGGACGCAACGATCAGGCATATACGCCTCTACGACCCACATGTACTGGATCGTGCCATGATACAACGTACGAGGGATACTCTCGTGTATATCCCGACCATTCGGTAGCCACTCGACCTAAACAGAAAACAATATAAATACATAAATCAAAAAATTCATATTTAAACAAACTACAAACATAAACCGAAAAATTCATATTTAAAAAAATATAAATACATAAATATAAAAGACTTACATCATCCGCTGTCATATTGTCGAGTAAACCTCGAATATGCTCGAGCGTGCCCGCTTTTGGCGGCGCGTTCCATCTCTTGCATCGAGGCTGAAACTCGCGGTAGCGCTCGCTCTCCTCCGGCGGCTGGAATCTCGGGAAATACTCGTATATCCAGCACTGCAATATTTTATTTAAAGATATTAAAATTTATTAAAATATATTAAAATTTACAAAATATATTAAAATTTATTAAAATGAAGAAAATAAGTTCAAAATATATTAAAATTTACCTGAAGGGTGGTGCAACCCGCCAAGCCCCTCGACTGTGCTCGGCTGCATATACCCAACTCTCTGTATAGATTGGCCAAACAGGCCGAACCCCACGAATACGTGCCGACCTGATCAAGCACTGAATCCTCGAGCACGTGCATATACCACGGCTTCACCCGATCACATGTCTTGTCGGGGAATAAAATAGATCCGAGGAGAAACACCAGATATATCTGAACTCGGTGTCTCATGGGCGTGTCGGGCATCAACAACTGTCCCTGTATCATCCTCCATGTGGGGCCCCCACGCTTCCATGACTCGTCAATCTCCTCAAACTCGAGGTTTAATACCTCGGACAGCAAATACACGCAGTTTGTCCGCTCGATGACCTCGTCGTACCTAGGCGCGACCACCCGTCCCTCCACATTGGCACCTAGAATCATCTGGACATCGTGGAGAGTGATAGTCATCTCTCCCCACGGCATATGGAAGCTGTTCGTCTCCGGCTGCCACCGCTCCACGAATGCAAACAACAACGGAGTATCTAGGCCCGGTAAATACCATCGGGCTATGGGATAACAACCGGTCATCCGTAGAAAATGCTTGTCTACGGATACATCTACGTCTTCTAG